CATTTATTATCCGATTGAGATGAAACTTTGCAAACAACATTTGTTTGGCCCAAGGACGAACCCTATTGAAATTGGAGATAATCGGTAAAAATTTATATATAGCTCCCATATATATCTTCGTCCGATTTGCCTTTTATTGTGCACCAAACGTGTAATATTAGCCCGAATAGTATGAAATTTTGCACATACAACCAAATTAGGCCTGAAAATAAGTATGCCAAATTGATCGAAATCGGTTCAGATATAGCTATAGCTCCCATATATATTGTTCATCCGATTTGTTATTTTTGTCCTCCGCAGCCGTAATATGCACTCTGTAACAACAATATTTGGGGAAATATATCAAATGCAGCTCAGAAATACCTTTGCTAAATTTTATCGAGATCGGTTCAGATTTGGATATAGCTCCCATATATAACTTCGTCCGATTTACTTTTTATTGTGCACCAAACGTCTAATATTTGCCCAAATGGGATGGAATTTGGCACATACGACCGAATTTAGTCTAGAAGGTAGTATGCCAAATTTGGTGAAGATCGGTTCAGATATAGCTGTAGCTCCCATATATATTATTCATCCGATTTGTTGTATTTGTTACCTACAGCCGTAATATGCACTCCGTAACAACGATATTCAGGGAAATATATCAAATACAGCTCAGAAATATCTTTGCCAAATTTTATCGAGATCGGTTCAGATTTGGATATAGTTCCCATATATATCTTTATCTGATTTCAAATTAATTTTGCACCAAATGGGCAATACAAGTCCGAATTTAAAAGATACAAATGCTTCGGCATATTTAGTCCTTTGAATTTTAAATTATAATTATAATCATAGCGTGTATGATTGAATTCTCCCATAAAAACTTTTAATTATTAAGTGGAGCTCAACTAAATTAGCAAAGTGGTGTAGGGTATCATAAAATCGGCCCCGCCCGACTTTAGGACTTTCTTTACTGGTTTTGCTTTTATTTGATAAAATTTAAAAAAAATTTAAAATTATGGCATTTGACTTTGTTGCAGTTTTTTTTATCTCACCCTGTATATGATATCTGGTAACAAATATCATATTTTAAATGCATATTTCGAATGTGAGGGACCGAAATATCAAATCGGATGAAACATATACAATATGGAAGCTGTGGCCATATCTAGACTGAATTGGGTTGGATGTGTCGAAATACTTCCAATTTGGATAAATTTTACACATATGGCGCACAATAAAATTGAAATCGGACAAAAGTTTATACGGGAGCTATATCAAAAATTGAACCGATTTTCAAAAATTTCAATATGTCCAAACAAATGAGTTGTGGAAAATTTAATCCAAAATCGGACAATTAATGCGACCTGTACTTTCTTTGCAAAAATACATGGACGGACGGGCGAAAATGCATAAAGCGACTCATAATGCGATTCTTTGAAGTTCATCAAAAGGGAACCATGGGTCTATTTCGTTTCCTTCTGCATATTACAAACAAATGTACAAAAACATAATACCCTGTAGCACAGTATGGCGTAGGATATAAAATTACTATTGTAGGTCCCTCCAAAGTATTTTTATTAATATTAATACTAAGTTCTTCAAAAATATTTTTTTAAAAATCCACGATTTAAAAGTTCCAGAATAATAATTTTCCGTAGTTATGGAAGTCCTTAAGAAATGCTTGTTAATATTCCATATTTACAAAAAATTAAATATTATTACCTTGACAGTCCGTATTTTTTTTAAACAAATCCACGATCCTTGTTCCATACCCAAAATATGTTTTTTGTATCCAAAGTTATTGCCATGAAATTCCTTAAAAAAATCCTTGTTCCATACCCAAAATATGTTTTTTGTATCCAAAGTTATTGCCATGAAATTCCTTAAAAAAATATATATTGTTTTAAATCCACGATTATTGAGTTGAATGTGAATAAAAATATATTTTTTCATAATAAATCCACGATCCATCAAATTATTTTTTAAACCACAATTATTTTCTTTAAAGTCTTTAAAAATAATTTTGTCTACATCCCCTATTCCTGCCTTGAATGACCTTAACATTTTATTATTTTTTTATATCCATGAATATTGCCTTTAAAATTCTCGTAAACTATGTTTTTCAAATATCGACAATCCTTCAAAATATTTTTTTAAAAAAATCCAAAGTTTTTGCCCTGGCAACTCTCAAAAATATATATTCTTGTGATAGTCCCTTATTTTTTTAAAAATACAGGATTATAATTTTTTCTTTTAAAAATGCTGGTGCTTTAAAAATATTAAAGAAAAACGCTAAAGTCCTTATTTTTTATACACGAATACAACTTTGCTTTTCTTTTAAAAAATATTTTTAAAAAATATTCCGGTTTATAAATAATTCGGTACTTCAAAAATCCTTTTTAAAAAAATGCACTATAATTGCTCTGAAAGTCCTTTCAAAATACTTTTTTTTATTCTCATTAAACTTAATATTGTTAAAAAGAAAACCCTCTGTCATATCATTATTATGTTGTTAATTTTTCTAGTTTACTTTATTAAAATCTTTGAATTCGTCACATTTCACTATAAATAATCTGACATTCTGGACGCTCTCTCAACACTTGTCAAGTTCGTTGCTTAAGTCTTTTGTTTAAATTCTCATAATTACCTCATTTCCAAAAGTAATTAAACCTAATCAAAAATGTTTCATTTTCCCCGGTAAATCTAAATAACAAGGGAACAAAATACACAATTTTGGCAAAACATCATTTCAAACTCCACAGGAAATGTTCTAAATCCCCGGAGAATTTTTTCTCAAATTTCCAAAGAATCAAACCAAGCGTTTCCCTTTTGATGAATTAGCCTTAATCAACATATTCTATTCGTCACACTAAGTTAACCATAAAAATTTAATGATAGATAAAGAATATAATAAAAAGATGGAGAGAGAGAGAGAAAAAATAGAAGCACAAAGCAAACAAGTTGGCAAACTAGCTATTCATCTCTAGCGTGTGTGCTATCTTCCCAAAATGATGACCAGCTCCAATGTATTTTGGAATTATAGACTGTGTAGAAGTTGTGCTTTTCTGACATCATCCAAATGAGATACTTCCTAAGCCCCTAAGGCATTTATTTTGTAATGGCTTGTCTTCCAGGAAGTGTGTAAATTTGGAGAAGAAGGAGAAAAAGAAACATACGGACTGTCTTTTATTTGATGTATTCTTGTTGCCGTTGAAATAAATAGTGGGAGGGGGATTATGGAAAAAAAAAGTGATTTGCTTTAGAGTTGTGATAATGATCTTTGGTGTTTATCTTTTAGATATCTTCGCATTTGCTTGAAATTTAAAGAAGAAAATCATAATTATTTAAGCAGCAAGAATAAGAGAATTTGATAGGAAGAAGAAAAAGATATATATTTTGATAGGAAGAAGAAAAAGATATATATATATATATATATATATATATATATATATATATATATATATATATATATATATATATATATGTCTGTATATTATGTCTGCAGGACTTGGTATTGAAAATGGGTGATGTAGGTCCACGTTTTGGTATAGCCCCCATATAACGGTACCTGCCTATATTCGGTATTCTATGTCGATTTTGCGATGTCCGTCCGTCTATCCGTCTGTGGAAATCACTCTAGCTTCCGAACGAAATGAAATAGGTTAATAAAATTTAACTCAAATGTATATTAGTCTGCAGGACTTGGTATTGAAAATGGACCATGTAGGTCCACGTTTTGGTATAGCCCCCATATAACGGTACCTCCCCATATTCGGTATTTTGATGATTTTAGCTACATTATTCACCGAAATCGTTTCAAATTTGGTATTTGAAGTTCGTAATGGATACTACAGCCTTTGACAGAAAATTGTCTGTGCAGGTCCACGTCTTCGTATAGCTCCTATATAACGGTACCTCCCGATATTAGGAATTTTGACGATTTTAGCGACATTATTCACCGGAATTGTTCCAAATTTGGTATTTGAAGTTCGTAATGGGTACTACAATCTATGACAGAAAATTGTTCGTGCAGGTACATGTCTTCGTATAGCCCCCATATTACGATATTCGGTATTTTGATGATTTTAGCGACTTTATTCACCGGAATCGCTTCAAATTTGGTATTCGAAGGTCGTAATGGATATTAAAGCCTGTCTGTGCAGGTCCACGTCTTCGTATAGCCCCCATATTATGGTATAACACACAACCCCCCCCCCCCCCCCCCGGATATTCGGTATTTTGATAATATAAGCTACATTATTTATCGATTTTTTTTCAAGTTTCGCTTATGACAGAAGTTGCTTATGCAGGTCCACGTTGTCGTATAGACCCAAATGTTTACATTCGCTATTTTTAAAATTTTAACATAATTTTTAATGGATTTTATTTTTTTGAAAATTGCCAAATTCGTAGCAAATGGTGAAGTTCGCTCGGCCGAACTAACAGCTTTTTTATTTGTTTGTTTTTTTTTAACTCCACAACAATAGGTCTGCTGTTCCCTTGAAAACATTTGTTGAAATTAATTCTGCTGGTCCCGAAAATGTTTAAAAAATCCAACTTTAAAGCTCAACCCTTCCCTTGAAGAAAAAACCAACGAACCGACGAATTTAGCTCGACTGGTCCTTTGATTTTTCTAAAGACCACGATTAGAGGTCCCATGGTCCTTCAAAAATGTTTTTAAAAAATTCACTATTATTTGTCTGAAAATTCTTAAAAAATAATACTTTAAAAATCCATGATGATCCATGCAAGCTTTTTTAAGTCTACGGTTACAGCTCCGATGATCCTTAAATTAAAAAAATCCATGATTATTTCTCTGATAATTTTTGAAAATATTGTTTAAAAAATCCTTGATGATCCTTGTAACTTTTTTAAATCCACGATTATCTATTTGTCCCTTAAATAAAAACTTTTTTATAATTTTTCCCTGAAATATGTTCCTTGAAAAATCCTCATCTGGCAATCCTTAAAATATTCACTAATTCGTAATCATCCCCTTCTTCTACTTCCAGGACGATGGTGGCATTGAATTCTTCAACACAATTGTCCTACAGCCACATTTGAAACTGATAACCGATGCTGGTCGTGGTTATCATGTACGCTGTTCGTATAAGTCACGCGATGCCGCCATGAGTGGTAAAAAACCCCATCACCACCAAAAGGTGGTAGGTGGTAAATATGCCCAAAAGCCACAAGCTCTGAAGAGTGCCGAAGCCGATGGCACCGCTGGTGATCGTCGTGGTTATGGCAGATCTCTGGATAAATATCGTGCCAATGGTGATAATTTCGATGAAGATGATGTCTATTTGCAAGATGAAAATGATGCAGCCGCCGCCGGCAGCGATGATAGTGACATGGAAAATGAAATACCCATGCCTGGTTGTCACATGAAAATCTATAATGCCGAACATCATATTGCGAATGATGTGAAAATTGGAGATCCTTTGACATTGGTCATCAACATTGATAAGCAGGAGACATATGGATTGCATGTGACCGATTGTATTGTGCGTGATGGTTTGGGTTGGGGTGAACAGCGTTTGGTGGGAGAGGATGGGTAAGAATAATAATAACCGATTTATGTATTTCAGATAATTTCAAAATTCCATTTTTTTCAGTTGTCCCATGGATAATGAAATTATGGGCCAGTTCAATTACACCTCTGACAGATTGGCAGCCAATGTCACATTCCCGGCCCATAAATTTCCCTACACCACCTCGGTATATTATCAATGTAATGTGAAGTTGTGCCCCCTGGTTGATCCCGAATGTCAAATGGTAAGCATGATTTATTTGTAGTTAAATACAGAGAGAAAGAGAGAGGATATGATATTTGAATTTTATTCTTCCAGGCTCCTCTTTGTGGAGGCAAACGACCCAAACGACAAGCCAATAACGATAACAAAGACGAGGAAGGTTCTCCAGCTACCATTGAAGTCTTTTCTGGCCTATATGTTAATGAAAATGTGGATATAACAGAGGGTGATGATGATTCTGTATCAAAAGAGAGAGTAAGTATTGGAAAATATGGAGTGAGAGAGAGAGGGAGAGAGACATATCTATATTACTAAAGGGGTAAAGTGATTGATTGACTGACTTAATGATTCATCAACGCCCAACCGAAACGGCTGAAGCTGGAATCTTGCAATTTTGGATGAGGGGTGACTGTTGGTTTGAAGGTGTCAGATAGACTAGGTTTTTAGAAATTCATAGCAGAACGGTCTTTGTAAATAGTAAAGCTAGAACTCTTAAATTTGGAATGAAGGACACTAATAGAGTTTATGATGGATGTGTACTATAATTGTTTCAAAAGTGCTAAATTGAATTTAATTTGGTATTGAGTGGAAAAAAGTTCTAAATCTCTGGAATTGTACCAAAAGTATGAAATTGAACAAAATTTGGTATTGTCTGAAATCCTGTAAGCATAAAATAAACAAGTAAAAAAGCTGTAATTTTGACCGGGCCGATCTTTTAATACCCTACACCATTTGAAACGAATTTAGCAATTTAAAAAAAATAAAATCCATTAAACATTCTGTTAAAATCTTAAAATACCGAATGTAGCCGTTATATTAGGGTCTATACGACGACGTGGATCTGCATAGGCAACTTTTGTCATAAGCTATTACAATATTCAAATACGAAATGTGAAAAGAAATCGGTGAATAATGTAGCTAAAATCATCCAAATACCGAATATGGGGAGGTACCGTTATATTGGGGCTATACGAAGACCTGTACAGATAACTTTCTGTCATAGGCTGTAGATCCATTACGAACATCAAACACTAAATTTGAAACAATTCCGGTGAATAAGTCGTTAAAATCATCAAAATACCGAATATCGAGAAGTGCCGTTATATGGAAGCTATACGAAGACGTAGACCTGCACAGACAATTTTCTGTCTTAGGCTGTAGTATCCATTACGAACTTCAAATACCAAATTTGAAACAAATCCGGTTATTAATGTCGCTTAAATTACCAAAATACCGAATATCACGGGGGTATTGGTATATGGGGGCTATACGAAGACGTGGACCTGCACAGACAATTTTCTGTCTCAGAATTTACTATCCATTACGAACTTTAAATACCAAATTTGAAACAATTCCGGTGAATAATGTCGCTAAAATCATCAAAATACCGAATATGGGGAGGTACCGTTATACTGGGGCTATACGAAGACGTGGACCTGCTCAAACAATTTTCTTCCTAAGGCTGTATTATTTATTATGAACTTCAAACATCGAGTTTGAAACAATTCCGGTGAATAATGTCGCTAAAAGCATCAAAATGCCGAAAAAAGGGAGGTACCTTTATATGGGGACTATACCTAAACATGAACCTACATGACCCATTTTCAATACCATTCACATTTGAGTAAAATTTTATCAACCTACTTCATTTCGTTCGAATGCTAGAGTGATTTCCACTGACGGACATACGGACGGACATCGCTAAATCGACATAGAATTTTATGCTGATCAAGAATATATATTTCGAGGTGTTACAAGCGGAATGACAAAATTAATTAAAATTAATTAAAAAGCCAAAAATTAAAAGATATTTTCTAAAAAAAAGATCACATTGTTAATTTTATATTTTTTTATCTGAATACTTTTTAAATTAATTTTTTCCTTCTTCCTTTCCAGACACTGGAGGATGCCCTGTGTGTCTCCCAACGCACCTTTGCCATTGCCATAGCTATAGCTGGCCTTATTCTCATGTTGGCCGTTGTAGCCGCCGTCCTGTGTATAATGGCCCGACGCAGCACCAAGACTGTATCGAACTCGGGCAGCAGCATTTACAGTGGTCCCTATACAAACACAGCCTTCTCGCATAGCAGTTAAGCAGCCACATTCTTTGTCCTCTTCCAAATTTAGTAATAGAACAAGAACACAACAATACAACTAAGGATAAACATCTGTGTATGTTTTTGTATTTAGGCTCCAAAAACCAACAATTTGTCGACAAACAAAAAATCTAAAAATTCCAAATTTTCTCCCTTAAAGGAACACTAAAAGTGTTTAAAAAACCAACAAACATAAGTAATGCTAAAAAATTAAAATATTTTATTTCCTCAAAACAAAAAAAAAAGAAGTCAATATTTTTTGTTCGCTTAGTTTAGATGATAAGTCACAAAACAAGTTTAGCTGCCTTCCATAAACAAAAGATGATAATTTTGATTTAAACAACAAAAAACAATCAAATATTTTTAAGTTTAGACTACTACATATATATAGACGCGATATACTTATATATAATTTATAAAGAAAAAAGTCTATAAAATAATTTTAATATTAATTGAAAAGCAAGTCCTTTTTTTCGATTAGAAAACTCAGCACTTAACTTAAAAAAGATATTACAGGGTTTTTTTTCTCAAGTAACTTTCTATAGAATAAAAGAAACTAATAACATTAATAATAATAATAAAAACCCTCTAATATCGCAGAGATATTTGGGGGAAGGGTAAATATTACCCCTGCCCCCCAAAATCTCTGTTAAATTTTTACACTAGAAAAAAATGACAGCTTAAAGAGAATCCTAACAATGAATACAACAACTAGCTATGGTATGTGGGTCTTAACTAAATCTCTTCTCACACTTTGCTAACAAATGAAAACCCTTTTTAACTGTTTTTTTAGGTTAGCTTTGTAGCCCTTATGTAATTTTATACTTAGCTAACGCCCTCAGGTGATAAACTTTTTTTTAATTAATCTATAATTTTGTAAACTGTGTATTTTAATTGTATAGCAAAGCAATCCTATAAACAAACGTAAATAAATACACACCTACACACTTAAAAACTCACTCACACACACAAACACCTAAACACTTTCTTAATGTATCTTTTTAATTTAATTTTGATTTTCTCTACAATCCTTTGGCAAAAGTTTGTAAAACATCCATCCATTCCTCTCAATTGATAGCGGAGAGTGGCTTGGTGGTAAACTTTTGCCAATGAGAGTGTAGTCGAAGAATAAAAACCGAAAAACAACAAACAGAACTTGTCATAATTTAATCTATAACTATCGAATTATAATGAAAACAAAAATATGTATGTACGTATTTAAACATTTATGTATGTATGTATTTTAATTTTTTTTTTTTTTGAAATAAAAACTTTTAACTAATTTATTTCTTCTAAATAATAAATTGTGTGTTTTTTTTTTTTGGAGACTGGTCTTAGAAAAATAGGTTTTAACAAGTGCAGGATTTTTTATGTGAAGGACCATGGAATTCTCGAAAACCCCACGATTCTTGCTTTAATATTTCTTAGAAAACTATTCTTCAAAAAATCCACTTTTCTTGCTTTGATAGTCCTTGAAAAATATTCTTTAACAAATCCACAATTATTCCGTAGATAGTCCTTAAAAAATATTCTTCAAACAATCCAAGATTATTGCTTTGATAATCCTTGAAAAATATTCTTCAAGTAATCCACGATTATTGCTTTGTTGTCCTTTGAAAAATATTATTTAAAAACTGCAAGATTATTTTTTAGATAGTTCTTGAAAAATATTCCTTAAAAACTCCACGATTATTGCTATGATAGTCCTTAATTAATACTCTTTAAAAAATTCCACAATTATTCCTTGGATAGTCCTTGAAAAATATTCTTCAAGTAATCCAAGATTACTGCTTTTTGATCCTTGAAAATATTCTTTAAAAATTCCATGATTATTGCTTCGTTGGCCCATGAAAAATACTCTTTAAAAAATTCCACAATTATTGCTTTGATAGTCTTTAAAAATATTCTATAAAAATCCACGATTATTGCTTTGACATTCCTTGAAAAATATTCTATAAAAATCCACGATTATTGCTTTGATAGTCCTTGAAAAATATCTTCAAAAAAATCCACAATTATTGATTTGATAGTCTTTAAAAATATTCTATAATAATCCACGATTATTGTTTTAATAGTCCTTGAAAATACTTTAAAAAAATCCACAATTATTTCTTTAATAGTCTTTAAAAATATTCTATAAAAATTAATAATAATTTCTTCAATAGTCTTTCTTTAAAAATCCACGATTATTGCATTGTTAGTCCTTAAAAAATACGTTTTAAAAAATTTCGATCATTTGATAGCCCTTGAAAAATATTTTTCAAACAATCCAAGGTTATCGCTATGATAGTCCTAACAAACATTCTTCAGAAAATCGCCGATTCGTGCTTTATTGATCCTTGAAAAATATTTTTTAGAAACTACGCGATTCGTACTTTGTTGGTGCTTAAAAAATATTCTTAAAAATCCACGACTTTTGCTTCCACAGTTCTCAAAAAATATTCTGGAAAAAATCCACTATCATTGCTTTGATAGCCCTTGAAAAATATTCATTCAAAAATCCACGATTTAAGCTTTGACAGTCCTTGAAAAATATTCTTCAAAAAATCCACGATCATTGCTTTGATAGCCCTAAAAAATATTCTTTAATAAATCCACAATTATTGCTTTGGAATTCCTTGAAAAATATTCTTTAAAAATCCACGATTATTGCTTTGATAGTCCTTCTCGAAAAATATTCTTTCAAAAATCCACGATTATAGCTTTGATAGTCCTAACAAATATTCTTTAGAAAATACGTGATTCCACAATAATTGTTTTTTTATTCCCTCCGCCATAGTATGGAGGAAGTTTGTCATTCCATTTGTAACACCACATTTTAGACCCCACAAAGTATATATTAATTTGTATTCGTAATTAGTAATGGATACTACAATCTAAGACAGAAAATTGTCTGTGCAGGGTCACGTTTTGGTATAGCCAACATATAATGGTATCTCCCTATATTCGGTATTTTGCTGATTATAGCTACATTATTCACCGATTTTTTTTTTAAGTTTTGCATTTGAATGACAAAAGTTGCCTATGCAGGTCCACGTCGTCGTATAGACCGTAATATAAAGGCTACATTCGGTATTTTTAAGATATTTTACTTGTTTTTTTTTTTTTTTTTTTCAAAAATCCACAATCATTGATCTGATAGTCCTTGAAAACCTAGCAACAAAATTCAATTTTTTTAATAAATACACAAAAAATCCACAAGATCATGTTTTTGAAATTTAGATCGTGAAGTAATTTAAATAAAGGCGCAAGTTCCCCCTCTTCAACATTTTGGACATTTTCAGATCAAGATTCCTTGGAATCCGTTCATTTTAGGTATACGGGATGAGATGAAAAAACTGCAACCAACTTCAGACTGCTGTCATTCCAAAGCCACTTGTCCGACAGCTGTTAAAATTATTCCAGCGACAGCTCATTATTTTGTTTACAAACTTACAAAAGCATTTTGGTGAGAATTTTCCGGTAAAAAAAAGTTATTATTATCAAGCGTGATAGTGTGATTTCTTTATATTTGGATGGAAACCACAAGATGCTATCGTAAGGGCACTCCAGCATTTAAATGTGAATAAATCTTTTGTGTCTCGTACCATCCACTCGTTACCGTGATATTGGTAGCGTAGCCCGAAGTCAATGAAGTGGACGGAAAAAAACAGCAACATCAGCAGAAATGGTGCTAAAAGTAAAGAAGCGACTTGATCGAAACCCGCGTCGCAGTGGCCGAAATATGACTCGTGAGCTGAACATATCGCAATATTCCATTCGGCAAATAGTGAAAAATTAGCTGGGGGTAAAGCCATTGAAATTCCAAAAAGTGCACGACCGCAACTTACACCGCAACAGAAAGAAAATAGACTTAAAAGAGCTAAAGAGTTGCTACGCTTGCCCGAAAGTGATAAACTGGCGAATTTGGTTTTCTCCGATGAGAAAACATTCGTTGTCCAGCAGTTTGTAAACAAACAAACTGATCGTGTTTACTTGCCAAAGAGGTCAGGTGAAAATGTTCACCTTCGGTTGGCCACCAGAACTCAAGCGCCGACCATGGTGATGGTGGGGCCGCCATAACAGCCGATGGTTGCTCTCCGCTCGTATTAATCGACCGTGGCATCAGAATAAAAACCGAATATTATCGCGAAAATATTCTGGAGGATGTATTAGAGCCTTGGGCTCGCAAACATTTTGGCCGCAGACCTTGGACATTGTAACAGGACTCAATGAGGTTCATTTCGAGTGCACAATGTCCACCAAAATCTCCGGATACCAATCCGTTGGACTATTGTGTTTGAAGTATTTTGGAAAGCAAGATTGGCACAAAAAAATATCAAAGTGTAGATCACTTCAAGCAAGCGCTTCGCCGGGAATGGGCCAAAATACCGCAGAGCAACATTCGGGCAGCGTGTGACGTTTGAAGGCCATAATTCTTGCCACTTATTCTTAAATTTATTATTCTATTCACTCTGTACATTAAACAATTTTGCTGTCATGTCTACTTTTGAGTTAAAATTTTGAAAAAATTAAATTCATTTCATATGTCAAAAGTATAATAACTTCATGTCTGTCAGCTGGGACATCGTATTTTGGATAATTTGAATAATTGTGTGGCCTTGCTTTGCATTGGAACGCTCATAAATAATGTTTGCAATTCCATTTTATTTACCTCAAAATACGCATACATATCATTCGCTTTAAATAGTTTTCATTTAACTTTTTAATAAAATGTTCATCTGGCAAATTATAGCCGTGTGTGTTTCGATCCTAACTACAATCTACTCATTGATTTGCAGAGATAGTAAAGCAGATTTACGTTACCACTTCTATTTGCTAGCAGAATCCCATCGATCTTTGGGCGAAAAATTACATATTGAAAATGTAGATTCATTAGAAACCTGTAAACAACTAACGAGGCTATATAAAGGATTGGCATTTAATTATGGTCCCAAAGACAGACTCCGAAATAAAGGTGAATGTTTTTAAATTAAAACCACATTGCATTCCAAACACAAATTTTTATCAAAAAAACCATTTTATTTTCAAGTTACCATAGCTGGCAATACGAGTAGGGATCATTATTGGGAGCAAGCTCAGTTGTATTTCAATTGCCATGTTTTGAAATGTCCCGAAAGGGAATCATCCAAAACACTTATAAACGATTCCTCATTTAACTATTATTCTTTATATGATCAACTAATTGGTAAGTCCACAAAATGAACATACCGCAGATACAAATATAATCTCCTTTACCCCGGAAGCTGTTCCACATCACATTTGTGTATCTCAAGTAGGCATCTTTACACTTAGCACTAACCCCGAAACCTTTGTGAATGCGTCAATGCAATGTCAAAAACCAAATAACGATACCAAACAGTGTGGTTCATTGGCTCACATTGCTTCGGAAAAACGTACAACATCCCTGGCACGCATTTTAACGGAATACAATGAAAAACAAGAGGAAATAAAATTAAAATCAAAAATTAATTTAGCTTATGTTGGCCTTCATTTTAATCGATCACGAGGCAATCATTTTGAAATGTTCAATATGGATGACGATAGTTTGCGATGTTTTGGTTATCGAGCTTGGGAACCAGGAAATCCTAAAATGAGGTAAGCAATTTTAACATTTGGAGTGGAAATTACTCAATTTAACTCCTTTAATTTTAGTTCAAATTTAAGAAACACCAGTTGTGTGGCGTTGTCTTCGCATGGCACATGGCTAACCGTGGACTGTAAACGAAAATTGCCATATTTTTGTGAAGTTCTTACCCGGTGTCATGACAAGAAGGATGGATGGAAGGGAGCGAATCAATGAAGTAACAAAATATTTTTTTAATAAAAATTGAAAGAAGTAACTCAATCGTAAGTTTCATTTCTAACTCATAAATTGAGTTTCTATCCACCTAATAAGTAAACAGTGCTTTTTAAATTTTGATGTTTTACATTTTTCCTGTTATTCTTCTTGATTTCTCTACTTAAAAAAATGTTTTACTTAATTACTTAAATGTATTGAAATAATTTTAATATCATCATAGGGTTTGTCCGTTTTGGGATTTGTTTTTGCATTGCAAATGTTTTGTACGACTTCCATGCCTTTATAAACTCTACCGAAGACCGTGTGTTTATTGTCGAGCCAGGGCTAAAAAAATTAATAAATTAATAATTGCAAAACTTATTGATAAGCCAATTTGAGTATTTTGCTTACCGTTGGCAAAACGGTTATAAAGAATTGACTGCCATTTGTATTGGGTCCAGCATTTGCCATGCTAACAGTATAGGGGCGATCATGTTTCAAAGTGGGTACAAATTCATCTTTGAAATCATTACCCCATATTGATTTACCACCGGTACCAGTACCTGTGGGATCACCTGTTTGGATCATGAAACCCTTAATGACACGATGGAATATGTGACCATTATAATAACTGGAAATTAAATGAAAAAAAATTGATTTTAAAAATTTATATAGAGACAAGTAGATTTCAAAACCTACCCATTCTTGGCATGTACACAGAAATTCTCCACAGTTTTGGGACATTCCTTGTAGAACATTTTCATGTGTATATCACCCATTGTTGTGTGAATTGTGACATTCTCATACATCCTTTGCACGCCTAGGAATTTTGGAAAGAAAATAACAAACTATTAGTAACGATATTTCTTAAAAAGATACAAAAAAGCAAGCACGTAGTTTCTTAGAATTTTCCAATTTAATATTTCCGCCAATAAATTATGTATACTACGTTCTTGCTTTTCTTATCAAAAAAAAAGACTTAGCACAATAACCTTCTTCTGCTTACGAAAGGCATGTTAGAGGAATATGTTTGTTAAAATTATTGTTAGTTTTGTACTACAGAATTGAAATGATATATTTAAACTTAGCCCACCTTGTCCTTCGGGTACGGCAATGATATCTTCTTTCGTTGGCTTCTCATTGAAAACATCACGATCTACATCTTGTAGATCGGATGGCAAACGTCTGCTATATAAATAGAAACGTTGTTTTCTGAGAGGAAACAAAAACATTTATTATTTTTTTTAGATAAATTTAATTTTAAAACTATAACCCACTTGTAGGCCGTACAAAATAATGTAGGATCATTTGTGGTTGATTGTAAGGCAGGATTTTCACTAGCTTCCTGTTCCAATGTTATGGCCGCTTTACTTTTCTTGCCCTTGCCCTGGAACAATGCTATGTGCAGAGGTCTAATATTGTCCGTTTTACCCAGTATGTTGACACAACGATTTGTTTCGATATTTATAACTTTTATGCCAATTACTGTGGGGTACAATAAGAAGTGGCCCGTCACATCGAATATAATATTATTGCTCATATTAAAATCGGACTTTTCCAGATCACGTTCAGCTGCCATTCTGAAATGAAAAATATATATTCAAATGCATTACCATGCAAAACTGTAATATACTCAAGACAATGCCAATAGCTAAAATTTCTCTCTAGCCACACTTACCTTCTACCAAATTCCATATTCGGCAAAGCATGTGGTGTCTGCTGCATTTGAGTGTAGGTGGCTAATGCTTCATCAAAAACTCGTACCAATTTTCCCGTTTGAAATTTAAAAACCCTGACCTTGCGATCCGTAGAAATGGAAGCAAATCGTTTGCCATCATTCGAAACAGCCAGGCCGGTGACAATTGTTTTGCATTTAACAAATTCAAAAAGATCTAAAAGAGAAATTAAAATCGATTCATAATTTCTCCTTAGAAACCATAATCATAAAAGCACCAACCAGTATCCAATTTTGAATCAAAATTAACATGTTTTGGAAATTTATAATCAAATTTAGAATTTTGCCAATATTCCAGAATACCATTACGATCTACTGAAATGGCAGTGTCCATTGGCACATTATAGCATATCGACAAAACCGGAGCTGAATGTAAAGTATCCAAGGTATGTAATATTTCACCATTTCCTTGGCCATCATAAATGTGGATTTTATTAGAATCTTTATCCGATCTAAAAATGAAAATAAATCATAAATAAAAAATACTCATAGATATTGTTTAAACTTACACAGCCAAACTTTGAACAGCATCACCTGGTGAATGGATCCAACAGGTGGTACCCGGTGTAAAGCCCAATTTAATAATATTTATCATATCGAAATTAATGACATCAAATATTTTGGCACATTTATCAGCTGAGGCGGAGCACAACAATGTACCGGCAGCATTTGTGGTCAACGAATGTATGGGCACTGTAATAACAAACAAAATTGAAACACTATCCACATAACATTTAGTTTACAACAACTTACTCAAATGACTGCGAAAATGTTTCACAAACTCAATACCCTCTTCCATTTTCTTCCAAAATTTAATGTGACCATCTAAACTGCCGGTTATAAGGAAATCTGTTTTGGTGACCACCAAATGTGTTATGACATCCCGATGCATATAACTCTTTTCATAGCAATCAGCATCTGGTAAATTTTCTAAATAGACCTTTTCGTAGGGCAAAACTGAAAGGAGCACATTATAAAAAGTTGTTGAGTAGAAGTAAAGGCATTTCAACCTCATCACAACGTTACCTTTCTTCTTTTTGGGCTTGGAAGCAGCCGATTGTTCGGTTGGCATTGGTCCAATCCATCCATCATTGCTGTCCTCTTCTTCATTCTCATCTGGATCTGCATTGCGTTTCCTGGTTGATTTTTCGTCGTTGTCACTCATTGTTGTCTTGGGAAAGGTTTTCCAACTAAAAACTCTTTTATCATAGAATAACTCGGCAACTCTAGGTTAAGGGATCCATAGATCGATAACAAAAACAATAAGGGTTCTAAAGTCTCAAAAAAAAAAGGAATCACAAGCATATGGTTTAACGTTGCATGTCAAAAAACTTGATTTAAAACACAACCTGATTTAAATGCGTTATTTCTTATTTTATTAAGGAATATAGGAGATATATTTATATTCAGACGAGCAATATGTAAACAAAAGCTGTTGCCTATAGCTTTGCAAAAACTATGAGAGTTCTATTCGTGGTAATCGTCGTAAATCAAAAGATGGCGTGTATCAATGACCATGGTAGAAGAATATAGGTAGACGCATTGACACAGCTGCTGGGACAATGAACTGTCAAACCAATTTTGGAATTGAAAATGTTGAATGAAAAATTATTTAAATTTGCAAAATTGCTGAAAAACACGAATTATAATAACATCCGAATGACGTCGTATAAGAAAACATATTAAAATCTACTTATATTTTAAAGAACATTTAAATTTTTTTGACATATCAATGCTCCCAAGCGTTGATGCATCTACCTGTATTCTTCTGCCATGTCAATGACATATTCCAATATATACTTTGAAATTTTATTTTTCCATTTCAATTTTAGGAAATTTTGGAAAAGAACACGTTAAGAAACAGAACTGTAGTGTTAATGACACAACGTCAAAGTTTAACCATGTGGTTTCAAAGACAAAAAAAAATTGCGATTACGTATTTTTTGTCAAAATAACATTAATAACTACAAAACCACTTATAAATGGAATTGTTTAAGTTATTTTTACTTGACTTTAATCACTAGTCAATTACGTCCCTGTTTGCCATGTTTCTCTGTTTAAGATAAGGGTACATAAACAGCTTGGCTTCATGGGAAAGCATATTAATGTGAAATTATAAAGGGAAACGACGGCAGAATTCGAATGCGGCTCTGGCATCGCTTTATGATAAGTCACAAAATATGCCATGCGAAGTCTTCAAGCTGTTTATGTACTTACCCCTTTATTGATTCTGCACATTTACATGCTACGTCATCAGAATTGTAGGCCGAAGTTCAATTTCTTCTCACTTACCCTGCTAAAGACAGTACAATAAAGTTCTTTTATTAATTATCAGAATGACAACATTTGTCTTTGTGGCGTCCTAACATTTACAAAAATGATTTCAAAAAATCTATGAAAATCTTATAGTTTTGTTCTCTCACATGTCAATCAATTTACTATGCTGGAAAAATGCTTCAGTGACAAAAATAATCAAATCAGTGTGTATAAAATACAACTCTGATTCCAGACCGTTACTTGATTGTTCTTTTTGAGACTCTCCGCTTAAATCGAATAGTGATTGTATTCCATACCAGTCCCAAATTTGTGCACAAACAAACAGTAAGTTATGTTAAGATTACAATTATAGCCTGTTCACAGAACTTTTGTAGAAGACAAACAAGCAATTGCTACCCAGACAATCAAGTTCTAATCTGATAACATTTATTTTTATCGTATGCACGAAAACCGAAAATTCTATTTGTCTGCCATTTGACTTGCAAATGGTAGAAAAATAAGTTTGCTGAACAAACTATTAGTTTTAAATTACATTATTGACTGGATTACGTAATATAGTCCCCAGCACGTATCTATGGTTGTTTCCCAAGTAAGAAGCGAACATTAAGGCCCTACAAAACATATTTCAGCTCCCGCCAAATGGCTCAATGTCCAATAACATAGAATCCGATCTATAAATCCCTTGGTTGCAAATAAACTTTGTTCTCATTTCATTGTGATTGCCTGCACAAAAACAAAAGGAAGAAGGAGAGAAATTTTGTTGTATTTTTCCCTCACAAATAAAATAAAAATACAGAAAATCGTGCAATTAGTTTGCAATTTTTTCCGAAAACACTTTCAATTCACTACAAAAAATGTCGGACGTTTTAAGTGATGAAACAAATGATGGCGCTATCGTTATAAAAGCCCCAACGGAGCATCCACGCATAAAGATTAATCGTTGGAGGGTAAGGGAAGGCTTTCCGGTTAGCGCCTCTCAAGTAATCTTGCTATATGAAGTTGTGTCCGCCACCGTGGACGACGAGGAGAAAGGGAAAAGTGCCGAGAACACAGCTCCAAAACCAACAGACGCCGCAATCCATAAGCTAAAGGCTCAAAGGGTTGGTGTTGTAAAGAAACGCTTGTACAAGGATGGGGCCATCGTTAAGGCTGAGTATGTTGTTTGTTGGCTTGTTGTTATACATTTTGTTTTTTTTTTTAATTGTATCTATCGATCCAACTTTGTATTGGTGCTTATGTTTTGCTTTGATTCTGTTTGCTTTTCTTTCATGTTGTTGTATCATAGTACTCCATTATTGGAACTCTCGCCATGTATTCATACGACTGTCATTAAAGACATGTGCGCCGATTGTGGTGCAGATTTGCGCCAAAACGAAAATGTAAGTATAATTGTTTTTTTTTATTTTCTGTTTCTTTTCTTTTTTATGTTGTGACCGTCTTATTTTCATCATCGGTCCCATCTTGCGGCGCGGTATTCATACCCACCGATTTGCATGACAACGAAATATTAGTAGGGGTGGTAGGTAGGAGAAAGTAAGTGGTTAGTTTTTGTATTGGACAACACAACATACAATAAACAAAAAAGACGAGGGAAAAACAATGTACATCAAAAATAACATGGATATACACAGTATTTTATTTAGAGGGTTGCCACTTGCAAGGATAGCGGATAAAATGGGGACATTATCCTTTCTCAGTTTTATATTTGAAAACGCAAATGAACATTTTGTATATTTTCTATAAATACAAAATATTAATTTCATACATGTATTGGCCAGAATTTCCAGATGATGCAAATTACTTAGTTTTTAACGTGCTTCAATGTTAGATTCAGACAGAAGTCAAGATATATTTTCCATTAAAGTTGTTACTTTCTGATTTTTGAAATAAATATTATCGAGTTTTGGTCGCTCTTTGAGCCTCATTTCTTTTAAAAACAAAATGCATATTAAGTCATAACCTCAAAAATTATATAAGTAAATGTTATGCATTTGCGAATATGTGTAACATAAACAACAGATTATAACTTCAATATATCAATGGCCACCCGAATTACCCCCAATATTAACTGAATTCTCCAGATAAAATCAAGCTATCTTCTTAGAGAATGTATTTTAATTGATTTTTCCAACATTTTAGGGCAATGTATCCGAAGCTTCGGTACCCATGGTTCACTCCATACCCGATTTGAAAGTAACACAAAAACTTGCTCAAAAATTGGGACATGATGATACCCGGCGTTTGCTGCAGGATCGCAAACTTGTGCTGTTGGTTGATTTAGATCAAACGGTTATACACACAACTAACGATAATGTACCTAATAACATAAAAGGTATATACCATTTTCAATTGTATGGACCCCAATCGCCATGGTATCATACACGCCTGCGACCGGGTACCCCTGAATTCTTAGAGAGAATGTCAAAATTCTATGAACTGCATATTTGTACATTTGGTGCTCGCAACTATGCCCATATGATTGCCCAACTACTGGATCCGGAGGGTAAATTCTTTTCGCATCGCATTCTTTCCAGAGATGAGTGTTTTAATGCCACCAGCAAGACGGATAATTTAAAGTATGTAGCTAAATACATTTAGGCATTAAGTATTAATAAATGAACACTCAATTTTACAGAGCCCTCTTTCCCAATGGCGATTCCATGGTTTGCATTATTGATGATCGTGAAGATGTCTGGAATATGGCTTCGAATCTTATACAAGTAAAGCCATATCATTTTTTCCAACACACGGGCGATATTAATGCTCCGCCGGGTTTATCGAAGCATGAACTTGATGGTGAAGGTGTGGATTTCAAAGGTAAATTGATCGTGAATAACATTCTTAAATTCCAGTACATTGAAAACATTTGCTTCTTTCAGATATTGAAAATCTTAGTACAGAGGACAAAGAAAAGCCAGCTGGAACTGAGACCACAGAAACGAAACCTGAGAGCACAAAAGATACCGATATATCCCCTAGTGATGAAACCGTAACTCCAGAAAAAGAAACAATATCTGAAGAGCAGGAAAAAGGTGAAACTGAAACCGCAGCAGAAGATAAGAAAGACCAAGTTGATACATCCGCCTCGACTAAAATAGAAGGGACCACCACAACGGAAACTTTATCAAAATTTGATAGCAGCACAGATATGCCTGATATTCAGGCTACCGAAGAAGTAAAACCAAATGAAGAAACAATTGCCGAGAGTCCGCCACCAGAAATTACTAAACCGGAAGCAATAGAAAACGATAATAAGGATATCATTGAGGACACTGAAAAGGTGGAAGAGGAGAAAGTCATTGATCCATCTAAAGACAATGAACTTACGCCGGAAGAAAAATCTCCAAAACTTAAAGCACCACAAGATCCTGCACAACAAATAGAAATAGAAGATCCCGATGATTACCTATTGCATTTGGAAGTAATATTGAAACAAATACATACCCGCTTCTACAGCATTTACGATGAGACAAAAGAGATACCCGATTTGAAGATTATTGTACCGAAGATACGATCTGAGGTCTTGAAAAATTGTTATTTGGTGTTTTCGGGTTTGGTGCCGACCAATATGAAATTGCAACAATCACGAGCCTATTTTATAGCCAAAAGTTTGGGAGCTGAGGTGTCACAAAATATTAATGCTGGTAAGTAAACAAAGTTATTTGATTCTTTGGATAGCTAAAATAATTTGTTTGTTAGATACTACTCACTTGGTAGCCGTAACTGCTGGTACCTTCAAGGTAAATGCCGCCAAAAAGAATCCCCGCATTAAAATAGTCAATGTAAATTGGTTGTGGTCCTGTGCCGAACGATGGGAGCATGTTGAGGAGAAACTATTCCCCCTGGATCGTAAGGTGCGTAGCAAACAAAGGCAGCCACCAGCTCATTGCCATAGTCCGGAACATGTGGTCAATTACAGCGATAAATCCGAAATATCTTCCTCGAGTTCAGCACAACAAAATGCCTCTGAACCGGAAAAGTTCATCGACACCATCAATCCGCTACTGTCATTTTCCAATGCCGACTTGGCAGATATGAATCAAGATTTTGATCAATTTTTTGATTCAGATTCATCATCCGAAGATGAACATGTTAATATTGGTAATTTCGTTTATTTATTTATTTATTTTTAAGACGTTATAAATGGTCTTATTAAAAATTGTGTGTTTACAGAAAATCCTCCGGTTGACAAGACCCTGAGAAAACGTAAACGTGAAGAAAACGAAGAAGAGAGAACACGGAAATTCTTTACACGACCCGATTCTGTGGGTGCTTTGCCATCAAAATGTGCTCGCGGCGAAGATTTAGATGATAAAACTTCCAGTGAAGATGATGATGACGAAGAAGAGGAAATGCCGAGTGAGAAATTCAGGCGGGGTATATCTCAGAATTTTCTGTTTTTCAAACAACAAATTTTATTTAATCCTTATTATCTTCAGGTGAAGATCTGCCGTCAGATTTAGATATTGGTAATTCAGATTCTAATGATGGAAGCGATAACAACAATCCCGACGAGGAAGATGATGGCGATTGGAATATGATGGGTGCCGCCTTGGAAAGAGAATTTTTAGGTCTTGAAGATTAGATGCTGATTATTTGATCTTTATGCTATAAGTTAATAGTTATTATTATTTTTTAATATAATAAGTTACTATAATTTAAGATAATATATAACAATTTTAAATTTATACACTGATGAGGAAATTGTATAAACAAAGTTGTATGTATTTTAAAGTTATCTTTTAAAACTGATAGTTTTTATGTTTAATCTAATTGATGTTGATGATAATGAAAAAATGACTTGAGAATATTTTTCAGTTTTCAATTTATTCACTAAAAATTATAAATATTAATAATAAATTATAGTAGAGATGTTATATTAATTGTTTTTGTATCGACACTTTTGTTTTTTGAAAACAAAATTTGTTTGGGATAAGCAGGTATTTAGGTTTTTTCTGTCCCCTGACGCATTTGTTTAAAACGACTTATTCTACGTTTGGGAGCGTGGGCATCAACATATTTGCACTCAGGCAATGGTTCAGGTTCGGATATTGGTTTTTCCACAACATCGTTCATAACCTATTTATAAAAAATATTTATAAGAGAAATATTTAAATAGTATTAATTTGTATTTATTTCTATTACCTTGTAATAGGCACACAACAACTCTTCTTCCTCTTTTGGAGTCCGCTTCTTTTTGGGCTTCTTTTTCTTGTCCGTCTGCTCAGTTTCAGGAATATTGCTTAGATTTTCTTTGTCCACAGAGGATTTATTTCTTAATATTGATTTTGGATTCGAAAACTAAAAAATATAAAATGTAGAAAAAAGTTGTGTCAAACAATAGCCAAATTCCAACCATTAAGACAGATCGTTCTTAAACAATTTTTTAAGCTTCTTTTTGTCGACATAGAAAATGTTGTGTCGGAAAAAAGCGTAAAATCTGCGTAAATTTATATTAAGACTTCGCTATTGTCTTACCAATTTGTGAAAAATCATCATCTTACCTCTGCCTTGGGGTCTTTATATGCCTGCTGACGATCAGATTCTTTCAAAACTGGAATTTTCACCTGATCCTCACCCTCATAACTGTTGATGAACAACGTTGACGGCTGTTCTTCTTTATCACCCTCAATTGACTTTAGATATAAATCATAAAAATCTGCTGGAGTAAAAGGTATTTCACAATCTCTATTGTCTAGGGCAATTTCACTTGCCGAATTGGATGTTGTAGCATTCTGAGGAGGGGAATGTTTAAATTTAATATGCAGCGTATTGATTTTACCCATAGAAGTTTCCAATATTTTATTAACCAAATCGAAATCATGTTTACTTTGTGTTTCCGAAGCAAATTGGAAATTTTGTTCAACCCTTGCTTTTATAACATCCCTTTTATCAGGTGGGGGTGCAGTAGGAATAACTTCGTTTTCTTTTGTCTTAGGCATAATGTCATCATCCAATTTAATAACATCTCTTTTAGGTAACATTTGTGTAACAGCTTCATTTTTACAAAATTCCAAAGTTTGATCTTCCGCGGCAAAGGATATCTTACGTTTTTGTGTACTTTTATTTTCCTTATCAATTGCTTCTTCTTCCTTCTTGGTATCCTTTTCAGATTCCTCTTCATGTTTTTCAGCCATTTCTAACTCTTCATTTCCCGCTGCTGTTTCAGCAAAATCCAGTAACTCTTCCATATGATCCAAAACGGTTAACAGGCGAACCTTTTCATTCATATCTTCCTCGGTGCGCAATGACATCGATCTTATTTTCTGGCGTATGATTTCTATTTGATACTCATAGAAACCAATTTGATCTTCATTGTTGAGAAATTTGGCCTGTTCTTTGATAATTCTTACCTCCTCCGGCAAAGGTTCTTCATCGTTATCGCTGTTTTGTTCTATGCTGATTTCTGGATTGGCAACAACATTGTTATTAGTTGCCATTACCTTACTTCCCTGCAGCGATGTTTTCTTAACAATATTTGTTTGAAGCGATGTTCCAATGTTTTCATTCGCCTTATCCTTATCTTCCTTTTTCTCCGCCTCATCTTTCTTGACAACATCATGGGCAACTCTTTTCTTTTCCGGTGGCAAATACATCTCTCCCGACATTAGCTTTCTTATAGTTTCATCATTAACCTCATCAACTTCTAGGTTTTCTAATTCCTGTTCCAACTCTTCCATGATTTCAGCTTCTTCTAACATTTTAAATATTTCCTCATCAGTCTTTTCTTTAGCATTGTTTTCTTGCGACTTCTGTTCCTGTGCGGCCAGTTCTTTTTCACGTTCAAGTTTTTCTTGTTGCTTAGCTTCCTTTACTCTAATTTTGTGTTGTTCCTTCCATAGTTTTTCTTTTTCCTCATCGAAGTCTTCTATAATTTCACGTTCCTCACCACTTGGCACAACACCTTCGGCATACGGCTTTTCTAATTTGTTTCTACAACAAAGACACAAGTAAGATTACAAATTACTGAAATTATCTTCGTTTACATACTGCCACATTTCCAATTCGGTTTCCAGTTTCTTTAGGTGCTCCTTTGCGGTTTTAATGCGTAAATCACAAATCTGTGCTGCCGTATGGGCTGAACATTTAGAAAAGTATCCCTGATAGTGGCCAACCAACACCTCATTGGTATGAATCAGTTGTCCTGGCATCAAGGCTTTCTTGCCCACAGGCACCATCACCTCAACTGTGTAACGTTTTTGAAAAATTGACAGATTTTCTTTGGCTGTCTCATTTTCGTTCAAATAGTTTTTCCAGCGATCTGTTTCCTCAGCATTCTTTTGCATTGCCTTTAAAAAAAAGTATTACAGGTAATTGACCCATACAATTGTGTATGCAATACCATACCTCTAACAAGGCATCTTCTCGTTTATTCATTTTGTATTAATTGATTTAATAAAATGTTATTTCTTCGTGCCCGGTGGCACGTTGCTTTCAAAGACAAAATCAAACAAACTCCGGAACAAATTCGTTCAAAAGAAGACATTCATTGAAAGGAATTGAGAGAACTAGTTCAAATAAAATCTTCATTATGTTGTTTGGGACTCTCAGTTCCTTAGCTTCTTTGGTATATAGCATGGTACAATGAAGTGAAGGTAGGCTAACTTTAGAAAAATTGCAAGTATGGAGGTCTACCTATTTGGCTTAAATGTCAGAATTAAAGGTCAACATGAAAACAGAATTAAAGCTCAACATTTCTATTCAAAATTATTTTCTATATATCTCTATTTCTAGATCTAGATTTTGTAGCTGTATACGTTGCAATAAAAATTTTGAAAACACCCGAATTTGATTATTTTCTGAATAATTTTTTTATTATTCAAAAGAATATAAATACAAACAAATAAAGTTAATATATTAAGCCAAGAATTGAATTTATTGTAAAGTGGTATGTAGCTCCTTTGGTATCGATGTTCCATTGACAGATATCATTTTAACAAAGACAGGGTGAAAGGGTGTGAAATGAGGGACGGGATAGTCACTACGAACTGATATCTTTTATTTTATTGGAAAATAGAAAAAACAAAAATGCATTTACTTTTGGAAAATTAAGTGAAATTTATTTGGACAAACTTGGATTTCTTGCAATTCTTTCCTTTCTCCAAAAAACCAAAGAAACAAACAGAACTAGATTCATTGCATGAAACAGATGGAGTAACAAAACTGCATGAAACCATGGTAAAATAAGGAAGTGGAACAGCTTTGTAAAACTACAGAAATATAGCCATGAGGCTATAGCCGCTTCGTGTCGGATCTTTTCGAAATTATATTCAACATGAACAACAAAATTCAACAAGAAAATATTAATTGGATGTCTGGATATTCTTTCAACATTATGATAAGCAGATTAATTCTTTTAATTCATGTCGAAACCGTTTAATTCGCGCTCCGCATTGGCATAAGTCGGGCACACTTAAAAAATTGTAATCAGCTGCTAGCTTAACCTTACCTTTTTTTTATACCAACGATAGAGATGAATACCATTCCCATGGTTCCATTCACGGAATAGTTGCGTTGAACTAATTCGCTCTGGAAAAACAACGGCAGCTCCAAAAAAATCGGAATCCGTGTATTTTTCTTGAAATTTGTTGAAATCTCTTTAAAAAATGTCCGGTCAATACCCCGGTGGATATAATAATCCTCTAGGGGGTCATCGGGGCCAATTTAATCCCCAACAACAACAGCAGCAACAGATGATGAATCAAATGCAAGTGTATGGGCAGGCTGGAGCCGGCATGATGCCCCAACAAGGCAACCCAATACAAGGAATGGTCGGCGGTGGTGGAGGAATGAACCCAGTTGGAATGCAATCACCCTCTCATGTACAGCAACAGTTGATGCAACAACAGCAACAAATGCAGCTGCAGCAGCAAATGGGTGGAGTAGGTGGACCACAAATGGGCATAGGTGGAATGGGGCATGTCGGCTTGGGTAGTGGTGGAGTTCCTCAAGCATCGCTAGGTGGTGGCATGATGCAACAACAACAACCTCAATTATCTCCAGCAATGCAACAGCCGAACGTTGGCATGCAACAGCAACAACAAGGTTCGCACATGCAAAATGTACCAAATGTTGCAGCAATGGCCATGATGGCTCAGCAGCAACAACAACAGCAGCAGCACCCGCAGGTTCCACAACAGCAGCAGCAACAACAACAGCAGTTACCACAAATGATGCAAAACACCGGACAACAGCAGCAACAACAACAACAGCAGCAGCAACAGCCTCAAGCATCCAATAACGTGCTTTCCATACCACAACAACCCCACAAGGAAATAAACATAGTAACTTTATCCCGTGTGGGACAAGAAACCGTACAGGATATTACTTCGCGATTCCAGGAAATATTTACCGCTCTTAAAGTCATACAACCAACACCCAGTCGTGACAGTGGCACGGTGAAAAAAGTCCAAGAACATTTTCGTACAATACGTTTGCTGTTTAAACGTATGCGTTTAATCTACGAACGTTGTAGTGATGGTTATCCGCAAGGTAGGATATATGTATGGGGTATATTTATTTTTAATGTTGTATCAAATGGCAGTAGACTTATCTTGGACAGATTCTGAAAATTGACGTGGAAAAAAATTAATTCGTAGGAATATTTTTCAATCTGTGTTCTCGAAGTCTGTTTTTATACCCTACAACACTATGTGTTGGGGGTATTATAAGTTTGATTGGGCCAGAATTTATGTAACACCTCGAAATATTGGTTTCCCATATAGGAAAGTATATATGGATCTTCCTAGCTCGCCGAGCTGAGTCGATCTAGCTATGTATGTCCGTCCGTCCGTCTGTCCGTCTGTCCATGTTAATTTGTAATCACTCTACAGGTCGCAATTATGGCCCGATCTTCACGAAATTTAGAATGGAGGTGGGGCTTAGGTCAGAATAGAACCCTATTTCTTTTGGAGATGATCGCATAATATTTAGGGGTTGAAATGGACCAAATACTGAAAAAAATGTCGGATTTTGCAGTAGCTATACAGGTCGCAATTATAGACCAATCGACGCGGAATTTCACATGTAGCTAGAGTTTAGGGCGGGGAAGAAGCCTACCAATTTGGGTGGTCATCGGATAACATTTAGCGCGTAAAATAGACCATAACTTTTGTGTTGAAAAAATTCAAAATTTTTCATTAAACCGCGAATATTTTAAATACCGGCGAAATCACAAAGCCATGACAAGGTTACTTCTGACCTTTACATTGATGTTAACATCCAACAAATCGTATATATATCGAAATATGTGCGATATATATGTCTATCAAAGAAGATATGCTTGAAAGATCTCTTATATGTCGAGAACGGCTGAACTGATTTCGACAGTTCTCATTAATTCAGAATGGCCTCTTGGCAGGAAAGAAAAAACGTCTAAAAAAATCTCATAAAAATATCTCTATGAAGATGAAAGTATTGATATTTTAAAATTTTCTCATATTTTTTTCAATTTTGTCATATTTTTGGCATATTTTCATTTTGAATTAAACATTTGGTAATATTTCTACAGCTAACAAAACTAAGTAGTTAGGATATCAGGATATCATATACAGATCGCATTTATGGTCCGATCCTTACGAAATTTTGCATGGGGATAAGATGAGGGTCAGCATAGAAGTCTACTCTTTTTGGAGATGATCGCCATATATTTAGGGGTTGAAATGGACCAAAAAACTGCAACATTGTAAGCAGGTTGTAATTATCAACCGATCCTCACGCCCATTTGAATGGGGGTTACCGGACATTGCAAAAGCCAAGCAGTTTTGGATGGCCATCCAAAAATATTCGATGTGGGAAATAGTTTGCCAACTTTTGTAGACAAAATACGAAAATGTCCATTCCAGTGACTTTTTGGAGAATTCACAAATACAGGAAAGACGCACTTCTGACTATTTCGTTAACGCTGATTTCGTTGAAGAATATAGTCAAATGTCTGTATCTCATATAGATGCGTTTCAGTCAAAAACCAATAATAAATATTAATCTTTTGCCACTTCTGAGAGATTATAGGTCTTTGGGAAATATTGGTTCCAGATCTAGGAAGACCATTTAAATTAGTTTAAGTTGCTATTACTCGAAAATTAGAGAACGAAACCTGATGGTTTTCTTTTATTATTTGTCACAATATCTTGTGGAATTCTTTCGAGTATCTCGCCTATATAAACTGTATCGTTTATTATAGTGTTGTAGGGTATTCAACGGTCGGCAACGCTCGACTGTAGCCTTTGCTTACTTGTTTGTAATAAACCTGATCCAACCCATACTCAAAATTAATTGCAACACATTTATTTTCCAGGTATGGAGTATACACATGTGGAAAGTTTAATACCATATAAAGATGAGACTGAACATCGCAATCTGGAGGCCACACAGTGTGAGGAATATCGGAAAGCTTTACAAGAAAACCAAGAGCTCATCGATACAGTGAAATTGAAAAATCGTCAACTTAGAGAAATAATTGATCGTACACGTATTATTGTATGGGAAATAAATACCATGCTTTCAATGAGAAGGTCGTAAATAAAAGAAATCTTATAAATTACCCTAGGTCTAATGTGAAAGAATTGTTTAAATCCCTATAATTTAAATAAACTATTATAAATCGGAATAAAAACATTTGCTAGTATTCTTCCTAATTCCTAACAAAACATTCCTAATGATTTTAATCATATCCATGAACTGTAGAATATATGTGTTTTAATGGCTACTGAAATTCATATATATTAGGAGACCAGAAGACAATTTCTCTCATTCGATATCGAAGGAATTTCCAGAGGTAGAATATTTGACCAAATGTCCGAGTTCAAGACCCGGGATTTACTTAGCCGATATATACAACATAGGTATACAAAATACATGTGATTTGTTGGATAGGTATTTTCATATCTATACCAGGTTTGCTTCCGGACTTTTGGGTCAAATATCCTGGTAATAGGGTCTAGAAAAAATACTTCCCGGAATCAGAGTACAAATACCTACATCTGGAAAAAAATCGGAGAGTATTTACTGAACTGAATTTACTTTTATTTAGTTTTTAAGTATTACAGAGTAACCTAAAATTCGACGTACTCGGTCGACTCGTTTTTCACCACACAAATAAAACATATATGAGAGTTCTCAAATACGTCGGGTGTACAAAATTTCAAAGTTAAACATTTTTAACTATTTTGTGTGTTGAAAATAGGAATGAAAAGTAATGAAATATAATATTAAATGCTACAAACAAAACAACTTTGCACAGCCAAACCTACCCAACTCACTCCTGAAGATCTCTGGCTATAGCCCATTAAAGTAGCCGAGTTTCTAAACCTGTAGCTGGAACCAGATTAGCAGAACGCAAACACTTGCATGTACTACTGCTACAACAACAACTTTTTGCATTAATTTTAAATAAATGAAAAGAAAGCGTGAACAATTAATGGTCTAAATTTCTTTTCAAAATCATGTTTTATATATTTCTAAATATTTATTTCGAAACAAAAAGTCTAAATTTTGTCCATAAGCCTTTTGATTATAACAGAATTTGAATAATATCTAATTTTTTCCCAATATAATTGAAAGGAATGCATGCACATACATAATAATACCTTTACGGTAATTTTCGAGTAAAAAGTAGGGAACAAAGCTATAATTCAATTTATTTGTTATCATTCCACTCAAAAATAATACTAAAGGAGAGATAAATTTGTTGTCATCCATTGTCAAATATATACCAGGTAAAATGGGAATGGTTTTTCATTGTAATCATACGATTAGAATTTTTAATTTTTGAACTTGGGCATACCACTGCAAGAAATGTATACTTAATGCTGAAAGCCAATTGCATATAAATGGAACGATTAAAATATTTATCAATAACTAGTTCCCCGTATTCCTTTTAATGAATAACCCAGCTGATTTCGTTACTCTTAACCAAGGTAGATCTAACAGGTAACCGCATCGGCGAATTGCTACAACAAAGCAACCTTTGTGGTCCCCTCAAATGTCAAAATTGGCATCTAAGGCGAAAAACATAGATTCGCCATGACATTTAAAGGTTGCGGCAAATTTGTTTCAACCAATCAGAAACGAGGTGTTTGTTTACATTTTATTTTGTGTGCCTCTCGTCGTAAACGAACGTCGCAATAAAAGTTTTTATTGTAAAACAAATAAGAGTAAAATAAGTATTAATTGTAGTATTGCGATATTTTTTAAACCAAGAAACTTATAATGACTATATTTTACTGGTTTAAACCAAAAGTTTTCCGGAACTGCAAATTACAAGAGTCGAATTCTTGCACTATGGGAATCTTAGATGTTGAGGCTAACTTAATTCTTAAAGCTGCACTCCATTCTAACCTCCTTCCTTCATTTTCTTTTATTTTTTTTTTACTGGTTTCACTCTTAACTTGCTCTTAAATTATTTGAAACATTATAAAAAGGTACTTTTAGGGAAGACAACATAAACAAATTTGTTGTTGCATTCATTTAGGGCGAATTCTTCATTACAACAATTTGTTTTGACATTTAATGGTGCCATCAGCTGGGCTGATGCGATTACCTAGTACATCTACCTTGCTCTTAACTTTTATTTGGTCTTCTCCTTTGTTTTGTTTTTCTCTACTCATTCGTAAACTTGAACGTTTTGTTTTCTGTGTAATTTTTATTGGACATTATGTTTTGTTTTTTCTTACTTGGCTGGTGAATAAGGGTTTTCTTTGTGGAAATAATTTGGGAAAATCAGCGAAATATAGCGATGGATCAGCCTAATGATTATTTTCGCTATATTTACAGTTCATCATTAAATGAATTGGTGCAAATAAAAATGTATGTAAAATGGGAACGTAACTAAAGATCAATAATTCATTAAAATTATCGCTTTCAGTGGTACCCTAGAGGGGAAGAAAAAACGCCAACCAGATTATGAAAAACTACTCGAAGATCCCATATTACGTTTCTCCGGTCTCTATTCCGAAGAATGTCCTTCATTTCAGGTGCGCCTACAAATTTTCAATCAGGGTCGACCCTATTGTCTTCCGGTTACCACCTCATATAAGGCATTTACCAAACGATGGAGCTGGAATGAGTGGGTCACGTTACCTTTGCAATTTTCCGATTTACCAAGGACAGCAATGTTGGTGTTGACCATACTGGATTGTGCTGGCGCTGGTCAGACATCAGTTATTGGTGGAACATCGATATCATTGTTTGGTAAAAACGGTATGTTCCGTCAGGGCATGTACGATTTGCGTGTGTGGCTTGGCGTTGAGGGCGATGGCGGTAATCCTTCAAAAACTCCCGGTAAGGGTAAAGATTCTTCGAAATCACAAATGCAACGTTTGGGTAAATTGGCGAAAAAACATCGTAACGGTCAGGTGCAGAAAGTCGATTGGCTGGATCGTTTAACATTCCGTGAAATAGAGCTAATCAATGAACGGGAAAAACGAATGTCTGATTATATGTATTTAATGATTGAATTTCCCACAGTGGTCGTTGATGATTGTTTTACGGTGAGTAAAATAGATCCATGGGTGATTTAATGCATATCTGAGACAATATTTTATCTTTACAGTATTCCATTGTCTATTTTGAGCCAGAGGGCGATAAAAACTATAAATTCCTCAATAAACCAAAGTTAGTAACAGTTCCAGATTCCGAAATATTGCAGGTAAGAAAGTTTTTTAAAAATATAATTTATTTATAGTTACGTTACTACCATTGATGCTAGGCTTTTATGTATTTGCTTTTTATATTTAACCATTGTGGTTTCAGCCACGTGCAACAAAGTAGAAGAAAGCCCCATAATTGACCTTATTTAGAATAACCAAATGACCTTCAGCTCTTGGTCTTGACTTTCTGTGACCGTTATCTTCAATGTCTACAACATGGTAGGAAACATGAAAAAGTGGAAAAAGCAACTGAAATCGATGCCAAAATTGAATTTGTGTTTCATTACTACATTTGTACTACAACGAATATAAACGTTTTATTAGACGACAAATACGAAACAACTAACAAACGAATTGTTAATTATAAATTGAAAACATAACTTATTCGAAATGTCTCTCGTATTTCAAGAAATTTATGATTTTGATAAAATTAAAGATCAAATTCTTTCGCAAGTGGCGATATAACAATAAGTCCTTCAAACAATGTGTGGTGAGAAGTAGCAAGTGTATTATTGTTGCTGTTATTATTAAAATAATTAATTTTTAATATAATCAGTATGGGACGTTGTCGATTAATATTTTTTACTTATAAAGGGTGAGATAAAAAACTGCAACATTTCTTTTTTAAATTTTATTAAATGGAAGGAAAAAATTTCGGAAATAGCATCAAATTTTAGAATAAGTTAAGATTGTCTTGAATTGGTCACCTTTGGCACGAATTATGGCCTTCAAATGGCCAATTAAACCGTCACACGCTGCCCGAATGTGGCTCTGCGGTATTTTGGCCCATTCCCGGCGAAGCGCTTGCTTGAGGTGATCGACACCCATTCTTGGGTGGCGGTTGCTAAGTACCATGGTTCTGAGTCCTGTTGGAATGTCCAAGGTCTGCGGCCAAAATGTTTGCGTGCACAAGGCTTTAATACACACTCTAGAATGTTTTCGAGATAATATTCGGCATTTATTCTGATGCCACGGTCGATTAATACGGGCGGAGAGCGACATGGCGGCCCACACCATCACCATGGCCGGCGCTTGAGTTCTGGTGTCCAACCGAAGGTGCACATTTTTAGCTGACCTCTTTGGCAAGTAAACACGAGCGGATTATTTTATTTGTTTACAAACTGCTGGACAACGAATGATTTCTCATCGGAGAAAACCAAATTCGGCAGTTCACCACTTTCGGCCAAGCAACTCTTTAGCTCTTTTGGGTCTATTTTATTTCTGTTGCGGTGTAAGTTCTTGCACTTTTTGGAATTTAAATGGCTTTACACCGAGCTCATTTTTCAATATTTCCCGAATGGAATATTGGGATATGTTCAGTTTACGAGCCATTTTTGGGCCACTGCAACGCGGGTTTCGATTAAGTTGCTTCTTTACTTTTCGAACCATTTCTGCTGATGTTGCTGTTTTCTTCCGTCCACTTCCTTGATTTCGGGCTACGCCACCCGTATTACGGTAACGAGCGATGGTACGAAACACAAAAGATTTATTCACAGTTAAAATCTGGAGTTTTTTAACGATAGCCACTTGTGGTTTTCCAACCAAATATAAAGAAATCACACCATCACGCTTGAATTCCATCGCGAATAACTTTTTTTTCTGGAAAATTCTCACCAAAATGCTTATGTACGTTTGTAAACAATATAATGAGCTGTCACTGGAATAATTTTAACAGTTTTTAGACTAGAGGCTTAGAAATGGCAGCAGTCCGAAGTTGGTTGCAGTTTTTTTCATCTCACCCTGTATGTCCTCATCAAAAAATATTCTTACTCGTTTGCAGGAAAATCTCGTCGAAAGAAAACATCATCGTCTGGCTCGTTCTGTAAGGTCTCGTATATCTGATCGTGATGCCAAACCAACAGCAAGGTATGTGACTATTTTAGAATTTCCCCTCTACAATGTTTCTCACCTCTCTCTCTATTTCCATTTTCCAGCATTCGTGATCAATTACACACAATCGTCTATCGATATCCACCAACATGTGTGTTGAATAGCGAAGAACAAGATTTACTGTGGAAATTCCGTTTCTATTTGAGTTCTCACAAAAAGGCATTGACAAAATTCCTAAAATGTATCAATTGGGAGACACCCGGAGAAGTAGAGCAGGCCTTAATACTTCTAAACAAATGGGCTCCCATGGATGTGGAAGATGCCTTGGAGCTGTTAAGTCCAAGTTTTAAACATCCTCATGTACGCAAATATGCGATTAGTCGCTTGGCACAGGCACCAGACGAAGACCTGCTACTGTATTTATTACAACTCGTACAGGCTTTGAAATATGAGAATTTTTCGGATATTATAGAATCGCACAAACGACTGTTTCCTGACCGCGACATAGTACGTTCATTGGATGACAATTCTACGTTGTTTGATCAGAGTTCCTTGTGCTCGGAATTGAGTGTTGGAGGTGGTGGTGGTGGTGTGGGCGGTGGAAGTGTTGGTGGCACAATGGGTAGTACATCCTCCGTTTTAATTGCAACTCAACGTAGTGGCATACAACGTCCCGGTGTTCAAATAGAACGTTCCACAACAATGCCCATGGCAATATCTGTAAATTCTTCGCTGGCCGATGACAATGAGACCTCAATAGGTTCCCTACCATCCGATGTATCAAATACTTTGATGAGTGATAATAACACAAATGTCCAATATTCAACCATGACCACCAATACCGCAACTAATCTAGCCACATTCCTAATACAACGGGCCAGTAGAAACCCCACATTGGCCAATTATTTGTATTGGTACCTCTCCATAGAAGTGGAAGATTGTGAATCGATTCGCAAGCAAGACGAAAGTGTACATGAAATGTATGATATGGTATTGAAAATGTTCCTTAAAGTTTTGGAGAATGGTAATTTCTATTTACGTGGCATATTCTATAATTTGAGAAAACAACAACGTTTCATCGACGAGCTGGTACGTTTGGTGAAAATTGTCGCCAAAGAGCCGGGAAATCGTAATAAGAAAACGGAGAAATTCCAGAAATTATTATCAGAGGCAGATACGTTTAAAATAAATTTTACAAATTTCGAGCAAATACCATTCCCCTTGGATCCGGAGATTTATATAACGAAGATTGTGCCCTCGAAGACATCGTTGTTCAAGAGTGCATTGATGCCAGCAAAGTAAGTTTATGGGAATGTCGTTTAACGAAATGCTAGTAATGGAAATCTGGCACTTATGCTTTGGGACTCTGGAAGAGCATTTTTTTTTGAACATTTTAACTGAAAACTTAAAGAAGTATTAAATTTTTCTTGGGAATTAAGTTCATAGCATTTTATAGCCTTTATCAAATTTATGGTGCTTTCATAAATGTAGAGTGACAATACAATAGTATCTATGAAACCATTAGAAAAAAAGATTGAGCTTTGAAATTTTGCCAGATACTTTTATCCTACATTGGTATCCATCCATATTTCCCATACTTCCGCCTTCAGGGAGCATAGCAGCTCATACAGCTGTGTTCGTTCTGTTTCCATTTTCTGACTCCATTCAATCTGCTTCTACCTCTAAGTCCAGTCTCAAAAAGGATGCAACCTGTGTGGGCAGTGTCCAAGTCGCTGTTAATCCGGGCCCAATAGGAATTTAGGCGCTTGTACCATCCGGATCGTAATTGAGCCAAAACTACTCTGGGTTTGTCGGGGCAGCTCGTGTTTTTCAATTCGGGGCTGCAAATTGAATAAGCAACCGCGGACAGTCAGCGGGTCTAGGGGGAGAGTCTCAGTGTGGAAGACAAAATTATAAAAAGACACCCTCCAAAAAACCAATCCTACTTCGACTGCTGCTGTTGTGGACGTCTTATCGCCCTCCGACAACAAAGCTCCACAATTTGCCAAACATTGGATATTTTAGCTTAATTCCAAGCAGCTAGTAGTGCGTTGATACTTTGGGAACCTGGAGGATGGTGGCAAACTGCCTCTGGACTGTCTGGTATATACATACAGAAGGCTCCAAGATGGATGAAGGTATAGGTGGTGGCGTTTTATGCCCTAATCTAATCATCAAATTCTTTTGTAAGCTTAATTACAATTATGCAATATACAATTATAGTACTTCCTGATTTTTTAATATTGGCTCACCTTTTAAATTAAATCAGCAGTCTTTGAGGATAGAATACCATCAAATGTTTACGATTTTGAGGATAGCAAATTTAGTCATAACTTTAATTGTAAAGAATATAAAAAGTCTCTAATTCCTTTTTCCAGATTGACATTTGTTACATCGATCGCTCAACATGAATATGTGGCAATTTTTAAACATGGTGATGACTTGAGGCAGGATCAATTGATCCTACAAATGATTACACTGATGGACAAATTATTGCGGCGGGAAAATCTAGATCTCAAATTGACACCTTACAAAGTTTTGGCAACAAGTTCAAAACATGGTTTTCTACAGTACATCGATTCCTATACAGTGGCTGATGTTTTGGCACGAGAAGGCAGCATTTTGAATTTCTTTAGGAAACACAATCCCTGTGATTCGGCACCATATGGTATTATGCCGGAAACCATGGATACCTATATAAAAAGTTGTGCTGGCTATTGTGTCATTACCTATTTGTTGGGTAAATCAATACCAAGGAATTTTGAGTTTCTTTTTAATTATTAAAATTATGTTTTTTTTTTTCAGGTGTGGGAGATCGTCATTTGGATAATTTACTTTTGACCACAAATGGCAAACTATTTCACATAGATTTTGGTTACATCCTCGGTAGAGACCCCAAACCAATGCCACCACCCATGAAGCTAAGCAAAGAAATGGTTGAGGCGATGGGTGGTGTCACATCGGAACATCATCATGAATTTCGCAAACAATGTTACACTGCCTATTTGCATTTGAGACGTCATGCAAATGTTGTCTTGAATTTGTTCTCTTTAATGGTGGATGCTTCGGTGCCCGATATTGCTTTGGAACCCGATAAGGCAGTTAAAAAAGTAGAAGATAATTTACAATTGGGTCTAACCGACGAAGAAGCTGTCCAACATTTGCAAGGCCTGTTGGATATTTCGATTACAGCTGTTATGCCTGCTTTGGTCGAACAAATTCATAAATTAGCGCAATATTGGCGTAAATAAAATAATCGACTACCATTAGTGTTTTTTTGTTTAAGCGAATTTGTTAAATTATAATTATGCTATTAAATATGTGTATTAAATGATATGATATAAAATATATAATTACTTATATAAAAGTATTGAAAAGTGTACAATTTAAAATAATTTTTAACACAATATTCATTTGCATTAACAACGCCCTACGTTCCGGAAGGGCCAGAGTTATACTAGATAAGGTACTGTCAACTAAGCCTAATGTTGAAACAAAAGTTTGGCTGACACAAACAATGAATTATGCCATCAATCATGAAATTTAACAAACTAACATCTCCCTAGTTCTGTAATCTAAGATGGACATGGGAAAGAGGTGGCTATAATTTTCAATACTTCAAGTATAAAGCCAGAATATTTGCCATAAAAAATAATTTGGGATTTGGTTATTAAAAAGGCAACATCTAATTGGGGAGCATTTTTAATGACAAAAAAGAAGCATTAATTTACTCAGATTTGACTATTTTTTTGAAATTGCTATTGAAATTTGGAAACATAATTTTTAAGGGCATTCTGACTAAGATATATCTATTCTGTTGATCGTGAAAGACCTTTGTGGTCTATGTCTTGGACAGGTATAACATGGGGATTAGAAAAATTTCTTAGCACTCAAAAAATGTGCACTTCTCGCTAACGCTTCTCCACTCATGATGGTTTTGTTTAAGGATGCGCAGCAACAGGGTAGTCACAAACTGCATATCTCGGAGACATTTGATCCAGTGTTCTTCCTATCAAGAATAAAGTTGATGGGGATAGAAGAAATTTAGAAATGAGAAAGAGAAGTATAGGTAGCAGGTTGGTCTACCTTTAAGCAAATTTGTAGATGATGATGGGATATATGTCTGAAATGAACTTTGACATGTCTATCTTCCGGCTGTCAAATAGCATATGTCTCTTGTTGGATAACATGAGATATCTGCATAGTAAGTGTTCAATCGCCTATTACTATTTTTCAGCTTCACATAGTCTACAGTTGCTGTTGTAACAACTTCATATGTTTTGTTTGATTTCTGCTAATCCGGTTCTAACTCCAAAACCAACCATAACCATAACCAAAAATCTTCTGGAGTGAATGGGGTGGGCATTGCTCCCAATTACCTTGTTTTTTTGTAGGCAGCTGACGTTTTTCAGCTGTAATTGATGGAGGGTGGACTTTGAGGACGACATTCATACTGAAATTTTCGATGAGATCTGTGACTTCATCAGTTTGAATGTCACTCAGATCGGCCTGATAGGCTTCTTGATCTAGATTTTAGAGGCTATCTCTCTTATAGCGTTGGACGTCCCTCTCTATATCATACATAGTCTACAGTAGAAGTCAGGAACACTCTCATTCAGTGACCAGTCTTACATCAAACCTACTAAGTGCCATCTTCCAGGTTATTCCATGAGAGACTTTTTGAATTAGATGATATAAAAGCTTATTGGTGGTTTAAACAGTCTCAATTCGTTACCACTCCCCACTATGTTGCAATGTCAAGAAACCCAACAATGCTTAATGAGTCATGTATTTCAAGGTTGGCTTTCGTGCAGTCAAGAATGGCTCTCGGTTTAATGGCACTTGACTTGATGGCTTTAAGGGCCGTTTGACTATCGATATACAGGGTGAGATTAAAAAACTGTAACAAAGTCAAAAGCCATAATTTTTACATTTATTGAATGAAAGCAAAAAATGTTGGAAATAGCATCAAATTTTAGAATAAATTTAGATTTGTTGGCCAATGAAACCGTCACACGCTGCCCGAATGTTCCTCTGCGGTATTTTGGCCCATTCCCGGCGAAGCGCTTACTTGAGGTGATCGACACTTTGTGAATATCTATTGCCAACCATGCTTTTGAAAATATTCCAGACACAATAGTCCAACGAATTGGTATCCGGAGATTTTGAGATGACCCCCAGAATATTTTCGCGATAATATTCGGTATTTATTATGATCGATCGATTGATACGAGCGGGGAGCGACCATAGACTGTTATGGCGGCCCACACTATCACCATGGCCGGCGCATGAATTCTGGGGTTCAACCATTTTCAGCTGACATCTTTGGCAAGTAAGCACGATCATTTTGTTTGCTGCTGGACAACGAATGTTTTCTTCAGGCCACCACTTTCGGCCATTTTTCAATATTTGCCGAATAGAATATTGCGATATGTTCAGCTCACGAGCGATCGAAACGTATGAAGCGTATTTATATGTTTAAAGTCACAAGTTTGCATTTCGGCTGACTTCTTGATTGCTACGCCAGAATACAGTCGGTCCCAAACTGCAAACCTGGTACACTGATGGGAACGTCGCCGCATAACACCCAGACATTATCGGGTCATTTTTATGTGTGGACCAGTACAGAAATTATTTTAGGAATGCCGAAACATCGCCTCGTCAGTCTATGGATCATTGTTACTCGAATATTTAAGTCGAGATTATCCCTTCAGATCCGCTGACTGTCCGCGCCTACTTATTCAATTCGCACCTGCTCAATATATCTACTGGGCTTTCCACTATCCGCAACCTATAGATGCGCCCGATATCAATCAGATACGTTCCACTCACAATTTGTTTGTACAATTTTCAGTCTTTCTATTTGATAAGCACACTATTACAATTTTTCATTTTCTTATTATAGATAAAATTAAAACGCCACACCACATTCACAGTAATGGAAAAGTTTTTTTTATTGATAATTCAATTTTTAAAAAATTTGTGTAATTGGTAAATCTTAATATTCACTAGGGTCAGTAAAATATATAATTTTAGTTTTTAGTTTTTTTTAAGAATATTGCAATGTTTTTAAAATAGAAAAAAAAAAAAAATAATGAAAATGTTTTGTTGTGTGCATTTGTTCACAGTACAACAACGCAAGAAGGGTGCCAAAACGATAATAATGAAAAAATACAATCTAAGGTATGTGTGCGGTGCACTCTGATGGAAATAGTTTCCCCAATAATGATGATGATGTTGATGGATCAACTAGTAAATAAATTTAACTTTTAGAGATCGCCTGGGTTTCACACCACAAAAAAAGAAAAAAATTCAAAAACGAAACAAAAATAATGCCGATACACTGAAAGATATTTAGGGTTTTGCAGTGTTTCCAATTTTGCGTATTTTTTTTCGATCCACTAAGTTTGTTAGTAATATAAAACTGAAATTTATTTAAAAGCTATTTTAAACAATTAACTAAATTTTACACTATATCATTGTTCATGAGAACAAATAAACTTCCATAGAATGCCAACAACATATATTTTTCGATTCCTATTTTTTCTTCCTTTGCTTCCTTTGTTTTGCCTTAATACTAGCCGTAATGAAAAAACGAATAATTTAAAGAAGTAGCGCCGCACCACACCTTCCAACATTATGCATCAAATGTTATTTGTCGTCGAGCCTTAGCACTATTTGTGATAATTTCTGTGACCAATTGAGTGTGGGCCTTAACGGCCGAGCCACCACCGCCCGTACCTGCATATGTTATCATATTGCGTTGGTCTTTGCCGGTAAAATTCTTTTGTGCCGAATTCCTTACATCACAGTCCATATTCTCTCTCAGAGCATCAGCATAAATATTACTTTTCGAAGAGCTGTTTGGCAGGCTTTTATTAGGATCAATCATTTTCTTCCCACTTCTAGTATTGGATGATTGCGATGTTTCGATAATAACATCTTGTGATATTTGACCCAAGAAACTATTTGTCTGTGACATTGCCGTATTGTTGCCACTACAAAAGCCAGAGGTGTTTTGACTAATCGGCCCGAAGGAATCAAACGAACTGTCTCCATTGAATATGTTGAGCGACGAAACTTTATGGCTAAATGAAGATGAGGCTTGTGACAGAGATTGCGATGATGATTGCTGGGAGAGTTGTTTTTTCATTTGTTGATATTCTTCAGGGCCAATATAGCCGGATAGGCGGGAGGTGGATTGACGTTTGGTATCATCGATTTGGGATTTTGCCTGAAGATAAATGTCGTCGGCTGTGCCACCAGCTGTTACATTATAAACATACTTTTTGGCCAATCTAAACGGAAGCAAATGAAAATATCATTACAAGAACTATTTTTGCATTTAATTCGTTTACATACCTCAACATAGTTTCACTATTACTTGTACTGTTTTTCTGATAGTATTCCTGGAATATTCTCCTAACGACACGTGCCAAAATTGCTGCATACTGTTTGAAGCTCTCATGTTTGGCTGTAATTTTGCGTTCCTGCAGTGCCTGTGATACAGCCCACAATAATTTCTTCTTCTGGTTCTCAGTCAAACTATTCGACGAGGCCGTTGTTTCCGAATAGGATTTTTGCAGTTTCGACCCACCACCTAGTGATGTTATCGAACTGGCCCTCGCCAATGATTGGTTATTACTGCTGCTTATGCTCGAACAACTGACATTTGTGGCCATGCCTCGATTCGAAGCAGAAGCACTTGGCAATTGTTGTTTTGCTGATGAGGAACCAGCCCCAATGCAAAAACTTTGGCTTTTAATTTTCAAAGCTCGCGGTGTTAGACCGGAGCTACCTGTTTTCATGAGTTTACTATTCTGCATTGCCAGATCAACGTCATCAGCATCATCACAGGGATTTCGTTTACGTTTCAGTAACGATTCTAGCTGTGAACTGTTGTATGGTGCAAAATAGGTATTTTCTGTTGTGGCAGTTGATGTGTTATTGGTTTTTTGTTGGCCACTGATTTGTTGCTGTTGCTGTTTTTCTGGGGTAAAAAGCAAGGCACGTTTGGACTTTTCCACACGATTTGCTAATTCCGGTTTCATTGGGGGTGGTTTGGGCAGCGATGCTCTCTGCTGTTGTACATGTTTGGCGGGACTTTGGAATAGCGCGCGTTTCGAGGTTTCTCTTGATGGTCCCGGTTTAATGATGTCATTGCGGAACAAACGTTTACGTGCCGATGAACTTGGAGTTTTGCGAGCTGAAAGTTGATAAAAGGACTTTGATTATATTTGGTGTCGACGGATAGTCATGATTTGTAAAGTTCTAGGATCCTCCAGAGTTTTTCTATCTATAATATTGTTGTTTATAAAAACAACAATAATGGGATTCAGTCTGACCATTTTGCAACAACAAAATACCATGGTATCGCGAGCAAACATGCCAACACTGTTCTATTAATAGACAAGGTTCGGTCGAAGAAGGGGTTTTTGTTGTAACAGACACAAGCAACTTACATTGTTATGCTACTTCACTCATGTAAAACGAAATCATAACAAGTGGAGAAAGATGAAAATGTTTATAAGGGCGGTTGTAAGATTTAGAAGATTTTTGAAAAAGAATTTTATTTTTTTTTGTAATTCTTTGGTTCCTCTTCTATTGAGCACGATCTCGCCACTTGGGTAAAAGAAAATTATCATTGGAGTTATTTTTAAAATAACTGGGGAGAATATCCCAGACAAAAGAAGGCAACTGATGAGGATTGGTGGCTCTTTCCGAAACCTAGGTATTCCCTGCCTTACCCCCTGGTAAACATGACCATCGTTCTCCACTAATAAACAAATGTTGTTTTTATAAAAACAACATAAATGGGATTAAGCCTCACCTTTTGCAACAATAAAATACTATGGTATCCCGAACAAACATGCCAACACTGTTCTAAAATATTTTCTATACATATGAGTCTTCAATATACCAAAACTCCAGGACCTTCCAACATAAGAAAAAGCTCCAAAAAATTTTTCCCTAAATACACGTCCTTTTAGCGTCTTTGAATAATATATTTAAAACCTTCTGGACGACTTTTATACATAACGAAACTTTTAAAGATCAAGGATTACTACACTGTTAACAGTACATCCTGTCCAATGTCTTTCAACAGATGACTTATACTTGGGAGAGTTAATGCTCAAATACCTGGAATACATCTTTGATGCGGAACTAGCAAAAATTATCAAACGAGAAAACAATGGGGCGAAAGCGAGACATGAGAATTACTTTTCCAACAAAGACTTATTTCACCACCTCTCATATCTCTATATACTATATCTCTTTTTTCCATTTCTTTCTCTCTTCTCAAGTATAAACACAATGGTTTCAAAGAAGGCAACTACTTGTCCTTTAACCAATGACAAAGAAACTCCCGGTGCCAGACTTTGTACAACCTTGGGATCTATACTAGGTTCCTACTGTGTTGGGATAATGACATGTAAATTTTGATTAATGTTGTCAGGAGATTCAACCACAGGCTAATGACCAATTTTTGGTTAATATACTTGGGAAGAAGGTATTGTCATCGGTTATCTGCTTGTATAAAAAAATCATTGCTTCTGCGTAAACAGATCCAGACAAAACTAATATTCTAATATTCGTTTTAAGTAGAATCCAATCAATCTCATGTAATTCGAACATTAATTGCTCGGTATAGATTATGATGCAAGAACTGAATATGGACATCATATCGTCCATTGTATTTTCATTGGGGACAATAACATACAAAGAAGAAGTAGACATATTTAATATGGTATGCATTATATTGGGTCTGTTTTTGTTTAAGAATAGGCAGCTACACGGCAGTCGATGTCTTTCGGAGACCCTTGAACCAAAATGTTCTTCCTAGGAAGAATAAGTAGAGGTGACAAAAGAAACGAGAAAGAAAAAAGGGCTTGCAGTAGGGTAGCCAGTATCAAGAAGATGCGTTTTCGCAAGCTTACAGAGAAATTTGGATTCAACCTCTGAATTTTGATCTCCCACCTCCTAAAAAGACTTTGTGTCATTTTTGATAACATGGGGCTTCCTCATCCTCGTATAGTCTACAGTAGTGTAGACCACTGTTAATTCCATTTTGAGGTCAGGCCCTTTGGTTTTAAATCTCTCCAATATTCCTATTCTAGTCCACTTTTTTAGATTAGATATTCTAAAAAATAGAGGGGAGCGGGTTCTTTTTCTCAATATTACCGGCCAGATACCTTTCAATCAGTTTTATCTTCCAGAAATCTTCTAAAAATAGAATATCATTATTATTTGAGGTTGCTGTATGTTCTATTCCAATTTTTTCCATGTATGCCAGATGCCTTACATGCTTTAAATTAATATAAAACCTAATAGATGTCCACTATACCTTCCAACTGGTTTTCAAGTGTCATCATATGTATATATTTTTCGATGAGAGCTTTTTGAAGCAGCTGACAGTCTCATCGATCGGCAGATTAATCGACTGAGAATCACTAATTCTAATTTATTAGTCATTGCTAATATGTTTCTATGTTTTGGGACCCATCAAAGCTTAATGCATTTTCGCATTTCAAGGAGGGTTTTCTTGCAATCAAGAATGGCTATCGATTTAGCGACACTTGACAAGCTTTAACGGCCATCTGACTAGGAATTAGAAGCGAAGCTTTTTTTGAAAAGATTTGTATTTTTTTAAATACCACTTTGTCGTTCCTTTCCACTATCATGACCCAAGCCCAAATATCTGCCCATCTGACAGAAATTTAACAATAATTCCAATGTACTCACTTTTCTTTTTGCTGCCGGGTGTCATACGTTTTGGTGTGGCCTTGCGGCGGTTCTTCGGTTTCCTGTTAACATAAAAATAAATAATGATATCATTTCCAATAAAAACATTAAAAAATGTTCATACTTTTTGTCTAGCACAATTTGGGGACCCAATAAGGTGCTGGATTTCTGTGAGGTCGTGGCCAAATGGGCTGAAGAAAAGATGGCACGACGTTTGGCCAAATGACTCAAACGATTACCGGGACTCTGACACAATAATCTGTGTGATGAAAATTAAATAAAATTAATCAGTCATTAATCATAATCATAAATTAATGCAAGCACTTACTTCATTCGAGTGCTGCGCTTCTTGGCCGATGAAGGTGAATTTTGATATGATGAGGCTGTTTCGGCTCCAATAAATCTTTCCATAATTGATAGACTTAAATATTCATTGTTTTCAGAGGCCTTGTTAAGGTTATAGCTACAATAAGAAATACGTCGTCACTATTTATTTCTCAATGAGAAACGGGTTTTTCACATACCTTAAACCATGTTGTCTTACACCCAAAATATCACGCCATGGCATTGTTTTGGTCTCATCAAGGCTGTGAGTGGGTTTAAATAAACTGGGTATTCTCTGGGGTTTTGTTTGAACTTGTTGGGGCTCATTGGCCTTTTGTGGTGATTTTTGAAAGAAATTTAGCAGCGCATCTTTGCGCGATAAAACTGCATTGAACATATCCAGTTGTGGTATTGTAACCGATGGCGGCGGCAAAACACCAGCCAAACATTTTCGTATGCGCCTCAACATTTCTCTTTCACGGCGACAATTTTCTCTAAACAGGCTATAGTTATCTGTGCTGCTGTTTTGGGTTAGACTGCAATCCATGGTGCAATCATCGTTGGCAAAGCTGCCATCAACGGGACAACTAAATGAATTATTGGTTTCATTGGGGCATGTGGACGAGGTGGTTTTGTGGATTTCTTCATTTGCTGCTAGTTCTTCAGTTATCGTTTTAGGATTTTGTACTTCACCTTTGGTTTCCTCTTCCTCCTCGTGTCCACCACAATCATCAGCCTCCTCTTCGTCGTCATCATCACCAAATAAATCTGGTGATTTTTCATTGCTGTATTTTTTCAATATAAACGATTCCGAAAATTGCTGTTGTGACGTATTCAATGAGGTTTCCAATACCGGTGGCAAACGATTTTGTGCTTCCAAGGAAACATTCAAGGTTTCTTCCTTTTTACTTAAACTTTTAATTTTACCATTAAATGACAATTCCGATGAGGGGTTTGCGTCCGTTTGATTTGATAGGTTACTAGAACTGCTGGATCTGCGTAGCGGCAACACTGCAGGATCGTTGGAGGACATTTGTATGTCGACCGCATTACAGCTATTCTCCTCCACAATTGTGTCATAAAATTTGGTGAAAACGATTTTACCGGGCGATGGTTTCCGTGGTGCCATTTGACTTTTACTTTCACTGGAATCTGCTGCTGTTGCCACATTAGCTGCAATTAGACCCGATGGTTGATGCGGATAGAAAATGCGTTGCAATTTGTCAAATGGACTATTGCCAAAACCTTCAAACGATGACTCCTGGCTGGAATGCAGTGGAATGCCAAACAACATTTCTCTTTTTCCTTTGCTGTTTAGAACACTGTCTTTGCTTGCCTGCGAAGATGACGACGATGCTGATGAAATACTATCGTTTGCATGCAAACTGGCAATGGGAGCCATAGGTGTTGTAGTGGTAATAGTTACTTCATTGCTATAGGATGGCGGCTTTATAATGTAATCGAGTTGATCATCATCATAGATGCTGCTGTAATCATTGTTTTCACTGATCGAAGACTGGAATTAGAAAGAAACGAGAAACGAGAAGCGAGCAGGGTAGACCCAACGCTGTATTAGCCAATGTCAAATATGCGAATTTTGTGATAGAATCTCCTTTGACATAGAACACATGGCTTAAATCTTTTTCAAAGAAGAAGAAGAATATGTCATAAAGTATTGTCTTTGTCCTCAATGCTCTCAACAACAACAAGAAGTAAAGGTGTATATTCCGTAAACAAAATGGCCAAAGAAACGTCTATCGGTCTTTGAGTGAAGACCATTACTAAATATTCGTGTATACCTTAATTCTTCATAAAAGGGATTTTTCCCAAAAACAACCGAATATACTCTCACTCTCTCTGCTTTTCTTCATAGGGTACAATGTTGAAATAAAAACAACAAAATATATTTATGTGTTATTGGTGTATCCCGACTGTCAGTTATTTGTGTATATCCGAGCGCGGCACTATAATAGTTTATGACCTGGGTATTTGGCATTTTTGTGACTGGCACAAACACACTCGCAGTAATACAATAACATTTGCCATGCATCAGTAGCACATTGCAGTCAGCCACGCATGCGCGCACACTACGAGTACACTTTGAAACACCAATGAAGTACATTATCCGTCCAATGTATGAGTGAGGTGTTCTATCTATGTGCGTGCCATCGAAATTGTGGCGCACACAATATGGCATAGGGAACATAAAGCGAAAACAACTCACAGACGCTGTTTTGTATCCCTAAAATCGTTTATTCTGCTCTCTTCCTCTCACTCTCTCTCTCAAAAAAGGAAGAATGGAATAATTTATTTTTATAATTCCACACATAAAAATGAGAGAGCATTGCTCTGAACATAAGGAATAGAGAGAGGGTATTAAATCTCTGAGATATGTCGAAGGGTAAAGATCATTAATTCAAAAAAAAAAAAACGGAATTTATTTTATAGCCTTTAACAGATAAAAAGAAATTTCATTTAACAAAAATAAAGAAGGTGGGGAGGAAGTTAGAAAAAGAAGAAAAACAATTTCTTGCTTTTGCATCCCAGCCATTAATTATATATTTTACTGCTAAGTGCTTCAACCAATCAACTTTATCTATGTACATACCTACCCCCAACAATAAAAGATATAAATTGTTAAAGTAGCAGCTAACTACTAAATGGGATTATTTTATTTCTGTTAGTTTAATAACCATATTCAATGAATATAATATGCATAGCCGATAATCCTTCACTAGGGTGGAATGCAAAGCTTAACGACCTTTTGACTTAATATGGTAGGCGAAGCATTCACCTTGTGAATTAAGTAGGCGGTGAAATGGCTTATAAAATACAAGACTTTTTTGGTTTAATCTATCCATCCATATGACGATATGCACCTATTCAGTCTTTCTACTGCCACGGGAGAAAGACCGTATTACAAACTATACATATCAGACTATGAGAGTTATAGGAAAACGTGGACCTATAGGGTGAGTGGAAATACTGCAACAAAGTCAAACGCCATAATTTTTACATTTTTTTAAATTTTATTGAATGAAAGCAAAAAACGTCGGAAATAGCATCAAATTTTAGAATAAGTTTAGAGTAGTTCAAATTGGTCACCTCTGTCACGAATTATGGCTTCAAACGGCCAATGAAACCCTCACATACTGTCCGAATGTTTCTCTGCGGAATTTTGGCCCTTTCCCGGCTTGAATTCCATCACGAATAACTTTTTCCGGAAAATTCTCACCAAAATGCTTTTGTACGCTTGTAAACAATATAATGAGCTGTCACTGGAATAATTTTAACAGCTGTCGGAAGAGTGGCTTAGAAATGACATCAGTCTGTAGTTGATTGCAGTTTTTTCATCTCACCCTGTATACCGATAATGTTCTGATACAGGAGATACAACCCACTACGAACTCTAAGTACCAAACTTCAAACAATTCCGTTTAAAAATCTGACGTTACCAAAATGCCAAATATCGAAAGGCCAATGGGGACTATGCGAAAACGAAGATCGGCATGGCTCATTTACGAATTTAACCAGCCTACTGACAAAATACACATGCATACAAAATTTTAGCATTTGGTGTCAATTTGTTTGAAAGGTTACAACAAACAGACGGACTGACGGACAGACACACAGACAGACGGTCATCGCTTTGTAGGCTCTAAAATCAGAATTACAAGAACTTTTAAACGGAATGATAAACTTAATATACACTATATAGTATGGTGGAGGGTGTAAAATGAAGAGTGAGAATAAAGTATAAAATTACTTTGTTTCAAAAAAAAAAAAAAAAAAAAAAAAAAAAAAAAATCAAAAGCCGTAAAATTTGGGAATAATGTACATGGCCAAATACTTTTCTACCGTATACGTGCTCAAGATAGCAAAATAAAAGTGACAGTACATAAAAGGCTTTTTTGAATGGCTTAATTAATCGGCTGGTTCTTCGTAGAGGAACAAATGAGTTTTAGGTTGAATTAGCTCGAACGAATAACGCTTGCATATCACTGAATTTTATAATCAAAATGCGTGCTCTGTTTGGGAAGATCATTGAGCGCTTCTACCATTCCATTGTCTTCTGCGACGAATCTCATTTTTGGCTTAATGGGTTCGTAAATAAGTACAATTATCGACTTTGGAATGAAGATCAGCCAGAAGCATTGCAAAATCAACTGATGCACCCATAAAGTCACAGTTTGTTGCGATTTATGAGCTGGTGACATCATCGGAACGCGATTCTTCAAAGAAGTTGCGTTACTGCGAAATAATATTAATTTTTTTACTCAATATAAAAGAGCTTAGCTTTGCATGACATGTGATTTAAAAAGACGGATGCAACACAGTGTGTGTAACAACGGACTTATTTAGAGGCAAGTTCGGTGAACATTTAATTTAATGTTTGGGACCTGTTAGATAGTGCGATTTAATGCCTTTAAACATTTTTTGTCTGGCTATGCCTATACAAACGAGTCAGTTTCAATTGAGACATTGGAAGACAACATTAGGATACCGGTCGAAATGTTGGAAAGAGTATGCCAAAATTGAACTAAGTGGACATACCATTTGAGGGGTAGCCGCTGTCAACATTTGCATGAAATAATCTTTAAACATTTAATTAATAGTGTCAAAATAAATAAAAATTTCATGCACTTTTTGAATTTTATGTGTCTTTTTCTTCAAAAATGTCTCTATAGCATAGAAACTATACCAAATATTTGACCCGCACTAACAATTTCTGCAGACAGGGGTTTATATTTACTTATAGGATAGGTGAATATTGCCGATTTTAAATATAAATCGTCCAACAATAGACACAGACATAGCTAAATCGACTTAGAATTTCATTCTGATCACAAACAAACAAATACTTAATGGGAACTCAGATGTATTATTCGAGGTGTTACAAATGGAGTGACAAACTTAAATACCCTATGATGAAGGGTACAAAGTGATGTTGAGTTCGGCAATTTCAAGTTTGTTGTATTCCATTTATCATAAAGAATTTTAAAAGTATAACTCAACTGTACAGAAATACAGATCAATCAAGGGCTGTAACACCAATAATTTGATGGATCGTAAAACTATAAATTCAAGTTGCATTCCTCTTTGAAATATGTCAATTCATTAAGCTGTATTGGGTTTTAGTACAAAACAACAGAGTGAGGAATAAAATGGCTAATGAATTAGCTTGAGGAAGCTTCTAGTCGATTGATCTACTTATTGATGGGATTGTCAAAATTGCCCAAAAAGCTCTTCTCGAAGAATCTGGCAGAATATGGTACTTGGACACCGGTGCAAGGTATCTAGGATCATCTTTCCTGCAATGTGGAGAAAAACAATCTGCTCTCTCGTGGTAGGTATACTGACTGGGAACAGCAGTATCAGATATTTGACTGGGATATCAGTGGTCTTAACTATTGTAGACTTTGTGAGGATGAAGAAAAGGTAGAGGTAATGGAACACCTAATTTGCGGATGCAACATATGTCGCAGGAAAAATAGGATCTTTGGTATGTTGGAGGCATCTTTATTTAAAGGTCTGCTAGAAGCATCTCCTGACTAGGCAAATCACATTACTATTAATACGTCTATACTAACCCTTCCTTGTTTTTCGCTTCTATATATTTAGTATTAACACTTATAATTTTTTCCCTAGGATAGCCACAATGGATCAAAGGTCTCCGAGTGAAGCAGCAATGATCGTGAATTTCTCAATAATTTTTTCTAAAGGACTATCAGAATCTTCTTCTTCAGATGATTCTTTAAAAAATAAGTATGAGACCGACTATCGTGTATGATCGTGAATTTTGAAGAGCTCAGCCTGATTCTCTAATCTTGGATTTTTCAATCAATATTTATGAAGAATACTTGACCGCTTTTTACTCTGATCGTTGATTTTTTCTAGGAATATTTTTTTGGTTTTAAAGCTCGTTTCGTCTAAGTATACATAGAAACGATAACTATAGATTTGGTTGGGTAAACACAACGAAAGACGATTTATATGAGAGGAATGTCCACCTCTGAATCGATTTCTACTAAATTTGCCGAGGCATTTGTACCTTTCCAATTCGGGCTTATATGTTAATATATCTGGTGCATAAATGCATATCTGAACCGATCCCGATAAAATTTGTAGAAGGTATTTCTGAGCTGTATTTGATATATTTCCCCGAATTTCGTTGTTACAGAGTGCATTTTGCGATTGTGGATAAAATATGCAACAAATCGGATGAACATTATATTTGGGACCAGCTATAGCTATATCTGAACCGATTTTCACCAAATTTGACATACTTGTTTCTATGCCCAATTTGGTCGTAAGTGCCAAATTCAATCCCATTTGGGCGAATATTACACGTTTGGCGCACAATAAAAGGCAAATCGGACGAAGATATATATGGGAGCTATATCCAAATCTGAACCGATCTCGATATATTTTGGTTGTTACAGAGTGCATATTACAGCCGTGGAGGAAAAAAAAACAAATTGGATGAACAATATATATGAGAGCTATAGCTATATCTGAACCGATTTCCATCATATTTGGCAAACTTATGTCCTAGCTTAATTTGGTCGTATGTGCAAAGTTCCATACTTTTGGGCCGATATTACACGTTCGGTGCACAATAAAGCTATATCTAAATGTTACCTCCAATTTCATAGGGGTCGCCATGGGGTCAAACAAATTATTGTGCAAAATTCCATCTGGATCGGGCAATAAATGCGACTTGTACTTTGTTTACAAAAATACATGGGCAGACAGACGGACGGACATACATAAATCGTCTCAGGATGTGATTCTATGCATATCATCAACAGGAACTATGGAAGTATCTTTTTTCCTTTTGCCTGTTACAAACAAATGCACAAAGACATAATACCCTGATCTCATTGTGGTGTAGGGTATAAACACGCAAAAGAAAATATTCAAGTTTATCATTGTGTCTAATTGCTTCCGATTTTTCTTTAAAAATACCCATACCCGTACAATAATTCACGTCATAGAAAAGTTAAGTAATTCCTGGCGTATTTCGACATTAGTGCCACCATAAAACCCAGTTTTCCTTTCTATGCGTAATCGCCCATTCATATCATATTGCATTAGTTGCATTGTAATGATTCTAATGTAAGACGGAAGAGCATTTAGGCTATAAAAATCCCAACAATGATATGACATTTTCACCACACTACATTCCTCTCAAGACATCAACGAAAGAAAAAGAAATAAGGGGAAAACTCTTGCACGTAAACATATTCCAAAAAAGTTTTGGACGAATAACAACTATACGAAATCAAATAAGGTGGTTGTTTTATAAACCGGTTATATGCAATGTGTAAACAATAATAAAATGTTTGGTGGGTGCACAGACACTGGCTGCCTGCAACTGCATCAGCTGATAAGTTTGGAAATATACTTTGTAGGTAGGAGGAATTTACCAAGAATTAAAAAAAAAAAAAAAAAACTCTGACCTCGTCTTGACAATTGATTGATGATCAATATTTAAATAATGTTTGTGTACACTACTTTTTGGATTGATAGATAAAACTTTACAGGGGCATAAGAAGAACTAGTATATTTACACTAATAGATTGGTGTAGCTATTTCATCATAGTTATTTCCAGTTCATTTCCAATGAACGCAAATAATTAAGAATTATTCCAGTTGGAATTGTGGAGAGTTGCAATTGGAATTGACAAATCACATGTTTTCATGGAGAGATTTTCCTCATTCAAATCTTTTCTTTACCACAAACTCGTTTTCTTTTCCGTTAAGTTTTCCAGTCTGTTAAGCGAGGAAGGAACAAAGTCTGATTGTCAAAAAAATCGTGCATAAGCATACCAGAAATATAGCTTACAATTTTTTCACTGCAACATTTAGGTTTCTATTAAAAAAATATAAAAACTGAAATTAAATTATCATTTAAATAACATTACCTTACCTAAAAAAGGTCATTGAAACAAATTGGAATATAAACAAACTATCATGTATCGTTCCTACCCTCCTTATGAGCCAGTGACAATTTCTACGGGACTTGAACTAACTACACAAATTTTTATCACTAGTCCGTACACTGCAATTATATGACAGAATGCAAGTGCCGTTATAGTTGACATATTTTTACCGCCCAAATTTATTTATGGTGGTCGTCGTTACGGCTTCCTTGTGCTCTATGTCAACGAAGCGTACAGAAAAGTAGATAATAACAAGTAAAAAAGCAGTAAGTTCGGCCGGGCCGAACTTTGAATACCCTCCACCATTTGGAACAAATTAGAAAATTTTCAAAAAAAATAAAATCCAATAAAAATTCTTTTAAAATCCTTAAAATATCTAATATAGGAAGGTGCCGATATATGGGGGGATATACGATATTGTGGACCTATAAAGACAAATCTATGTCTGCGTGTAAAGTACTCACAAGGAACTTCGTGTGTGGATTTTCAGACAATACGATTGGAAAATGTGGCTAAAATCATCAAAATACCGAATATCGCGGGGTACCGTTATATGGGAGCTATACATTATCGTTAACCTATATAGAGAATTCTCTGTCGGTGGGTAAAGTGCTCACAAAGAACCCCTTGTGTACAAAGAACCCCTTGTGACCATTCCGTTGAAACATATGGCTAAAAACATCAAAATACCGAATATCGGGGGTACCCTTATATGAGGGCTATACAATATCGTGGATCTATATAGATAATTCTCTGCCGAGGTATAAAGTACCCACAAAATGTGGATCAAATCATAAAATACCGAATATCGGGAGGTACCGTTATATGGGGGATATACGATATCGTGGACCTGTGTAGACAATTCTCTCTCAGGGGGTGAAGTACTCACAAGGAACTACTTGTTTTGATTTTAAGACAATTCCAACGAAAAGCGTGGCTAACATCATCAAAATACCGAATACCGGAGGTTACAGTTATATGGGGGATATACGATATCGTGGACCTACATAGACACTTCATTTTGAGGAGGTAAAATGCCCACAAGGGACTCCTTTTGTGGATTTTCAGACAATTCCGTTGAAAAATGTGGCTAAAATCATGAAAATACCGAATACCGTGGGGGTACCGTTATATGGGGGCTATACGATATTGTGGACCTATATAGATAATTCTCTGCCGAGGTATAAAGTACCCACAAGGAACTCCTTGTGTGGATTTTCAGAAAATTCCGTTCAAAAATGTGGGTAAAATCTTCAAAATACCGAATATCGGGGGGTACCGTTATATGGGGGCTATACGATATCGTGGACCTATATGGACAATTCTCTGCCGAGGTATAAAGTACCCACAAGGAACTGCCCGTGTGGATTTTCAGACAATTCCGTTGAAAAATGTGGGTAAAATCATCAAAATACCGAATATCGGGGGGTACCGTTACATGGGGGCTATACGATATCGTGGACCTATATGGACAATTCTCTGCCGTGGTATAAAGTACCCACAAGGAACTCCTTGTGTGGATTTTCAGACAATTCCGTTGAAAAATGTGGCTAAAATCATCAAAATACCGAATATCGGGGGGTACCGTTATATGGGGGCTATACGATATCGTGGACCTATATGGACAATTCTCTGCCGAGGTATAAAGTACCCACAAGGAACTCCTTGTGTGGATTTTCAGACAATTCCGTTGAAAAATGTGGGTAAAATCATCAAAATACCGAATATCGGGGGGTACCGTTACATGGGGGCTATACGATATCGTGGACCTATATAGATAATTCTCTGCCGAGGTATAAAGTACCCACAAGGAACTCCTTGTGTGGATTTTCAGACAATTCCGTTGAAAAATGTGGGTAAAATCATCAAAATACCGAATATCGGGGGGTACCGTTATATGGGGACTATACGATATTGTGGACCTATATAGATAATTCTCTGCTGAGGTATAAAGTACCCACAAGGAACTCCTTGTGTGGATTTTCAGACAATTCCGTTCAAAAATGTGGCTAAAATCATCAAAATACCGAATATCGGGGGGTACCGTTATATGGGGGCTATACGATATCGTGGACCGATATAGCCCATCTTCGAACTTGACCTGCCTGCAGACAAAAGAGAGATCTGTGCAAAATTTTAGCTTCCTATCTTAATTCGTTTAGACTGTAGCGTGATTACAACAGACGGACAGACGGACAGACGGACAGACGGACAGACGGACAGACGGACGGACAGGGCTAAATCGTCTTAGAATTTTACGCTGATCAAGAATATATATACTTTGTTGGGTCTAAAATGATTATTTCGATGAGTTACAAACGGAATGACAAAGTTAATATACCCTCCATACCTTTTTTGGTGGAGGGTATAAAAATCCCCAAATATGGTGGAAATGGTAAACGTAAACAATGTACCCATGTCGTTTCTTCCAATAACTGAAATACATACATATGACTGGGAAAGTTTGAAACAGCTGATTCTATATCTATGATTGAGGGTATGCTTTTCCGCTGGTATAAAATGAATGAGAAAAGGTATATTTTATATTTTTTCTACTTACACCACAACCCGATTCCGACTCATAGCTGTTATTGATTTTGATTTTCAATTTCAAAGACATTTGGGGACACGGCTGAAATAAAATAAAAATGCAAATTATTATTGCTTCAATACTTTTGTCACGTAATTCCACAGATCCACCATCATCCCAAATTAATTTTCTTTTTTTTTACATTCGGTGGAAAGTTTCATTTGCACACTAAATCATACACAAAAAGAACCAAATCATTACCTTTTTCAAAGTTAACAACTGGTCACGTTAAGAAAAAGTTTGTTTAAAATTTCTCATATAATTTTTTGGAAAATAAAACCACAGCTGATAAAGATATAAATACAGTGTGTGGATGGGGAGAATCAATAGAGAAAAAGACCGCGATCTTCTCTGCTGCTGCCACTGCCTTTTTTTAGTGGAACGCGGGCGCACTTTTGCTGTCACCACCGTACGTACGTAGCAATAACAACAATAACAATTTCAACGAGGCGAGGCTTTGTCTACACAAGTCTTTTTTGTGAAGGAAAATAATTACTTTAACGCGTTCGCTTTACTTTAACTTCACTACTTCAAATATATTCTTTCACTTTATAACAACTCAATCATTTTGGTTTTTTAATAAAATCCAATCGAATTGAGTAAATATTTCCACGATCTCTACATAGCCAACACAAAAAAACTAAGAAAATTTTTAGCCAACAAGCAAGACAGAGTTGCCAATAGTCACCAAAAAAATATTTTGTTTTTCTTCTGTGCCCCGTATTTTCTTCGATCACCCAGCTGTTTGAATTGGTTAGGTGGCCAAGCAACATATTTAATTTATAATACTTGTTTGGCGCCGTTAAATAAACACAATGCGAACGTCAGAAATATGTCTGCTTATTTTCTTCAAAGGTAAATTGAATAATCTGCCATGCTAAAGAATTGATAGAAACGCTATATTGCTCTGATGTTTTTTATCATTGAAATTCTCTTTTTTTTCATGGTAGAATTATTAGAGTGTAAAAGCAAAACTACAAAATATGCAATTCAACAACCACCACATAGAAAAATGAAATTTAGATTATTAAATAGAAAATGCAGAGCGGAAAGCTTAAAATCCTTATTATTATTCCACTGAATGTATAGTTTTAATTTGAATAGATCGATAAAGGCTGAGAAGGCATTCCCGTTGCATTAAAGTGAATTCTATATAAATAATGTATCACAAAATGGAAATTAAAACACAAAACGTCATATCCACGCTAGTATTCATGGTAGAAGAACACAACGCTTGGGAACATTGATATGTCAAAATGTTTAAAATATTTTGTTAAAAATGAGTAGATTTTTATATTTTTTTATTATAGGAAGCAAATCAGAGGTTGTTACTATATACATTTTTCAACAATTTTTACAAATTTCAATAATTAGTCACAATAGTCACAAGCTGCCCGAATGTTGTTCTGCGTTATTTTGGCCCGTGTCCGGCGAAGCGCTTGCTTGAGGTAATCGACACTTTGGTATTTTGTAGTGCCAACCTTGCTTTCCAAAATACTCCAGACACAATAGTCTAACGTATTGATATACGTAGATTTTGGTGGCCATTGTGCGCTGGAAATGAAGCGAGGAACCTCATTTTGTAACCATTCTTGGGTGGCGCGTGCGTAAAGGGCAACCTCCAGAATGTTTTCGCGATAATATTCGGTATTTTTTATGATGTCACGATCGATTAATACGAACGGAGAACGACCATCGGCCGTGGCCGAGTCTAGAATTCTGGTGGCCAACCGAACTTTCGCATTTTCAGCTGACCTCTTCGGCAACTGAACACGATAATTTTGTGCGTTTACAAACTGCTGGAAAACGAATGTTTTCTCATCGGAGAAAACCAAATTCGGCAGTCTACCACTTTCGGGCAAGCGAAGCAACTTTTTAGCTTTTTTGAGTGTATTTTCTTTTTGTTGCAGTGTAAGTTCTTGCACTTTTTGGAATTTCAATGGCTCATTTTTCAATATTTGCCGAATGGAATATTGCGATATTTTCAGCTCACGAGCCATTTTTCGGTCACTGCGACGCGGGTTTCGATCAAGTCGCTTCTTTACTTTTCGAACCATTTCTGCTGATGTTGCTGTTTTCTTCCGTCTACTTCCTTGACGTCGGGCTGCTCTACCAGTATCACGGTAACGAGCGATGGTACGATACACAAATGATTTATTGACATTTAAATGGTAGGGTGCTCTAACGATAGCCACTTGTGGTTTTCCAGCCAAATATAAAGAAATCTCACTATCACGCTTGAATTCCATTACGAATAACTTTTTTTCTGGAAAGTTCTTATCAAAATGCTTTTATACGATTGTAAACAATATAATAAGCTGTAACTGGAATAATTTTAACAGCTGTCGGACGAGTAGCTTAGAAATGACAGCAGTCTGAAGTTGGTTGCAGGTTTTTTATCTAACCCTGTAGTTCCCTCTGAAACCAAACTATAACTGCTCTGAAACCACTACTATTTCAAGTAAATTATTTTCTTACGGAAGCTCTACTAAATATGCATAGTGGTGTAGGGTATCATATAGTCGGCCCCGCTCGACTTTTGATTTTTCCTTACTGGTTGTAAAGTCATAGTTATATTAGGTCTGTCTGGCCACTCAGAGAGTAAGGCAAACCTAGTCTCTTTTGAAAGAGAGAAATGGAAGCAGACAATATTTTCTTAAAAAACTGGAAGCAGTCAACAGATTTTTCAATTTTTTATTGTATTTAGAATAAAATATAATAATTTATTAAAAAAAAAATAAAATTGGCTAATAAACGTAGAATTGTCCTATTGTGGACACTTGAGTGATTATATGTTTGTAATTACCCCCATACTATGGAGAGTATCTAAGTCGATCGAAAAGGGAAATGAAACGAAGGTAGCCACTTGAAATCGTGTTAAATTGGGTTTCTCTAAATTCATAGGTATTTTCATAGGCATATTCAATGATTTGTTTATAATAATCTTTCCATATATCCAAAAAGAATATGAGACAAAACATTTCAACATATTAATTTTATACAGATCCTTGTTTTATTTACTGTAATTATTATTACTATTGTTTTTATTTTATCATTAATTGTTGTATATATAACGTAAAACGTTAAAGCTTAGCTTACGGTAATGTAAATACACATTTAAGGAAAATTCTTGTTGACACACAATGTAAATATATATAAATATGTTTATGTGTATTTATACATAAAATTAAAAACAAAACATTATTTTTTAGAAAGAAAAATAAAAATAGGAATTTAAAAAAAAATACGACATGTATATATATTGACTAGAAGTTAGGAAGTAGTAGTAGTAATGGTGTTGTTGGTGGTGGTGGTAGAAACAATACAAACAAATCAATAGATTATCTGGTTTTGTATTGTAAAATGATAAAATACATAATATACTTAAAAATAGGTGGGATTTTTTAAATATTAATTTTAGAATTTTATATTATCTGCTAAATGCAGTCATAAAATGTTTATGAATTTTTATATTTATGTTTTTTATTTCATGTGGAATGATGGTATTTTTGTTTTTTTTTTAGAAACAAGTTGTTCAAAGAGAAACAAATAAATAGTTGTTGGGAGTTTATTTACGATTGTTTAAACTTATTCACTAAAATAATCTTATTATTAATAGTTTGTTTGTTTTAGAAGATAAATCTTGGGCGAGGATTTTGAGTAAATTATGGATATGTTAGGACCTAGGTAAATGTATAAGTAAATCAAAAGTTTTATGAGTCTTTAAATATTATCTGCTGGTGAAACAAGTTGGAATGGATGGCGTTAGAGGACAGAGATACTTTCCTTTTTTGTAGTTAATGTAAAACTTTGATTTCACAAAATAATGTCTAAAACAACTTTAGGCAGCTGTGAAAATCTGTGGTACTATAGAATGTTGATTTTAACGGTCAAGTACAACACAAACGAATGTTTGATATTTGAGATGACAGCGTTACCATTAAAAAGTGCCTGGTCTATATTTTCTATTGTTTCTGGGAAAGCATAAGCCCGTTGGATTGTCGTCCTTGACGGATGGCAGCTGTGAAAATCTGTGGTACGATAGAATGTTGATTTTACCGGTCTAGTACAACACAAACGAATGTTTGATATTTGAGATGAGAGCGTTACCATTAAAAAGTGCCTGGACTATATTTTCTATGGTTTCTGGGAAAGCATAAGCCCGTTGGATTGTCGTCCTTGGCGGATGCTGATAACCACAGGTTATTTAACCAGGCCACTCTTATGACAGAAGATGTAGATTTGAAATTTAAAATCTTCCCCATATTCCTTAAAATTCAATAAGCCGAGAGATGGAATGACGGATGGAGAGCGGGAATCGCTTATAGGTTAGTTCAGAATTTGGATGCGCAACCTTTAGTTTGAAAACCATTTGATTGTTACTTCAAACAGACACAAAGGGTTCATTGTCATCCTGACAATTTACCTAGAATAAATGAATATTAACATCAAAATGAAGAAGATCGGTCAGAACTAATTTATAGTAATTCGAGGACTTTTGAGAAGTTAATTAAGGTCAATGGTTCCCTAATGGAAAGTTGGAAAAGAAGAAGTTATTGCTCCCGATTTAAAAGACGCCGACAAAAGAAATGCTCGTTAGTTTCTTATTTCTCTTCGCAAAACCTATTCTTTGTTGTCCTCAACAACGATTCTCATCTCATCTTTACAGAGAGAGAAGAGAACAAGATCGTTCTTTTCCATGGCCAAATCAGATAAGAAACTTGTGGTAAGAATCAGACTGATCACTGCAACATAAGGAACATGACTTCTAAGTGGGGTTGCAATGACCTGAAACGGCCCAAAGTCTCGTACCAAATATTCGAGTTCCCGTGATCCTTGGTCTCGATGAGGCAAAACTACTGACGCCCCTAATTAACCACTAATCGCCCTAATTAACCACTAGACTCCCAAACAACCGTTCCTGCAGAAAGTTTATTTTACGGAGAGGGGAAGAATCTTGATCAAGATAAACCCAAAGGTAGTGCGGAAATTCGAAAAGAATCACCCTCCCACCCAATGACCACACTGAGAAGACCAGTCTACCTATGGGCTATCCATTCGATTAGGATTCCGCGGCGGGCACCGAAGACAGCACCACATCCCGAGGCTAAAAATTCATCGGCCGGACAAACAAAGCAAGCCGGTTGTCAGCAAGCAGGTTGGATTCATTCGCCAAAGGTCCCATGCCTGGAAAAAGCCACAAGAAAACGACAATCATCAAGCCAAATTGAACAGAAAAGAAAAATATCCAAGACTATCCACTCGGATAACCTCAGTGTAAAAGTAATGTTACTTCTGTAGGCAAACTTCTTCAGACTATTCACCATTGCAGAAAATACATCCATTTGGTGAATAACAGCCTGCTGCGAATAAGTCTGCGCTGTTCCAGGACTCTATCCGAGAAAATGCACAAATTACACTGAATTACATCTGAAGAGGAAACTGTTCCTCTTTATAACAGAGTTGTGAACCAAATATGGCTCAGAATGATATCTTTAAGTTCCCCCTCGTCAGGGAAATATTTAGGGTCAGAAGTTTTTCTATCCATTAATCAGAGTGCTCTAGTAATTTCTTTGAAAGCAGGCACTGTGTTTTGACCTTCAGAAAGCATAATTCAATGCAATCATCTCTAATAGGAAAGGGACTACTTTTTTACTTTTGAAGTCTCTTCGAGTTCAACAGTAAAAAATAAACTTTGTCATAGTTTCGACCCGTTCAAATCTAACACCTTTCCGGTTTCGAATCGTTCACATGGAACAACACCATTCCAACTTGTTTCATTCTTTTACCACACTTTCTCTTTTACGCGCATTCTTTTAATCATCAAAAAATAATATTTCCAAAATTCTTTTTTGTACAGATTTACGCCGTTCCTTGGACATTTTCAATAGTTCGGTGGTCACCAGCTCACCCAACAACTGTTCCGAGCTACGTTGTACCGGTGTGGGTGGCGGTGTTTGTGGCACTTGGAATTTACTGAATTGCTGTTGTTGTTGCTGATGCTGCTGGTGTTGTTGCTGCTGCTGGAGATTGTTTTGATGTTGCGGCAATTGTTGATACAGCTGGAATAGGAAATCAGCATTTGTGGGAAACATTGTTTGTGGATTACCATTTGGGGTATTTGTGGCCAAATGTGTTGAATTGGAACGTTGCAGAGCATTCGACGAAGAAGCATTTGAGGGTGCCGGTGATGCTGCTGGGAGATTTGTAAAAGGATTTTCTGTATTGGTATCGTTAAGTATACTTTGGGTTTGCATCATGGATGCACTGTTCTCGTCGGAATCTTCATCGGACTCATCCGCACCGCCGTTAGTGGCACCAAATTGTGAATTATTGGAATTATTTAGTTGATGATGAGGATGGTTGCTGCTATTGGTTGCTAAACTATTGTGATGTAGGCTGCCATTGTGATGGAGCGTATTTTCCGCGGAAGTGTTATTTAATTGTACCCTGGGTTTCTTAGTGTAGTTACTACTACTCGACGAGTCCATATCTTCGTGATGGGAATCGTTGAAATTTTGGCCATTGAAATGATTGCCATTGCCCATGTCACTGCCGCCAGCTGCCGTTGAGGAGGCCCCCGAATTGTTGAGGTTATTATTTGAGGAGGAGGAGGCAGCGGCGACATGATGATTGGGTGTAGAAGTCGAGTGACCAGCACTGTTAGAACCATTTTGTGTGGCACCCAATGGAGACGAAAGAGGTGATTTCATTGAAGACGATGACGAGTGTAAACCATTGTTGCCATTCGATGTCGATGTATTGGCCACAACTGCCGACAGGGCATTGGTGGCAGCATCACGAAAATGTTCATTGTAACTTTGTAGCATGGGTGTTAGCTGGCCATGTTGAGAGGCCACAGCCGCAGCAAAATCCCGAAACACTTGGTCGGCTTCGATTTTAACACGACTATCACTCTCTAAAGCTGAGGCAGCTGCTGCGGCAGTACTTAAAGCATTCATGGCATGTTGTTGATCCTGAAAGTGGTGGTGTTGGCCAAAATGGCCTATACTTTTGAGAGAACTATTCGATTTGGAGTCCATATTGTAGTCATTGAAACTTGAACCGTTCGCCGAGTGGGGTGAGGTTAGGAAATTGGGTACATTTCGATATGATTTGCGTGGCTGTATGTGTTGATCGAGAAATTTCATTTTTTCCAAATATGGCCGCGAGAGATGTTCATAGACGGGAGGATCGCCCTGTTTACGTTGGCTGACATAACGTTCGCGCAAATATTTCCATCGTTTTTTACAGGTTTCCACTGGAAATAATAAACAAAAAAGACAAAAATTATTTCAATATTTTTAAAACGTTTTCTCGATTTCTTACAGTAAAACAATTCCAAATATGGTGTTTTAAATATGATATTATCCTTAAGTTTTTTATCAAGCATTTTAAATGTTTTTTTTTTTTTTGTAACGAAAATTCAAAATCCAAATTTCACTTTCATTTTCTTGGAGGACAAAAAAAGGGTTGTTGTTGGGAAACTGTTATTTCAATACTGTTGGTTTTCGCCAATTTTTTCCACTTCTCTCTTTTTTGCAAGTGCTGAAAGTCACCCACATTTGTAGTGTAATAAAAAAAAACGAAGTTTATTTTTTTTATTATTTGTTTGCTGCTCTTCCTCCCCTGCAAGACATTTTTTGGTGGTAAGAGCTAGCTAACTAAATCACAGAGTTATGGAAAACCTCTTTTTTAAATATGTATATTTCGTTAAGGAAAAATATAACACAGGCTTTTGTGTTTCACCCCTCCTCTTTCGATTTACGGCTGCTGCCGCTTCCTGGGGGGAGGAAGCAGTAATTAAAACATTTTTTATGTGAGTGGTTATTTGCAAAATCTCTGGGGTATATATGAGGTGAAGAAGAACAAAAAAACGTTATAGGGTTGCATATTTTTTATGTAAAAGCAGTCAGCCAGCCGCACAGTCAAGAAGTGTTGTGTGCCACAGTGAGTTTTTTTTCGATAACATGTGCCAGATTTCAAAAACCTGTGTATGGTGGTGGTTTCAGTTATGAATTCATTACAAGGCACCCACATTTTTTCGTGTTTAATTGAGTTCAATAACATTTGCTCTTGTAAGCCGTAAAGTATGAGTGAAATTTTTTGGATTTTGAGTGAACCTCTTTTTAGTGTAAACAAAAAATATGAATGGCCATTACTTTTTATGAATGAATTGAGTCATTCTTTGCTATTTTTGCGTAGAAGCATGACCCCATGTTTTTTATGTACAAATATCTCATGGTGAAGAGGGTGTTTTTTTGTTAGAAGTTTCCTTTACTTTGTGTCAGAGGATATTATCAGCCAGGGTTTTTGTTTGTAACATATAAGTATCATATATTTTTATAAGCATTAATTTGGTGTATTGAAGTTATAATAAATGAATATTATATTTTTTTTTTTTTTTGTAAATTTGTAAAAAAATTAAATTACAAATTGGAATTTATAGGAGATCATGTGATCTAAAATTAATCTTTATGCCTACAATTTAAATCTTTAGCTTTTATAAAATTAGTATATTGGAAATTTTAATTTGTGAAAATTGTTTGCTGGTTTTGTTGGGGTAATATTCTCCGTAGCGGTTATTAAAAAAAACAACTTTTATGGCAAAAACTTTTTATACCCAAACTCAAAAGAAGAGGAGCCACAAAGGGGAAAAAAACTTAAATTTCTTTGGCATTTCTTCTGAAACTTACAATCGCACTTATAAACATTTCTATTCTATAAATTTTCGTATAAAATGTCATCATTTTACCATTTATCAACTTAATCATAACAATTTAAAATAAAGCTAAATTCGACTTGAACAAGTATATATTTAAAAATACAAACATTATATAGGCAGAGAACACGAAAACCTAAATTATAACCGATTATAAATTCTTAAAATTGGAAGTTATGTTGCATGAAGGGCTTTAACAAATAAATAATTGCTGTACTGAAAACCCAGAACGGCAAATTCCGTATAGTCTCAGTTTTATGACAATTTAAATACAGGGTGAGATGGAAAAACTGCAACCAACTTCAGACTGCTGTTAACTCTAAGCCATTCGTCCGACAGCTGTTAAAATTATTCCAGTGACAGCTCATTACATTGTTTACAAGCATACAAAAGCATTTTGATAAGAATTTTCCAGAAAAAAAAGTAGCCCAAGAGGACGGAAAAAAACAGCAACATCAGCAAAAATGGTTCGAAAAGTAAAGAAGCGACTTGATCGAATCCCGCGTCGCAGTGGCCGAAATATGGTTCGTGAGCTAAACATATCGCAATTTTCCATTCGGCAAGTATTGAAAAATGAGCTCGGGGTAAAGCCATTGAAATTCCAAAAAGTTCAAGAACTTACCCCGGACCAGAAAAAATAGACACAATGGCCACCAAAATCTCCGGATACCAATCCCTAGGACTATTGTGTCTGGTGTATTTTGGAATGCAAGGTTGGCACTAAAAAATACCAAAGTGTCGATCACCTCAAGCAAGCGCTTCGCCGGGAATGGGCCAAAGAACCGCAGAGCAACATTCGGGCACATGTGACGGTTTCATTGGCCATATGAAGGCTATAATTCGTGACCAATTCAAACAAATCTCAACATATTCTAAAATGTGTCGCTATTACCTTCATTTTTTGCTTTCAATAAAAAAAAAAATTTAAAAAAAAAATGTTAAAATTATGGTTTTTGACTTTTGGAAAGCTACTTAGAAGGTTACTAAATGGAACTGTCGCGGAGATTGTTGAAAAATCCACCAAAATCCATCCACATTATATTGTAATCCGGAGGTCAGCAGAGTTGGTTAAGGACTTTTATATTAGCTCTCTCAAGGATATCATCCATAACTATAACTGCAAAGCTATACTCACGTATATACACATTAGGATATACGTGGCTTTCTTTAGAAAAACGTAAACTCGAACGGATCGAACTTTTAGTAACCTCTACTCCATGGCTCAATAAGAGAGGTTGGTCAACTTCAAAGAAACTAGAAAAATTCAACTCTGTGCTGGAGTCTTATAGTGTCAAAAAGACTTTTAAATATGCAACAGTAGGCCTTGTTTATTTTTAAGTTTTTTTTTTTTTTTAACAAAATTCTTTTATTGGGAAAACCCGCGAAACAAGAATGAAATTTCGGGGTTACTCCACAAGATGGAATCTAAAATAATTGGCAGTCGTGATCCATAAGTGGCTATCAGACATTAATAATTGTTGGGTTGTTTATGCATTATTTTTAAATCATTTACTGAAACTATACTATATACTATAGGTGGCTCTGGATTTTTTTTTTTTTTTGAAAAATGTTCACAAAAAATATTGTTTGTCTATGTCATTTTTTATCAGAATTCCACTAATTAAAACAATGACTTACAAATACGTATTTAATAGAAATTAAAGTACCAGGAATTCAATGATCCACTCAAAATTCACAAGCAACGTAGTTTTTCATGCAAAATGTGATTGGCAAGTACTCAAGCCCTTGAACCTCGGTGGAAGGTATCCCTAAAGGATCTAAATGAATAATAAATGAGTTTTTGAGTGAGTATCATCTTCATATTGACCGTCAAATATTTATAAGATTTACTCTCTTGATAGTTTGAATTTCGACACAAAAATTGTCATTAGCTTATTATTCGAAGAAGTGTTAAATACGTTGTCATGTTTAGATCAGATAGCTGCGCGGTTCTTACTAATCCAAACTTTTTTATTGTTTTTAAAACCGGTCATGACAGGAAGGGTATAATACTAAAGCCTGGAGAGACTGGTTACAAATGTTCCATAAATACCATAGTTTTAAATGGAAAACTTTAATTTTAATAGGATATTTTGCTTCGTAACCTGTGCTGAATTCTTCCATAATTGACTCCTATTTGAATACGATTTAATACAAAAAAGTGTTTTATGTTGGACTCATAATCACATTTCTTTTTCAATATGTTAGGTGACACTTATTACAAAATAAAGATGAACGAGCCAAATGGTACTAAAATATCAATTGTTCATTAAGATACAGAGTTCCTTTTGAGTTATTAACTCAAACTAACTTTACTTTTTACTATATCGTATGGCCCCCATATGGATACCGTTATATGGGGGCCATACGATATAGTAAAAAGTAAAGTTAGTTTGAGTTAATATTCGGTATTTTGATGATTTCAGGCACATTTTTCAATGGAATTGTCTGACAATCTACACCAGGAGTTGCCTTTGAGTACTTCATCCCCTGGAAGAGAATTGTCTATATAGGACCACGATATCGTGTACCCCCATATAACGGTACCTCCCTACATTCGGTATTTTGATGATTGTAGCCAACATTTTCAATAAAATTGTCTGAAAACCCACAAAAGGGGTTCCATCTGAGTACTTTACTCTCTGGAAGAGTATTGTGATATCGTACACCCCCATATAACGGCTACGTTATTCACCAGATTTTTTAAAGTTTCGTATTTGAATATTGTAATGGCTTATGACAAAAGGTGCCTATGCAGTTAAACGTTGTCGTATAAACCCTAATATAACGGCTACAGGCACTTGTTTTTTACAAATTATGGAAAAAATTGTTGATGTTTTTTTATGATTTCCGAATTATGGGGATTATAATTAATTTCGATCATTCGATTTAAACGTCAGTTTTTGAGGGTCAATATTTAGCACCTTGACGGCTGCAGCTAATCGACTGCAGCTAATCACTTGTCTTAAAATTATGTAATTACTGCTACCTTGTTTATTGTCATGGACCTTTGATATTCCATTCGAGAAATTATAATCTAGGGAGCCTCAAGATCTAATTACGATAACATACACACTTAGCAAGTAACTCCATTGATGTCCGACTTCAACTTTTGCTTCAAATCTTGCAGGAGAGTTTTTTAATCTATTCACGGTTGCTTGTAATCAAAGTGTATTATGGAAGAGTTTTAAATTATTTCATTACGAAATTGTGTTCTTGGGGGTCTTACATCAATTTCTCAGAAGTTTTAGTAATAATGCTGTTCTCTCTAAATCCTATAATATTTCAAAATTCACGAAAAAGTTTTTATGGCAAATTTAAGCCACTTGATTTTTTCCTTGTGTATAGAACATAAAGAGGGTGTTTTTGGAAAATGTTTTGATTCATGTTCATAACTGAGTTATGAATTTAAATTTCTAATAAGACCGTCAATGATTTGAAAACCCAACACATTGGCTGATTATAAATGACTGCATTTGGAAAATTACTTTGGTTTTTGGAGAAAAAGCAAAACACCTTACCTACAATTAAGGAAAACATATAAAAATTATCGCAAATTCCTTTAATTTAATTACACACACACACTTACCATCGCTTCTCAACTTTAATGCAATCGCCTGCCAGGCTTCATCTTTTGTCTCATATTTATTGCCATTGGGATTCTGGCCATTAACACTGCCATTGAGGTAATATTTCTGACGATTGTATATAACCGCATGTAAAGCTACTTCATCGATTAATTGTTCATCCATTGTTGATGAGTTTCATACAAAGGCGAAGGTAAGGGAACAGGCAAAGACACAAAATAACAAACAATTACTGCCGCTCCCGATGAGAGGCGAAGACGTTTTTGCTTCCTTATGGGGTGAAGATTCTGTTTTTCTAAATCACTACTTCTGCCACCGATTTTGTGTTACAAAACTTTCATTGGTGTTCCTTTTGTTGTAATTAATGTTTAATTAATTTAATTAGCAAGTTATGTGACGACACAAGACAACATACGAGACCACCGACAAGTCACATATACAACAAATAAATATACGGGTTACAAAGGCGGCATTTTGATACATTACAGCCCCATCTTAACTTCCACACATTGCTCTAAATTAACACACATTATCTGAGATTTTTTCTTTGATTTAATAACTTTCAATTGAACATTCCACTTAATTTACTTGTGGCGCTTTTCTTTTCTAAGGTGCTAATTGTTTTTTCGTCAATTTTTTTGTCGTACCAAAAAAAATCAAAACAAACCCGTTGCCCGAAGTTAGCTGCAGTTGTGGAGTTGCCGTCACAATTGTTCAGGGTTGACTAATCGTGGTATTTTGGTTTGCCAGTGTTGGGAATGTGCGTTTTGAGTGTAAATACGTGGAGCAAGTCAATGAATTGAGTAACAAATGTGTATTGAGTGGATATTTGTAATGGTTGCAGTTTTTTTATGAAATAGGGGATAGTTTTTTTAGCAAGTGGATGTTTGGGATTTTTTTAGCATGATATTTTTGTTTTCTCATAAGATTTTTTTCAGTTGTTGTTGGAAAAGATTTTGCATAACCAACTGAGGGGCGATACGGTTTTTGATGTGCAAACAGGAAGAGTACATAGGAAGCATTTTAATAAAAAAAAAAAACAAACTATTATGACTATTTTGAAATGAAAAAAGAAAGCAAATTTAAAATTTTTATGGAAGAAGTTGAGAAAAGTCGAATAATAATGGGATAAAAATGTGGGTCAAAAATTGTCCAATAAAAAGAGTAGATATAAAACTGTTTAAGTGGTTATTCAAAAGTAACAAGACTTTTTCAAGGTTTCAGTCCGTCCGCTCTTTTTCTGTCTGGATAAGATCTAAATTTTCGGCAGCAACATATTTTTAACAAACCTAAATTGCGAAGATTATCATTTCAGTCCACTCTTTTTTAGATAGTTTCCATATAAAAACCAGTAAAGAAAGTCTTAAAGTCGGGCGGGGCCGACTTTATGATACCCTACACCACTTTGCTAATTTAGTAGAGCTCCACATAACAATTAAAAGTTTTTATGGGAGAATTCAATCATACACGCTATGATTATAATTATAATTTAAAGTTCAAAGGACTAAATATGCCGAAGCATTTGTATATTTTAAATTGGGACTTGTATTGCCCATTTGGTGCACAATTAATTTGAGATCGGATAAAGATATATATGGGAGCTATATTCAAATCTGAACCGAGCTATATTCAAATCTCGATAAATTTTGGCAAAGATATTTCTGAGCTGTATTTGATATATTTCCCTGAATATCGTTGTTACGGAGTGCATATTTCGGTTGTGGGTAACAAATATAACAAATCGGATGAATAATATATATGGAAGCTATAGCTATATCTGAACCGATCTTCACCAAATTTGACATACTAGCTTCTAGACTCAATTCGGTCGTAAGTGCCAAATTCCATCCCATTTAGACAAATATTAGACGTTTGGTCCACAATAAAAGGTAAATCGGACGAAGTTATATACGGGACCTATACCCAAATCTGAACCGATCTCGATAAAATTTAGCAAATGTATTTCTGAGCTGTATTTGATATATTTCCCCAAATATTTTTTGTTGCAGAGTGCATATTACGGCTGTGGAGGACAAAAATAACAAATCGGATGAACAATATATATGGGAGCTATAGCTATATCTGAACCGATTTCGATCAAATTTGGCACAATTATTTTAAGGCCTAATTTGGGTGTATATGCAAAATTCCATAAAATTCGGGCTGATATTACACGTTTGGTGCACAATAAAAGGCAAATCGGACGAAGATATATATGGGAGCTATATCTAAATTTTGACCGATTATCTCCAATTTCAATAGGGTTCGTCCTTGGGCCAAACAAATGATTTGTGCAAAATTTCATCTGGATCGGACAATAAATGCGACCTGTACTTTGTTTACAAAAATACATGGACAGACGGACAGACGGACGGACAGACGGACGGACGGACATGCATAAATCGACTCAGAATGTGATTCTATGCAGATCATCAAAAGGAACTATGGGTCTATCTCGTTTCCTTTTGCCTGTTACAAACAAATGCACAAAGACATAATACCCTGACCACCTTGTGGTGTAGGGTATAATTACAGTTTGATTTCAGATATTTTAAGGTGATTAACATTTTTAAAATTCTAGTTTTTTAACATTCCATTTTTCTTGGTTTATCTCTCATGGTAGAGTTATCCAATAATTTTAAACATAATTCTGTAACTCTTGTCAGATCTAAATGTAGAAAAAAGAACAAGTAAAAAAGCGCCGAACTTTTAATATTCTCCAACATTTTGAAGAATCTTGAATAATTTCAAAAAATCTTTCGAAACAAAGCTCCTTAATGAAAATCGTTATTAGTAATTTGTTGCATAAGTAATTTTTTGTCAAAGCCTGTAGTATTGATTCCGACTTCATATACGAAATTTGAAAAAAAATCGTTGATTAATGTTGCTAATATCATCAAAATACAGGACAAATGGAAGTACTGTTATATGTGGGCTATACGAAGACGTGGACCTGTACTCCTAGTACTCATAACGAGCTTCAAACTTTAAATATGAAATTTGAAATCATTTATGGGATGGATATGGACAATTTTCTTCCTGGGAATAAAGTACTCAGAAAGAACTGCTTGTGTGGAACTTCAGATAATTCCATTAACAAATATGGCTACAATCATCAAAATACCGAATATCGGGAGGTACCGTTATATAGCGGCTATCCGATATCGGGGACCTATATAGACAATTCTCTTTCAGGGGTTGAAGTACTCAGAGGCAGAGTTTCTCAGACAATTCCATTGAAAAATATAGCTACAATCATAAGAATACCGAATATGGGGGATATACGATATCGTGTACCTATATAGACAATTCCTGCAAAGAAAGTACCCACAAAGAACTACTAGTGTACAGTTTCAGACAATTCCATTGAAAAATGTGCTTAAAATCATCAAAATGCCGAATATCAGGGAGTACCGTTATATGGGGGATATACGACATCGGTCCACGACCCCCGTCTTCGAGCTTGAACTGGCTATCTTAATTCGTTTTGACTCTAGAGTGATTACAACAGTCGGACAGGGCTAAATGGTCTTGGAATTTTATTACTTCGATGAGTTACAAACGGAATGACGAACTTAATATACCCTCCATACTATGTATTGTGGAGGGTATAAAAATGACCATGGTAGAATAGTGAAGTTGACTTCATTTCAAATAAGCTCATTTCAGCTCTGCATTTTCCGTAATTTACGTTGTCAAATATAATTTTGATGTCAAAATGTTGTCAAATGTATAATTCATGGTAGAAAAATACAGGTAGATGCGTCAACGCTTGAGAACATTGATATGTCAACATTTTTTAAATATTTCTGCAAAAATAAGTACATTTGTCTATGTTTTACAACACAACGCCAATCGGAGTTTGTTATAATATGCATTTTTTAATAATTTTTACAAATTTGAGTAATTTTTCATTCAAAAATTTCGATTCCAAAATTGGTTTGACAGTTCATTGTCCCAGCAGCTGTGTCGAAGCGTCTACCTATATTCTTCTACCAGGGTATAATTAAAAAAAAGAAACAAAAACAAGTAAAAAAGCAGTAAGTTCGGCCGGGCCGAACTTTGAATACCCTCCACCATTTGGAACGAATTAGAAAATTTTCAAAAAAAAATCCAATAAAAATTCTTTTAAAATCTTTAAAATATCTAATATAGGAAGGTGCCGATATATGGGGGATATACGATATTGTGGACCTATAAAGACAAATATATGTCTGCGTGTAAAGTACTCACAAGGAACTCCATGTGTGGATTTTCAGGCAATACGATTGGAAAATGTGGCTAAAATCATCAAAATACCGAATATCGCGGGGTACCGTTATATGGGAGCTATACGTTATCGTTAACCTATATAGAGAATTCTCTGTCGGTGGGTAAAGTGCTCACAAAGAACCCCTTGTGTACAAAGAACCCCTTGTGACCATTCCGTTGAAAAATATGGCTAAAAACATCAAAATACCGAATGTCGGGGGTACCGTTATATGAGGGCTATACAATATTGTGGACCTATATAGATAATTCTCTGCCGAGGTATAAAGTACCCACAAGGAACTCCTTGTGTGGATTTTCAGACAATTCCGTTGAAAAATGTGGGTAAAATCATCAAAATACCGAATATCGGGGGGTACCGTTACTTGGGGGCTATACGATATCGTGGACCTATATAGATAATTTTCCGCCGAGGTATAAAGTACCCACAAGGAACTCCTTGTGTGGATTTTCAGACAATGCCGTTGAAAAAATGTGGGTAAAATCATCAAAATACCGAATATCGGGGGGTACCGTTACATGGGGGCTATACGATATTGTGGACCTATATAGATAATTCTCTGCAGAGGTATAAAGTACCCACAAGGAACTCCTTGTGTGGATTTTCAGACAATTCCGTTGAAAAATGTGGGTAAAATCATCAAAATACCGAATATTGGGGGGTACCGTTACATGGGGGCTATACGATATCGTGGACCTATATAGATAATTCTCTGCCGAGTTATAAAGTACCCATAAGGAACTCCTTGTGTGGATTTTCAGACAATTCCGTTGAAAAATGTGGGTAAAATCATCAAAATACCGAATATCGGGGGGTACCGTTACATGGGGGCTATACGATATTGTGGACCTATATAGATAATTCTCTGCCGAGGTATAAAGTACCCACAAGGAACTCCTTGTGTGGATTTTCAGACAATTCCGTTGAAAAATGTGGGTAAAATCATCAAAATACCGAATATCGGGGGGTACCGTTATATGGGGGCTATACGATATCGAGGACCGATATAGCCCATCTTCGAACTTGATCTGCCTGCAGACAAAAGAGAGATCTGTGCAAAATTTTAGCTTCCTATCTTAATTCGTTTAGACTGTAGCGTGATTACAACAGACGGACGGACAGGGCTAAATCGTCTTAGAATTTTACGCTGATCAAGAATATATATACTTTGTTGGGTCTAAAATGATTATTTCGATGAGTTACAAACGGAATGACAAAGTTAATATACCCTCCATACCTTTTTTGGTGGAGGGTATAAAAAAAGACATGATAGCAAGCGGTTACCTTCTTATTCCTATGAGTGTTGAATGTTGCCATTAGGTGTGTCTGGTTACCCTAAAATTTGTAACAATTGTTACAAATTGTTACTGGAAGTCGTCTGTTAACCCGAAAGTTCTGCAAAAGAGAGCGGTTGGAGAGAGAAATTTTGACAGTTCTTTCAGTGAGAGTTTGCAAATTCTTGCTGGACAAATTTCTTCTTGCAATCACTTGCAACTCTTCTTCTTCTCATTCATCGACATTAAATCAGATGTTTTCTATTGTTTATTTATTTCTTTTTGTGATTTTAATTTGAAAATATTGTTTTGGAATTAGCAAGACTAATTGTTTTTGGAGAACAACTTTACAAAATGTGAAAAAAGTAAATATTAATATGTAATAAGAAAATAAAAGACTATTTCCAGCATTTTTAGACAAATGCCATTAGCAACAGGTTTAAAAAATTCCGCGGAACACATCATATCTATCTTCCCTTTGCTCATATTTTTATTTTATTGTCAATTTCCTTTTTATTTATAAAACTTGTGAAATTGGTGGTGGTTCCTTTCGTTTAATTCTTTTAATGGGGGACAAATTGGTTTGTTCTGACAAATCAGCTGATTAGTTGCAAGCTTCTGCAGGAATACCGTCTGTTTACTTTTCGCAATTTCCTTGCAAAAGAGAATAAAACTACCTTTCCCACTCAGAAAGATGTTGCTGGACAATTCCTGCAGGAAAAGTAACCAGACACACCTGTTATAACCAGTTAATGAAAAATTATATCATATGTTTTTCACGAGATTACCATATACAATTCTGCCATGATCTCTCTTTTTATTTAGCAAATTTTGATTGATTTTCCGAAAGAGATATACAGGCATGTCAAAGAAATAAATTCCGACCGCAAGTGCAATTAATACCGTATTTAGCTTCTCCATAAAATAAACCAATTTTTCGGAATGAAACGATTTTTGATTTTGCAAGTGCAATTGCACTTTTATGGAAACTTGTAACTTTTTAACACTCATAAAACAATTTAAAATAATAAAAATTATGTTTTAATAACAAATAGTAAAAAAATTATTTAAATAAAAAATTTATTTTTATTTAAAATTATTTGAAAAATTTATTTGTTATTGCAATGTAGTTGTTGTGGACAAAAAACCCATCTCTACAAAAACAAAACTTTGCAGTTTTTCTGCCAATAGAACTTGAGTCGAACCTGGAGAGTTTCTAGTGTATAATTCGCATATGCTAATTTGCAATAAGTTCGAAATATATACTACTTTCCAGAGAACGGCCCTTGTAAGCCATCATCCACACCAAATATGCCTGATGAGCCGCTTAACCAACGGCGAAACGCGTCGCATAGTGGTGAGTGTGTGATAGTGTCTATCTGGCTTTCCTTTTCACTGCAAATTTCAGATCATTAAGCTCGTCTCGAAAGAGAAAACAAACACATAAATCATAAAAACATATGATCTTCGCCTTAACAAGGCAAAGCTCAAGCGTTGCAACATTATTTCTTTTGAAAACCAATTGTTTTTCTCCAAACAAAAATTATTCATTTGTGAAACAATGTAACATTTTAAATGATAATCTGAAGTGAATAAAAAACTATTTTTTCGCATGAAAACTTAGTTTAAGCAGAGTATTATTTACAATTCAAACTCCTACAATGTTTCTAATCATATGGTTTTTGTTTTGATCCTGAACATTCCTCTAATGTTGCCATATTTACACAAATTGATGAGATCTTCGTAAATCACCAAATCGATCATAATCTGGAGAATTTAAAACAAAAGCGATCGAAATTAAATTCCCGTATTGAAACCATTCCGATCGGAATCTGTTGTATACATGATATTAAACTCAATGTGCTGATAATGTATACACGTACTCAGTTGTTTTCATTTTCGTATGTTAAATCTGTTACAATTTGGGTCGCCCACATCAGTTATTATTCCCAATCCGTGTAAATCATCCTAGGGTTTGGTTTAATTAAACACGTAAAAATTATGCAGTAGCTTTAAGTATTTGTTTATTAGTTAAATTAATAAGTTTTTTTGTTTGTTTCGTTTCGTTACCTTAAAGTAATTAATACTATTAATTAATATCTAACATCACTAGATTAACATTAAACTAATTAAACAACTTAACCATCGATTTTCAATCGGTTTGAAGTTTCAAGAGTCATGGATTGATTCGATCTATTGGGATACCATTTTAAATGGACAGCACGATTGTCTTGTTCATCTGGAAGTAAAGAAAGGAAAAATATTAAAAGAGAGTTATTATTGCGATTTTTAAGAAAATAATGCAATGTTTTTTTCAGCTATGTTCAGATCAAAACTCGAAATTTAATGAATCAATGTTGTGCCATTTTTAAGAAGTGGACACTAAATTATACAATACAAAAATGAAAAACTGTAAAAAAGTTTACAGTAATTGCCGACGAAGGATTTTTTTTAAGTAAGAAGGTAGGTGGTAGAATTAAGAAGGCAATTATATGTTTACAATTTTTTCAAAATCATTCATTTGACAACATCTCATTGTCAAAATTTATATTTATAAATTCATTCTATAAACAGAAATCAGAAATGGGAACCTGCTTTGTATTCAGTGAAATTTGACAAGGTAACTTACAGAAAATGCATTCTTATTTGAAATGGGTTAACCTCCTAAATTGTACCATTCTTCCAGCTTTGACATACATTTTTAAAGACTTATTTATAGACTAGGTGTGTCTGGTTACTTTTTCTGCAGGAATTGTCCAGCAACTTCTTTCTGAGAGAGATGTAGGTAGTTTTATTCTTTTTTTGAAAGAAAATTGTGAAAAGTAAACAGACGGAATCCCTGCAAAAATTTGCAAGCAATCAGCTGGTTTGCCAAAACAAAAGATGATTGGAAGAAGACATTTGTCCAGTCCAAATTTTTCAAACTCTCAGTAAAAGAGCTGTCAAAATTGTTCTCTCACATCGCTATGTTTTGCAGATCTTTCGTGTTAACAGACGACTTTCAGTAACAATTGTTACAAATTTTAGGGTAAATTCAATTTACATGAATGCAATTCTCATTTACTTGAGGATGCTCTCGACGAGAGCTGACTTTTCACCAAAGTTGTCATATCAAAAGGCTGATAATGCCAAATGACCATTTCATTTGGGGAAACGAAATCATGATGTTGCTAGTGATCAGTAAATATTGCAAAACTATCTATTTCGTTTTGAAAAACAAAACTCTTTGCAATAGAGTACTCTCTATTATATGAAGTTATGAAAATAATGGAATACTCCAGACTTAGGCAATCGAACTTTAAATAATTGCAATTATCTTTAAAAACATTTTCTGCAATTTAATTTAGAAAAGAAGGTATACTTAGGAATGGAGGCCCACACTTTGAACCGACTCAAGATATATTCAACAAAACTTGAAAGTATTAATAGTAGTAATACATTTTTGTATAAATTTGTTATACAATGAATTTAAGTTTGTTTATATTTAAAATATTATTTTTTATTAAAAAAATTGAAAAAAGTGTAATTTTTCCTTAAATGTATCCGTTTGTAATATGCAGTTTCCTTAGTGGCAACACTGTTTTATTGCCTTTCTGTCAAAGGTACACTATTGCCAACTTGCTGTTTTGCATCATTTTCTAAGCTTTTTCTATTGAAAAACATCAAACTGTTGGTAACCCTGTCTGTGATTACAAAGAAAGCATGGACAAAGCAGATGCTGGGACAATTAGTTGTCAAACCAATCTCAGAATTGAAAATTTTGAATGAAAATATGTTGAAATTTATAAAATCTCTTGAAGAACGCATAACAGCCTCCGATTGGCGTCGTATAAGGAAACAAATAGAAATCTATTTATTTTTGACAAAACTTTTTAAAAATGTTGACAATTTTCCCATGCTTTGATGCATTTACCATGGTTTACATTAAGAGTTTTTAGACGGGTTTGAACTACTTCATGAGGATATATTTGATCAAGGAGCATTGAAGTTGACAATTAGTATTCATTGGATTAAACAAATTCTGCGGCTCAGTGAAATTTCGAAATGATATTTTTTATAAAGGCAAGAAATGTCAAATGAAAAATGTATGAAGAAAATATTTTTCATTTCTTATTATCATAGAACAAGAATCAAGGTCCTGTACAGTGTAAACGTGTTATACTATTTTCGTTCTGGGTATGGTGAAATCAAGGTAAAATTAAGAAATAAGCATATCCATCTCAAATAAGCATATCCATCTCTGCACTTTCTGTAATTTGCCTTGTCAAATTTCACTGAATGGAAAACAGGTTCCCACCTTTGATTTCTTTGTATACAATGGATTTATTATGGTAGAAGAATACAGGTAGTCGCATCGACACAGCTGATGGGGCAATGAACCGTCAAACCAATTTTGGAATTGAAAATTTTGAATGAAAAATTATTCAAATTTGTAAAAATTGTTGAAAAATACTTTTCATAACAACCTTCGATTAGCTTCGTATAGGAGAACATATACAAATCTACTTATTTCTGAAGAAAACTTTAAAAATGTTTGACATATCAATGTTCCTAAGTGTTGATGTATCTACCTATATTCTTTTACCAGGGGATTTATAAATATAAGTTTCGACAATGAGATGTTGTCAAATGAATAATTTTGAAAAAAAATGGTAAACATATGATTGCATGACTTTTCCTTTTTAATTCTACCATCGGTGAAATAATAACCAATTTGAAATTTGACTAAATACTTTAGGTAGTCGCATCGACACAGCTGCTGGGACAATGAACTGTCAAACCAATTTTGAAATTGAAAATGTTGAATGAAAAATTATTTAAATTTGTACAAATTGTTGAAAAACGCGAATTATAACATCCAAATGATGTCGTATAAGAAAACACATAAAAATGTACTTGTATTTGAAAATACATTTAAAGTTTTTTTACTATAACAGCTGATTTGTCAATCAGCTGTTTTAAATGGAGTAAATATTTAATTTCCCATATTTCTTGTGTCAAATTTATTTCAATTTTTTACACCTAGAATTTGGTAAAATATCTTAGGTACTCACCATAATTATGTTTATGATCCTTCGTGCATGACTTCGGGCATATGACAAAGCGCACATCCATCGGCCGCTCCACAAATATTTCTAAGCGCGGCATGTTGGCCTTTTCTGTTTCACATGGCGGTGGTTTGACTGTATTTTGATTATTATTAGATTGAGTAATTGTAGAATTAGTATTATTCACTGGTTTGTTTGTATCTAAATTTAAAAGACTTATATAAATATTTTGTTGTTCAGCTGGTTGTAATAACGATTGGCCCAATTCTGTGGCACAACCAGCGTTCGATCTAAAGTGTAGTGAAAATTCACTGCGATTATTATTCGTTTGTGTAGTTTCCAAATATTTGGGAGTGGGTGTTGGTGTTGTTTGAACTGCGGTGGATCGGGAGTGTGTTATTGGTGGTGAGTTCTCAGAGGACGTTGTGGTTGTTGTTGTCGGTGGTGGTGTTCGAGGAGTTGGTGTTGTGGAAGGTGAATTTGTGAAATGTAGGGGTATTACAATTTCATCGGATAAAACACCCGTTTCATCTTCTTCTGAATCGGGAATTGTTGAAGGCGTTGTTGTAAAAGGTTGCAGTGATGCGGATTTAGCCGTTACTGTGCTAGATTCGGAAAGGGATACTATGTGTTTTATTGGCTGTGGTGTAGGAGAGGACTTTGTTATTGTCATTATTGGGGACTCCATAGTTGTGGATTTATGCAAATTGAGTGGGTCAATTGTAGATCTGGTAGATGATGACGTAGCATCTTTAGTGAAAGACCTTTCTGTGGTACTGGGTGTTTCAAGACTGGTAGCTGAAGAAGTGGTGTCAAATGTGGGTTCTTCTGTTCCACTGTTGTCAATATTAAGATCGCCATCTGTTGTAATAGAGAAAGGAACTGAAGTGTCTTCCTCATCAAAGGCTGGCTCATGATCTGGATCAATTATCCTTATGGATGATGTAGGATCTTTCGATTCACCGAGTTTCGGTCGAATAGTTGTGGTAGGGGTTTCATTTAATCTAGGTGTTTCTGTTTCCCTAGATAGCTTTGCTATTTCATCGAAGAGTGCAGTGGAATCATCATCCTCAAAGATGTCATCGTGGTCGGGATCAAAGAGTTTTACAGAAGGAAGAGTTTGGGGAGTAACTATGTCAGGAACATCAGAATCAGCGAAACTTGGTTCGTCTGTGCCACTGATAAGTATTTCCAAGGGAGTGTTGTTTTCTCCAGGTCCAACATTCTTCTGTTCACTTGGTTTGGGTCCAGCTGTGGAAGAACTTGGTTCATTTGAGCCAGGATTTTCTGTGCCCTTAACTGGCAACTGTATTTCATCAGACAGGTCAAAGGGGTCATCGTCTCCGAATATAGCATCATGATCTGGATCGAATAACTTGACAAGGGGGACTTTTCCAGGGACAGTTGGTTCAGGAACCGATGTCGTAGTGCCATGGAATTGTGGTTCATCTGTGCCACCAATGGGTATTCTTATATTGTCGGGATCAACTGAAGTTTCTTTTGAACGAGGTTGACTGGGAGTTGGAAGTCCCTTAGGAGTGGTAGATTTGGGTCCCGCCGTAGTGGAAGTGATGTCCCCGGTTCCAGGTTCTTCTGTACCACTATCTGGTAGAACAATTTCATCGGATAGGACAGCTGGTCCATCGTCATCAAAATAGTCATCATGATCCGGGTCAAACAGCTGTATAGTAGGAAGATTTCCGGGAGCTGGTGTTAGCTGTCCAGGAACTGACGTTGTGGTCTCAGGCACATTTGGTTCGTCGGTGCCGCTTGGGGGTATTTTTATCTTGTCTGGCTGAACCGAGGTTTGTTTGAGGTCAAACGGAGTTGGACTATGATGTTCCTCAGCAGTGGTCGATGTGGGTCTGACCGTGGTGACAGAGGAGACAACTTCGGATACAGGATCTTCTGTACCACTATCTGGTATTGTAATTGACTTGGGAAGGAACGTGAGGTCATCATTTTCAAAGATGTCATCATGGTCTGGGTCAATTATCTTTATAGGAGGAAATTTTCCGGGAGCGACGGTTACGGAATCAGTGAATTTTGGATCCTCGGTACCACTAGCAGCTATTTGTATAGCATCAGATGTCCCATGCTCAGCTGGGATAGAATGTCCTATTGGAGTTGTTGACTTCGAACTGTCAGTTGCGGGATGAGTTTGACCTGCACTGGGCTCTTCTGTGCCAGTATGCGGTATAACAATTTCATCTGACAGGACAGCTGGCTCTTCATCATCAAATATGTCATCATGGTCTGGATCAAGGAGCTTTACAGTTGGAACATTTTTGGGAATTGGCAATTCGGTAGTTGCAGTCGTGGTCGTGGTTCCATCATAATCAAGGAAATTTGGATCCTCAGTGCCACTAACATCTATATTTATATCGCCTGCTGGAGTGGTAGGATCATCGTCAACCCCATGCCTAGCCACATGCTGTCCTGGAGTAGAATGTTCTTTGGGCGCAGCTGGTGTAGGGCTGACTGTCGTCAAAGCGTCGTTGTTAGGCTCTTCTGTGCCACTATCTGTTACAACAATGTTCTGCAATGGATCCGAAGGATCTTCATCATCTAAGAAATCATCATGATCAGGATGAAAGAACCGTGGAGAAGGAAGCTCCTTGGGAGCGCCTGTCTCAGGGTCTGTTGTCGTTGTATGATCAGCAAAATCCCAAAAGTTCGGTTCGTTTGTACCACTAACAGGAAGTTTTATGTCATCTCCATGTCTAGGAGGTGAAGAAGTTTTGGGAACTGTCGTTGGAGTAGCATGATGCGAATCACTGAAGTTTGGTTTCTCAGTGCTCCCAATTGGTTGTTTAAATTTCTCTGATGAGGCAGGAGTGGTATTTCCTCCCAAATCATCATCATGTCTTGAATCGTTTGGACTTGTGCTATGAGCTGGTTGCGGGGTAGTGGATTTGGAAGTAGAAGACTGACCCTCCAATTTTGGAGTGACATTTGTTGGGGGTGTCTCATCGATATGAGGTTCCTCTGTACCACTGTCTGGTATAACAATTTCATCTGATAACACCGCAGGCTCTTCATCGTCGTCATCATCATCAAAGAAGTCACTGAGATCTGATCTAACTGTGAAGGGCTGTTCGGTGCCCGTAATAGGTATTTTAATACCGTCAGACGTTGTCGTATCCCCATCGCTTGGATCTTTTGGTTCTCCAGATTTTGTCACGGTATCTTGATGTTCTTTAGGGTCCTCTGTGAGATTGTGTGACTTCCCCAGCGGCAGAAATTCACCTTCTATGGGTTCAGGTGTCGGTGTTTCTTGTTTGGCATTGAATACCGTCTCAAAATCTTGCAACCAATCTTTTGTGGTCGGAACACTAGATGTTGACAAGGTACTGGATTCTTGACTGCGAACATCATTTGTGGTTGGGTCACCATGTGTCGTAGTAGGTTTCGGACTGGAAGTGGAAGTCTCACTTTTATGTGTTATGACATCATTTGTGGTTTTATCGAAAACCGTCCTCGGTGTTGGGTTTGTGTGTGGAATGTTTGTCGATGTTCGATTGTCATGGTCTCGTGGTGAATTCGATTGTTCAATAACATGATCGCTTGTTTGTTGGTGTTGCGATTGTGTTGTTTTGGAACTCTCAGTGGAGCTATCGCTGGTTCTCACCATCACCTCGTTTCTAGTAGTTTTGTCAAAGAGAGTTCTTGGTGTTGATGTTGTGTTTGAAATACTTGGTGTGGATAGTGTACTGGTGGTTCGATTATCATGGTGTAGTGGTGAATTAACATCATTAGTGGTGAGATCACGTTGTGTTGCCGTTGTTTTGGGAGTTTGAGTGGTACTATCAAAAGTAGTTTTTGTTTGACTTTTTTGGGTTTTAGGTGTTGTTGTTGTTTGAGTATTTTGGTGCTGAGCAGGAGAACAGTGTGTTTTGTTGTGTGATTTGGATTCTGTATCTGGGAATTATTAAAAAAATTTATTCAATCACATTTTTCATAAAAATATTTATGTGGGAAAAAATAATACAATTTCTGATAAACAGGCCGCCCATAACTACGAGATCTGTAGAGAGTTCTCTATGAGAAAAAATTAATTATCAATTAATTGATAATATTCTACCAATTCAAAATCTAGAAAATCTAAAAAAAATCTATATTAAATTTTAGCAGCAATGACTGACTGTTAATCAACGTCTAACGCCTGAAGCAAGAAATTTGAAATGTTTCTAGGGAATCACATTACAAAGTACTGTAAAACGAATTAAGGCGCGTTGCTGATATTCGGAAATTTTGTATGTGGCTTTTTTATGACAAAAACAAGAAAGAAAGCTGTAAGTTCAGCCGTGCTGAGCTTTGAATACCCTCCACCATTTAGAACGAATTTGGCAATTTTCAAAAAAATAAAATCCGTTAAAAATTCTGCTAAAATATTAAAAATACCGAATATTAGGGTCTATACGACAACGTGGACCTGTATAGGCAACTTTTGCCATAAGCCATTACAATATTCAAATGCGAAACATGAAAAAAAAAAAATCGGTGAATAATGTAGCTAAAATCATCAAAATACCGAATATCGGGAGGTACCGTTATATGGGGGCTATACGAATACGTGGACCTGCACAGACAATTTTCTGTCTTAGGCTGTAGTATCCATTACGAACTTCAAATATAAAATTTGAAACAATTCCGGGAAATTATTTTCATCAAAATAACGAATATAGGGAGGGTCCATTATAGACTGAAGTTCCCACTAGGAACTTAAAATACGAAATTTGAAACAATTCGGGTAAATTTTGTCACTAAAATGATCAAAATACCGGATATAGGGAGGTACAGTTATAACGTAGACCTATATAGCCCATTTTCAATACCAAAAGTCCTGCAGCCGAAACACACATTTGAGTAAAATTTTATCAACCTACTTCAATTCGTTCTTAAGCTAGAGTGATTTCCACAGCAAAAATAACAAATATAGGTATAATTCCCCTATAACTGTTTCTCCTGATTTTCGATATTGTGAAGATGTCGTCTCAAAATTTTAAACAAATCGGCGATACTTTTGATGTTTCGGGCTCTTTGTGGGTGGATAAGCTTCTTTCAAACAATACTCAATATAGGTATTGTCCGCAGTAAAAGGAATTTTGGGGATATTTAGGGTAGCTGATTAGACCATACTTTAAGTGTTCAAAGAAGTTTGGTGTGGCCGAGCTTAACATCATTTTTACGTGTTTTAAATAAAATTATTATAAACTGAAATTGATTTCCATTTCAATTACCACAAAATTGTTGCTTGCAGATATTCATGGCAGTAATTTATTGTTTGAACGTGTTAACGTTGTAGAAAACTTATCAATCCATGTTGGAGCTATGCCATGTGGATAAGACCGAATGCACCGACTAAAATTCGATATTGTTTTGCATTTTATTTAGATCTGTTGCACGTGTGGTGTGTGGTATAACGGAATCTCTTTTAAAAATTTTACTAGGCCATATCATGTATACTTAAAAAATGCATACCAGTAATAATGTGAAAAAGATCTACAAGTTGCTTAAACAATAAGCAGGTGGGCCTAATTTACAAAAAAAAAAAACAGTATGGAAAAGTCCAAAAAAATGTGACAGGTATTTCTGGTTTGTATCTGATATCTGGTATTAAATATTATTCTTGTGGAGTGCATGTGAGGGACCTAAACACCAAATCGGATGAAACATATATGTGGGAGCTATAGCTATATCTGAACCGATTTTTTTAAATTAAAATTTAATGTACTTGCTTTTACACTGGATTCCGTCAGAAGTGCCAAAATTCAGTCCAGTTTGGCTGATATTGGCCATATGGTGAGCAATAAACCTGAAATCCTATAAAGATCTACTTGGAGCTATATCCAAATCTGATCCGATCTGTATAAAATTTGACAGAGGTATTTCTGGCCTAAATCTGAATTGTGGAGTACATATTACGCATGTGAGGGACTTTAACACCAAAACGGATGAAAACGTCTATGGGAGCTATAGATATATCTGAACCGATTTTCACCAAAATTTGAACTACTTGCTTCTACGCTAAGTTTGGTCGGAAGTGCCACAATTCAGTCCATTTGTGCTGATAGCACAATAAATGTGAAATCGATCGAAGATATATATGAGAGCTATATCCAAATCAGAACTGATTTTCACCAAATTTAAAGTACTTTCTTCTGGGCTGAATTCCCTGGGAAGTCCCAAAATGCATTCAATTTAGACTGATTTTATCCATTTGGTGCACAATAAACCTGACATCGGCTAAAGATATATATGGGAGCTATTTGCAAATCTGAACCGATTTTGACATAATTTTATGCACTTATTTCTGAGTTTTATTTGACAGCTGGAACTAAATATCATTGTTTTGGAGTGCATATTACGCATGTGAGGGACCTAAAACCCCGAATCGGATGAAACATATATATGGGAGCTATAGCTATATTTGAACCGATTTTCACCAAAATTTGAAGTACTTGCTTCTAGACTGAATTCCGTCCGAAGGTCCAAAATTCAGTGTGTTTGGGCTGATATTAGCCATTTGGTGCACAATAAACCTGAAATCGGATAAAGATATATATCGGGCAGCTATATCCGAATCTGAATCGATCTCGATAACATTTGAAACACTTATTTCAGAACCGTACCTGATATCAGATACTAAATATCAATGTTGTGAAGTGCATAAAACGCATGTGAGAGACCTAAAACCCCGAATCGGATGAAACATATATATGGGAGCTATAGCTATATTTGAACCGATTTTCACCAAAAATTGAAGTACTTGCTTCTGGGCTGAATTCCGTCGGAAGTGCCAAAATCCAGTCAATATGGGCTTATATTACCCATTTGGTGCACAAAAAACTGAATCGATATTGAGAAAATGTTATGTATTTATTTCTGAGCTGTATTAGTTATCTGCTTATTACGCATGTGGATCTTAAACCCTAGAACGGATGAAATATATATCTGGGAGCTTTAGCTATATCTGAACCGATTTTCACCAAATTTGATGTACTTGCTTCTGGGCTCAATTCCCTTGGAATTGCCAAGATTAAGTCCATTTGGGCTGATATTAGCCATTTGGTGTACAATTGACCCGAAATCTGTTGAATATATATGTCGGAGGTATATCCAAATCTGAACTGATCTTGACAAAATTTTATGCACTAATTTCTGAGCTTTATCTGATATCTGGTACCAAAGATCATTGTTGTGGATTGCAAATTTCGCATGCGAGAGACCTAAAACCCTAAATCGGATGAAAGATATATATGGTAACGCTAGTAATTTAATGTACTTGCTTCTAGACTGAATTTGGTCGGATGGGTGAACATGTAGGTAATTTGGACTGATATTGACTATTCGGTGCACAATTGAACCGAAATCTGTTGAAGATGTATATGGGAGCCATATCTAAATGTTGATTAGCTACAATATCAATAGGGTTCGTCCTTGGGTCAAATAAATTATTACAAACAAATGCACAAAGACATAATAACCTTACCACTATGTGGTGTAGGGTATTAAAAGTAAAATATCATTCTATCTACCGACAGGTATAAGCTTGTTAGGAAGGTTCTAGAAAAAGTGGACCTAAATATCCAATTGAAAGAAAGAAATATTTCAATGTTTGATTTTGAAGCACCTGCAGAATGTCCAGCGGGGGGAGGACAATGAATAGACGACAATATTGTATGGCCGATATTGTAAAATTTCGCTTCAATTAATTTGAGACCTCTATTTTTTTTGGAAATAATGTTTTTTGATGTGTAGTACCACAAAGTACTAAACGCTATTGCTCATCTTCGAACTTGGTCTAAGTTCGTGAATTATATGTTATATGTTTTCAGGTTTCTCTTAATCTTCTTACACCTCGACCCTTCGAAATACTTGACAATTCTAGCCGATTTTTTCAGATGGGAAAAATACTGGTTTCCAAGGATAGAAAGACTTTCATAGACGCAGTGCATATACAGATATTCTATATAACTTCCATTCTTCATCTATTTAATATAAATTCGTGGCTATTTTCACTTGAATATTTGGAATATGAACTTACCTGTTACTATTTCATCACAGGGTTCGGTTTCAGTGTCTCCGTCATCCGCAGCTTGGTTTGTTGCACCAATAGCTGTTGTAGGCGCTACAGTAGTGTCATCACTTGTATGTGACACATCTGGTTCCTCTGTTGCATTCTCCCCTGCTTCATTGCTACCCTCTCCCGATTCTTTATTTCCCTCTCCCGATCCCTGTCCATCTTCCTCTGATTCATGATTGTCATTTCCCGATTCATTACCATCTCCACCTGCTTCATTGTTGGTTTCATCTGTATCCTGATTCGATCCCTCCGTTCCTGTTTCATTATTGTTGCCCTCGCCTGTATCATCATCTTCATCATCATTGTCATCTTGGCTTGGTTCAGTTGTGGTCTCTTCAGATTCTGGTTCAGTAGTTAAAGTGCCCTGATCAGATGGACTTTCCGTTGAATCGTGTTCATTGTCTTTTGTTTGCTCTTCAGATTCCGGATCTGGATTTAGTTTAAGGAATATTGTTTTACCCGGACCATCTGAAAAATAAATCGTAAATTTAAAGCATAAAATAAGAATTACAATTATTTCAGAAGGAAACCACAGAAGACCCATGGCATGAATGTCAAAAGGAAGCATTTGTTCCAAAACAGAGATTGATTAATAATATAACAACTTTGTATTGTTTCATTATTGTTTTTAATATTCATTTTTAGGGTTTGGGCGCCACCTATACTATTACTTTTTAATGGTAAAAATTGTAAAAGATCGAACTTCTATATTAATATTGGATGGACATATTAGATGGAAATCCTTCGATTAAAAAACGGACTTTTAGTAAAAATTGCAAAAAGGTAAATTTTGTAGTAAAGGAACAATGTTTTACCCATTGTACAATAAAAAGTTAGAGCCACCAGCTGTTTACAGTTTTTGTCTTTGAAAAGAATAAAGTTATTAACCTTTTACACCATTTAATTCATTTTAAAAATGGGGACATAGGATATATTGATTATAATTTTGAACAAGTTAAATAGTATCAGTTAATTTTGATGATAGTTGTGATTATGGATTATGGAGGAGGTTCCGAAGTAGTTGGCCATTATTGTCCAATTCTTGTCTGACGTAAGCCTGATATAAATATTACAATGTGCCCTACTTGGACTCTATCCTCTACTTCCTATAATTTATATGAAATATGTGCAAATATTTGAAAAATGTAGAAATATTAGTGAGGTACCATATATAGCGGACCGAAATATTCCACTTCATGTAATACAGGTAAAAATATTGGTATGTGCAAAATTTAAAGGAAATCGATCATTTGTAAATTCTGATAAATTTTTTTAGATATAGCAAGTTGTATAGGATCGACGACATTTTTCACAAGTTATGGCAGATATAAGTTTTGAAAATTATGATCCTTTGTGGGTGGGTTACCATTAGGGATTGACAGATATCTATCATCTTGATACCAGATTTTGTGCTAGCAAAAATGTTGGGGTGTGTGAAATTTGAAGAGAGTTGAATGCTTATTTCGCGCTTTATGAGCGTTTTGTTTTTTTTAAATTTTTTAAACCCTTTGTGGGGGAAGTACCAGAAGGAGTGCGCCGATATATTCCATTTTCACATCACATTTTGTGTTAGTAAAAATAATGGCATGTGTGGAATTTATTGAAAACCGGAAGGTTATTTAGGATTTTATGATCGTTTTGATTATTCAACAGTTGGACCCTTTGTGGGGGAGGTTCCAGAATAAATGGTCCGATCTCTACTATCTTTATAACAGATATTTTGTTGATTGAAATATTGAGATGTGCCAAGGGAGATTCTTAATGCAGTGGACCGATATTGTCCATTTTTGCACCTAAGCCATCATTGATGTAAAAATTAGGATTTGTTGGAGCAAAGTCGGATTATCATTTCTCTTTCTGTGCATTAAAATATTTTTTTTTGAAAAAGTCGACCTTTTGTGGGGGATTTACCAGAAGGAGTGGACCGATTTTGCCCATCTCCGAACTCGATTTAAGTTTGACAATAATATATTATATTATGTATCAAGTTTGGACCAAATCGGATACTCCCTTCGAGAGTTATCGTGCGCTCAAGCCAGCCCCAGGTTTCTTTGGACAAAATTGATATCAGAACAATTATTGTCGATTTAGCAACGTCCGGCCGTCTATCTTTGGACGCACCATAGCTTTCGGGAAGAGAATATCCAATTTGTTAAAAATTTGGTACATCGCAATATTTTGACCAAATTTAGATAAAACTCAGAAATACTCAATACCGGTGCCCTCTTTTTGGTACCTTTCACACAAAAGATCAACACTTTCTTAGACAAATAGTTGACTTTATGAAATGCTAGGGTATATCCGAGTTCCTTCAAAATTTGCACTTCTTAGTATTTGAATCAGCCTTAGGCCGTATAAGAAAATGGACGAAATTGGTTCACTCCTAAGGAACAACATTTTTCAAAGTTGTAGCTCTCATAATATACAAAATAATACAGATATGTTCTTCTAACTTCGTACAACTTAATATTTCTACCAGCCAATGATTTAATGTGGATATGGGAGCTCTCCCACGAGGGGTCAAAGTTTTGAATAATAATAATTGTCGTAGATTGGCCTTATTATATTGGCTCATTTATATAAGACTTAGGTTAGGAAAGAACATGGAAATTACTAGGCAACTGTTTCTCCAACCCCCTCCTATAAGACCAACATTTTTTCCATGAATACGTTATATATGATATATATGGTTTGGTGAGCATTTTCCAGAAAAATAAGCTATTCGTGATGGAATTCAAGCGTGAAAGTGTGATTTCTTTATATTTGGCTGGAAAACCACAAGTGGCTGTCGTTAGAGCACTCCAGCATTTAAATGAGAATAAATCTTTTGTGTTTCGTACCATCGCTCGTTACCGTGACCGTACTGGTAGCTTAGCCCGACGTCAAGGAAGTGGACGGAAGAAAACAACTACATTAGCAGAAATGGTTCGAAAAACAAAGAAGCGACTTGATCGAAAACCGCGTCGCAGTGGCCGAAAAATGGCTCGTGAGCTGGACATATCGCAATATTCCATTCGGCAAATATTGAAAAATGAGCTCGGGGTGAAGCCATTGAAATTCCAAGAGTTGCTTCACTTGGCCGAAAGTGGTGAACTGCAGAATTTAATTTTCTCAGATGAGAAAACATTGTTTGTCCAGCAGTTTGTAAACAAACAAAATGACCTTCGGTTGGCCAACAGAACTCAAGCGCCGGCCATGGTGATGGTGTGGGCCGTCATAACAGCTGATGGTTGCCCTCCGCTCGTATTAATCGACTGTGGCATCAGAATAAATGCCGAATATTATCGCGAAAATATTCTGGAGGATGTATTAAAGACTTGGGCCCGCAAACATTTTTGCCGCAGACCTTGGACATTACAACAGGACTCAGCACCATCGCACTCAGCACGCGCCACCCAAGATTAGTTTCAAAATGAGGTTCCTCGCTTCATTTCCAACGCACAATGGCCATAAAAATCTCCGGATACCAATCCGTTGGACTATTGTGTCTGGAGTCTTTTAAAAAGCAAAGTTGACACTAAAAAAAATACCAAAGTTTCGATCACCTCAAGCAAGCGCTTCGCCGGAAATGGGCCAAAATACCGCAGAGTAACATTCGGGCAGCGTTGGACGGTTTCATTGGACGTTTTAAGGCCATAATTCGTGCCAAAGGTGACCAATTCGAACAAATCTAAACTTATTCTAAAATTTGATGCTATTTCCGACATTGTTTGCTTTCATTCAATAAAATTAAAAAAAAAAACAGTAAAGAAAGTCTTAAAGTCGGGCGGGCCGACTTTATGATACCCTACACCACTTTGTTAATTTAGTAGAGCTGCGCATAACAATTAAATGTTTTTATGGGAGAATTCAATCATACACGCTATGAACATAATTATAATTTAAAGTTCAAAGGACTAAATATGCCGAAGCATTTGTATCTTTTAAATTCGGACTTGTATTGCCCATTTGGTTCACAATTAATTTGAAATCGTATAAAGATATATATGGGAGCTATATCCAAATATGAACCGATCTCGATAAAATTTGGCAAAGATATTTCCGAGCTGTATTTGATATATTTCCCTGAATATCGTTGTTACGGAGTGCATTTTACGGTTGTGGGTAACAAATATAACAAATCGGATAAATAATATATATGGAAGCTATAGCTATATCTGAACCGATATTCGCCAAATTTGACATACTAGCTTCTAGACTCAATTCGGTCGTAAGTGCCAAATTCCATCCCATTTGGACAAATATTAGACGTTTGGTGCACAATAAAATGTAAATCGGACGAAGTTATATATGGGAGCTATATCCAAATCTGACCTGATCTCGATAAAATTTAGCAAATGTATTCTAAGCAAATATTGTTGTTACAGAGTGCATATTACAAATCGGATGAACAATATATATGGGAGCTATAGCTATATCTGAACCGATTTCCAAATTTGGCATACTTATTTTGAGGTCCAATCTGATCGTACGTTTATTGGTACACAATAAAAGGCAAATCGGACGAAGATATATATGGGAGCTATATCTAAATTTTGACCGATTATCTCCAATTTCAATAGGGTTCGTCCAAACAAATGATTTGTGCAAAATTTCATCTGGATATGGCAATAAATGCGAACTGTACTTTGTTTACAAAAATACGTGGACAGACGGACAGACGAACGGACATGCATAAATCGACTCAGAATGTGATTCTATGCAGATCATCTAAAGGAACTATGGGTCTATCTCGTTTCCTTTTGCCTGTTACAAACAAATGCACAAAGACATAATACCATGACCACCTTGTGGTGTAGGGTATAAATACACTGACCACCAAGTGGTGTAGGGTATACAAATGTAAAAGTTATGGCGTTTGTCTTTGTTGCAGTTTTTTTATCCCACCCTGTATATCGTTCCATAGAAAATCAAAATTTTCGAAGAAAAAATCATACATATATCTCATATGGAGGACGTAGTTGAAATAGTCCAATTCTAGTAAGTCGTAATATATATATCAGTAGCGAAAATGGTCAATATTGGGCAACTCTTTCCAATATTTTGAATGATCCTCACGCAAGTTCAGAATATATTAAAAAAAACGTCATAGAATGAATTCGGCTAATACGTTTTTACTTATTTTATTTAAAATTCGGCTTTACCAAATAAAATTTGAGTATATGGTTGCAAGCGGAAAAACAAAAAAACCAATTACAAAAGATATAAATCGAATTTCGAATTATAGTTGAAAAAAGAGAATATAAAGTCTGAACTTTCCTTATGGCGAATTCAATATCTCTGTACATAAATAATTTTTGTAGTTATTACGATATGGCGCCCAATCGCGACAGTAACGTTGTATTATTCACAAGGCTGTTTTTCATCAAATATGCATATTTTTTCTAAGAACCTTTGTTAAAAACAGCAGGAATGGCGCCCAACATTTCTCATTATACTGACACCATTTAAATTCGATACAGTTCGCTTTTGTTAACTTACATATGGCTTTAAATTCGAAAATGGATTAAGAAAAGCCGACTCTACGATTTTTCCACTAACATGGGTCGAGTTTTTAATACCAAAAGCCGAAAAATCGAAAGTCGGCTTACGTATCCCTAATTCAAAAACAAAATGAATACCCTTATGGTTTTTCTATTACGAATATCCGAAAACAAAACGGAAATTTGTTCATTCGGATCATAATATTTCACATAAAAACTTACCATTATCCCAGATTTTATCGTCCTGCAAGACAAAGCGATCACCGAAATCAACATCACTACCCAAAATATCGATGTCATCGTTCTCATCATCATCTGTAGGGGAAGGAGATACTGTTGAAACTACAGGAGCAACTGTAGGATCTGCTGCCACTGCTGTTGAGACTACTGCCTCTGTAGTGCTTTCTGGAATTTGAGTTGACACTACAGCTTCCGTAGTGACTTCTGGAAGAACTTCTGAAATTGCTTCTACAGGAACTTCTGTAACTGCTTCTGTGGTAGTTTCCGTGGCTGCTTCTGTAGGGCCTTCCGTAGGTGATTCTGTAAAAGCAGCTGGAGTTTCTGTTGCAAATTCTGTAGTGGTTTCAGTAGATTGTTCTTCGGAAGTTTCTGTAGTTGTTTCTGCAGAAGATTCTGTTGTGGGTAAAGTTGTCGCAACCGGAAATACTGTTGTTGTTGTAGTTCTTTCTTTTGCCAATTGACCTTTTTTGTCTTCACTAGCATCTTCCTCACTTGAACTAGATTCGGAATTATATGGATCATCAAATTCTTCATGTGAGTCATCTACTTCTTCCAACTCCTCCCCCTCTTCATCGTCCTCCTCAGAAGAAGATTCTGTGGCATGTTCAATTTCTTCAAGGGAATCCAAATCAAATTCACTGTCATGAACTATGGGATAGGGCTGTATAAGGGGAGGATATGGTTGCATATAGCTTGGGGGATATACCAATTCCGCCAGGGTAATACAGTCACATGGCACTTGTTCCCTGGGCAAGCAGGCATTGTTTTGTAGGTCATAGAATGTATCACCGGGACATCTGAAGAAAAGGAAATAAATATTAACATTTCTCTCTATTTTACGCTCTCTTTCTCTCTCTCTCTTATACTCACTTAAATCTTGTTTGATAAAACACCCGATTCTCTTGCAGCTCACACGTATAGTAGAGCGAACAATCGGAGGGCGATCGAAATACTCCGTTCTGTTGACATGCCGGATATTTATTTTCACAGTATTCCGGCACACTATCATCATCGCTAACAATCTGGGTGGGAATACACCGATTACCAGGAATACATTTACTGGTCTGCTGGGAGAATATCATGTTGTGAGGGCAGGAGTAGACTTGTGGCTGCATGGATTTATCACATTTGTAATAAAGATGGCAATCGTAGTGAATGGGAAAGCGTCCTTCGGCGGTACACTTAGGTTCATATTCGGTGGGCGTTTGCTGTACACATTGGCCGCAGGTCGTATTGAATTTCTAAGGGGATTGCAAAAAGGGAGGAAAGAGCTTTTAAGCCTTTGAATCTAAGAAAGGTAATCTTCGAGAAAAAAGCTGCCTATCAGTGAGAGCCGAAATGTTATGCCATAGTAGATTTTTTTCAACATTTTCCCAACAGATACACCGAACCGAGATTCACCAAATTGTTAAATTTGGTTGAAAATTAAAAAAAAAAAATCTATTCAATTTGGGCTGATATTATATATATATATGGTAAGCAATAACAGTAAAATCGGTTGAAGATGTATGGAAGCTATATAAAAATCTGAATCGATCTCGCTAAACTTTGGCAGAGGTATTTTCGAGCTATATCTAATGTCCGGTATCAAATACCATTATTGTGGAGTTCATATTACGAATGTGAGGGACTTTAAAACCGAATCGGATGAAACATATATATGGAAGCTATAGTTATATCTGAACCGATTTTCACAAAATTTGAAGTACATGCTTCTAGTCTGAATTTGGTCGGACGTACCACAATTCAGGTTATTTGGACTGAAATTAGCCATTTGGTGCACAATAAATCTGAAATCGGATAAAGATACATATGGGAGATATATATCCAAATCTGATCCGATCTTGATCAAATTTGGCTGAGGTATTTCGGGGCTGTATCTGATATCTGGTACCAAATATCATTCTTTTGGCGCACATATTACGAATGTGAGGGACGTAAACATCAAATCGGATGAAACATATATATGGCAGCTATAGCTATATCTGAACCAATTTTCACCAAATTTGATCTACTTGAGTCTAGTTTGAATTCGGTCAGATGTGTCAAAATTCAGGTCATTTGGACTGATATTGGCTATTTGGTGCACAATTAACCCGAAATCGGTTGAAGATATATATGGGAGCTATATTTGATACACTTATTTCAGAGCTGTATCTGCTACCAAGGATCATCGTTGTGGAATACATATTACGAATGTGGAGGACTTAAACACCAATTCGGATGACACACATATGTGGAAGCTATAGCTATATCTGAACCGATTTTCTTCGAATTCACTTGCTTCTAGACTGAATTCGGTCGCATGTACCAAAATTCAGGGGTTTTGGATTGATGTTGGTCATTTGGTGCACAATTAACCCGAAATCGCAAAAATATATATATGGGAGCTATATCCAAATCTGAACCGATCTTGATAAAATTTGGCTGAGGTATTTCTTGGCTGTGTCTGATATCTGGTACCAAATATCATTCTTTTGGCGCACATATTACGAATGTGGGGGACGTAAACATCAAATCTGATGAAACATATATATGGGAGCTAATGTTAATCTGAACCGATTTTCACAAAATTTGTATAAATATATATGGAAGCCATATCCCAATCTGAACCGATCTCGATTTGACAAATATCATTCTTCTGGAGTGCATATTACGCATGCGAGGGACTTAAAACCCCAAATCGGATGAAATTTATATATGAGAGCTATGAACCGATTTTATCCAAATTTACTCGCTTCTTGACTAAATTCGGTGGGATGTACCAAAATACAGTTCATTTGGATTTATATTAGCCATTTGGTGTACAATTAACCGAAAATCGGTTGAAGATATATGGAAGATATATATAATATCTTCGTCCTTGAGTCAAACAAATATTGTTTGGAAAATTTCATCTCAATCGGATAATAAATGCGATATGTTCACAAAAATACATGGACAGACGGACTGACATGCATAAATCGACTCAATATGAATATCCTCAAAATGAACTATGGGTCTATCTTGCTTCATTCTCCATGTTACAAACAAATACACAAAGACATAATACCCTCACCACTATGTGGTGTAGGGTATAAAAATCATACTTTATTATTTCCAATATATGTATCGACTTAGGCATAAACTCCCATGACACTAATTTTATATTTGAAGTCGTTTATAGATGGGACAGATATTCTAAATGATTTGAATTACAATTTCCTCTTTTCATCTTGATAGAGAATAATTATTCATAATTACCTACCTGATATTTCTGACATCGTCCAAATATCACACAATCCTGCTTACAAACATAATAGTATTGGCCTTCCTCTGGATGTGGCTTCAAACCGACATAGTTACCCGTACAGCGTTTGTGCTGAAATTGGAGAAAAACACAAAGAATGACTTATAATAAAGTGTAATGAATAAAATTTGGATAAACAAGTAAAGGAAAATAGATAATGCTTGTTATGTAACTTTCATGTCACAAACAAAAGTTAAAATATATTTAAATTCGTATCGCAACTCAGAAAAAAACCTTCCGAGTAATAGTCGACTTTCTATTATTGCTTTTTTATCTGTTTACAGCTTAAGGTGGAAGAAAATATCCCACTAAATAAATTCATTAAAACACATTTATTCCGATCAAGGCGTTTTCTATACACTCGTTTACTTGTAGTGACATTTGACTATGGCCTGTTATGAAGTAGAGCTAAAAGGGAAGAAACTTATATCGGCTTCTGAAAATTTACATCGCAAAATTACCTAAATAGAGGGGGAACCCAACTTCCACATTTTTTAATATACTCGGATTAAGAATTCTTAAAATCCTAACATCTTAGGTGTATCCGGTGTTTTTAAGTGTTACTGATAACAATAGGAGGATTTTTTTGGTTTAAATTATAACCCTAAAGAGAGACAACAAAGGGGTCTTTTTGGTCCTTTTTTGAAATATTATTAAAAACTCCCTTTAAAAAATATCGCAACAAATTAAAATATTTCTAAAAATTATTTTTTATAAAATCCTACAATATATCTCATAATACTCGGAAACTCCAAATCTTACCTAAACGTCAGAAATGCATAAATATTAAGAACCGATTTTAGGGTTTAATCCGTACTGCAATATCATTCCACAGAGCATAATTTTAAAATGATCAAATTTCATTATACATAAGTCACCAAAGAAAGAAACCCCATATCAAAATAAAAAAAGCCAGTTAGGAAAGGTCAAAAGTCGGGAGAGGTCGACTAAATGATACCATCCACCTCTATGCGTATTTAGTAGAGCTCCGGTAACAAAAAATGTATTATATTGGGAATTTATGTGAAATAGATCATATCAACTATGAACCTTATTTGAATGTGTATCATGGCATTAGAATATTGAAAATTTGGGAACTATTTCAAACTCTGAATCAATTTTCAAAAAAATTGGCACATGATATGACTTCGATAAGGATTATATTAAAAAATATTTATTGGAGCAATAGGTATGCCGTAGTTTCCCCAAATAGTAAAATTCAGTTGAATATGAAAAAGTCTATCCAATTTCGACTGATATTACTTGTATGGTAAAATCGGGTGAAGATATATATCAGAGGTATATAAAAATCTGAACCGAAAATTTGGCAGATGTATTTGCAAGCTGTATACGATGTCCGGTATCATATATCATTATTGTAGAGTGCATATTATGCATGTGAGAGACTTAAACACCAAATTTGATGAAACATATTTATGGGAGCTATAGCTATATCTGAACTGATTTTCACCAAATTTAATGTACTTGCTTATAAACTGAATTCGGTCGGGTGTGTCAAAATTCAGGTCATATTCATATGGGCCATTTCGTGCACAATTAACGCGAAATAAGGGAGCCACATGAAAATCTGATCTGATTATCACCAATATCAATAGAGTTAGTTCTTGAGCCAAAAAAATATTGTTTGGAAAATTTCATTTCAATCGGGTAATAAATGCGACCTGCATTTTGTTCACAAAAATACATGGACAGACGAACTGACGGGCGGACGTACTGACATGCATAAATCGACTCAGAAAGTGATTCCATGAAGATCCTTAAAAGTAACTATGGGTCTATCTCGTTTCCTTCTCAATGTTACAAACAAATTCACAAAGACATAATACCTATACCACTACGTGGTGTAGGGTATGTATATTATAAATTTTGGTTTCTAAAACGCATTTCTAATTCGACAAATTTAGTACTTTTTGCAAATTTGCATCTTATTTTCTAATAATTTCACTGTTCAAAAGCCAATCTGGTTCATTGAAAATTCTAAGTGGATTTGAGAGTACCTGATTTGGAGATTAAACCCTTGAAAGAGTTCCAGCGTCTTAGGCCACACTTTTTTAATGTCTTTATATAGCCTTGATAAAGCCTATATTTTGAAATATATTTCAAAGCATTTAATAAATAGCTTTGAAAATTTATTGACGGCTTTGGATTGCATCATTGGTTTAAAAATATTGCCCATTTTTTGGTTTGTTCCGTATTATAGGGTAAATTCCGGTTTCAAGTATTTTTACGTTGTAAAAAATTATTTTTTTAATTATTTCGAATTTAGAGTTCCTTTTATGTAGAAAAGATAATAGCAAAAAATTATCAACATAAGTTCTCGTTTTGGTACAGCCCTTATCTAAAGATGGAACCAGGGGGTTTTCAGTTATTATGATGTGTTTGCCCATATTTTGCAATATATTTAGCCGAAAATATGTATTTTGGTTTTAGCCGGGGTAGAACACCTTCCGAAACTTTTGGGTTACTGATCTGAAAATCGAGAACTCTTAAATCCTCTAGGAATTTTCCACATCCCAGACGGGCTATTGGATCGTGAAATTTGAAGAACCTTTTGAACAAATTTGGAAAACAGTGCTAAATTTGTCGAAAACTTTTTTTATAAACCGAAATTGATGATATTTTTTATGGTACATGTTAAGTACATATATATTTCTTTTATTTAGAGACTCACATCGAAATTTGATTTAGAATATTTCTTTATTTGACACTTTCCCCAAGAAATAAGGTATTAAGGGAGATTTTGATTTAAAATAGAAACATGTAAAATTATTAGTGAGAAACATAATTTTAATTTTTGTAATATATACATTTCGAATGCAAGTTTCTTAAAAACTATTAGCTGTTATTATTCCGAGATTTTTAGCGATTTTTTGTGTAGAATATTTCTTCTTTTGACACTTTTTGCCTAAAACTAAATTTTAATGTACTTTGATGCATGAAATCGAAAAAACACAGAGGCGAAATATTTTCGTGTTTTCTTTGGCAATATTGAAGTAAATATTATATTAGAAGTTATTTTTAAAATAACTTCTGGGGAGAATATCCCAGACAAAAACAAGGGAACTGATGAGGATTGGTGGCTCTTTCCGAAACCTAGGTATTCCCTGCCTTACCCCCTGGTAAACATTACCATCGTTCTCCACTAATAAACAAATGTTGTTTTTATAAAAACAACAATAAAGGGATAAAGCCAGACCATTTTGCAACAACAAAATACTACGGTATTCCGAACAAACAAGCCACACTGTTCTAGTAAATATTTTCTTGATATATAATGGAAATATTTAATTTATTTTTCTTTGGCAACTTATAGTAAAATTCAGTGAAGAATATTGTGTCTTTTGCACAAACTCACACAAAGTACGGTTTTAACGCTAAAATGTGTTTTCAATATGTATGAATTCTTGGCGTTTATGTAAGATTTAGATAATATATAAGATTTTTGCGGTTTTGACTTACAAAAAGTCCGATGCACGTATATCTTCTATTTGATATACTTTCATTATCTGCTGTATATTCCCTGTTAAAATTGTTTGTGTTGCCCAGTCTTCTTTATATAACAAATGATATATTACACATCTTCTTATATAAATCAGTCCAACACATATATTAAATAGATGCTGTTTTTGAGTACATTTTAATTTTTCCAAAATCGCCATCCAAATAATTTTCTACAGAAAATATTTGCAACACAAGATATTTTCCATAGAATATGTTAATGGAAATTATTGTCAATCCTTTTTCATAATTAAATCCCTTAATACTTAATTTCACTCACATAATCCACAATAATTGGCACCCCACCACCGGGGAAGGGTCGTAAAATTCCACGACGTTGATCGAAATAAGTTCCAGCAGGATAATAACTTGTTGGCATGTGATATGGATAACCAATTGGCGAGGGGTAATGATAATTACGATAAGGATTATATGGCTGGGGTCTATACGGTGTATGGCCCAAATAACGGCCAAGGCTGGGAGTACAACAGCTGATTATTAAAACAGCTGACACAAGTAGGTGGTACATTTTGTTAAGGCTTTTCAAAAACTTCGGCGTTTATTCAAATTAAGTGAATTATTTTTATTCTTGAATTTATTTGTATAAAATCTCTTGTCATTAAATCTTAGTTTTTTTTTGTTCACATTTTCCACTATTTCCACTTATACAGTATCATTTCTTATTATATGTGTGTATTATATCCTTTCGTGAAAAGTTTTTTTTTATTTCATTTCTTATTCTTAAATCACTACAATGTTTTCTTTTTTCAAAAATCTTTATAATTCCGTGATTTAATTTTTTCTTTTGCTGCTGCTGTTATATCTCGTTTCGATTCGATTTCAATGTCGTTCTTAACCCACAAAGCTTTAGTTCACGTTTGAAGTGTTTCCGCGATGTGGCGGGTGTTTAAATGCACTTTGGGTCGAGATCGAAAGCGTAGCAGCTCTCTCCCAGCTCGAATTTCTCGATTCTGTTTTGAACTTTGTTTCTTGCATAACTTTTGGTTCGTTTGCATTGTGCATTTTGAGCCAGCGTTCTTATGTTTTGTGTAGAATTTCTTTAACGGAAAAGTCACGATCGCCAGCAGCAGCACCAGACGAGAAAGAATCAAAATACTAGATCTGGTTTCGTTACAGGTTTAGTTTCGAATTATTAGAAAACGGATTGTTTTTTTTTTGTAAAATTGTAAAGGGAATCTGCAATGTTTAACAGCCATTGAACCCTTTGCAGCTTGATTTGGTTTTGTTTACTTAAGCTACCACGAAGTTCAAGTTCAAGATTACTCGACCACACCAGAAAATGCGCCGAAATGATTAGCTTGCATTTTTCCAATTTTTTCGTATAAGAAAAGCTCTGCTGGTTGTTATGATGTCATATTTAGTTTATAAAATTGTTTAGCGCTTCCGATTTGTATATGGTTTTATACATCCATATTCAACTTCTAAGAAAAAAAAAACTTATTTATGATTTTCTTTTGCCAATAATAACTATGTTGAAAACAAAAGATACCAACTCTTTGACATCCTTTAACACGGCTCTAATACATTCAGGGCCTATCAGTTATGTCAACCGATTAGACCGCCGATTTTCAATGATTTTCAGGGTGAGATAAAAAAACTGCAACAAAGTCAAACGCCATAGTTTTTACATTTTTTTTTAATTTTATTGAATGAAAGCAAAAAATGTCGGGAATTTTGAACTGGTTACCTTTGGCATGAATTATGGCGTTCAAACGGCCAATGAAGCCGTCACACGCTGCTCGAATGTTGCTCTACGGTATTTTGGCCCATTCCCGGCGAAGCGCTTGCTTGAGGTGATCGACACTTTGGTATCTTTTAGTGCCAACCTTGCTTTCCAAAATACTCCAGACACAATAGTCCAACGGATTGTTATCCGGAGATTTTGGTGGCCATGGTGAGCTGGAAATGAAGCGATTAATCTCATTTTATAATTATTCTTGGGTGGCGCGTGCTGAGTGTGATGGTGCTGAGTTCTTTTGGAATGTTCAAGGTTTGCGGCCAAAATGTTTGCGTGCTCTACGGCTTTAATGCTCCCTCCAGAATATTTTCACTATAATATTCGGCATTTTTTCTGATGCCACGGTCGGAGAGCGACCATCGGCTTTTATGGCGGCCCACACCATCACTATAGCCGGCGCTTAAGCTCTGGTGGTCAACCGCTGCACATTTTCAGCTGACCTCTTTGGTAAGTAAACACGATCATTTTTGGTGTTTACAAACTGCTGTTTTCTCATCGGAGAAAACCAAATTCGGCAGTTCACCTCTTTCATCCAAGCGAAGCAACTCTTTAGCTCTTTTGAGTCTATCTTCTTTCTGTTGCGGTGTAAGATCTTGCACTTTTTGAAATTTCAATGGCTTTACCCCGAGCTCATTTGTCAATATTTGCCGAATGGAATATTGCGATATGTTCAGCTCACGAGCTATTTTTCGGCCACTGCGACGCGGGTTTCGATCAAGTCGCTTCTTTACTTTTCAAATCATTTCTGCTAATGTTGCTGTTTTCTTCCGTCCACTTCCTTGACGTCGGGCTACGCTACCAGTATCACGGTAACGGGCGATGGTACGAGACACAAAAGATTTACTCACAGTCAAAACGAATTAAGATAGGAAGCTGAAATTTTGCACAGATCTGTCTTTTGTCTGCAGACAGGTCAAGTTCGAAGATGGGCTATATCGGTCCACGATATCGTATAGCCCCCCATATAACGGTTTTCATTTGAGCGGTATTTTCCGACGGATTTTTTTTGAAATTTTTCAAGACTCTTCCAAATGGTGGAAGAAATTCGACCCGGCCGACCTTAACTGCTTTTTTACTTGTTTTGTAATAATTACGGGAAAATTTAAATTTAACCTTCAATGAGTCAGAAGGGGTCTTTTTTGTACTTTTTGAAAATATGCTTAAACACTCCATTCAAACGGGATCGTTGCAAGTTCAAAAGTTCGACAACAACATTTATCACAGACACCAACAGTGACATCTATATAAAATTTCAGGACTTCAGACCTATCCCTTTATCCAACACCAAGTGTAGTAAAATAAAGGACGCATTTCCAAACCACCGTCAAATTTTAAACGTATATACCATCAGTAATCTAAATAAAGGATTTCACAAATTTATTTCTGTCAGTTCACCCAATCCTAAAAGTAGTACCATTCCGTAATTTTCGTACAATTATGGTATACATTTCCGAAACCACCTCCATATTTTAACCACAGACACCAACAGTGATATCTATATCAAATTTCAGGATTTCATCTTTATTCCTTCACCCTATACCAAATGTAGTAATCTTCATACAATTATAGTGTATATTTTTCCAAAATTTCAGATACCAACAGAGACCTCAATATCAAACTTCGGGATTGCATCTCTATTCCTTCAGTCGATACCAAATTTAGTATCATTTAGTACTTTTCGTACTATTTACAAACCAACGCCAAATCACAAACACAGATACCATCAGAAATCTAAATATAAAATTTTACAACTTTACCTCAATTTATTCACCCATTACCATGTATCTATCATTCAGCACTTTTCGCTCAATTATAGTACACATTTCCGAAACCATCTCCATATGTCCAGGCTATACACGAGGAGCGAGGCTAGTACTAAATTTCAAATTTTCCAATAAAAAACTGTACCAAATATATTACTATTTAGTACTTTCCTTGCACTTACTTCTAGTATACATTTCCGAAACCACCTCTTTATCACAAACCTATGACCAACAGCGACCCCAATATAAAATTTCAATACTCCAGGTTCATCCGTGCATCCTAAACCAAAGTGTTCTAAATTAAGTACAATTTGGTACACTTCATACACTTAGGACACATTTTCACAACCACCTTCATGTATCAAACTGACTTTCCAACCTTGATTCTCATACCAAATTTCAAGTTTTTAGCTCTATCTGTTCGCATTATACCAAATGACACTTTTCGTAACCGTAAAGCTTCTAACTCCGAATTTTCTCTATCAGCGAGTCTCATTCCAAATGTCAGAATTTTAATTTATTCAATTTGCCAAATACAACGTTTTCAATATTAAGTACTTTTCGTATCCTTTTAGTATGAATTTCCAAAAATCTAACCTTATCGCAGGCCTACTCACCAAGACTGACCCCTCGTGCACAATGTCAAGATTCCAGCTTCAGCTGTTTCGCCTGGGCGTTGATTATCATTCAGTCAGTTTTTATTCCATATAACGGTACCTCCCGATATTCGGTATTTTTATGATTTTTGCAATATTTTTTCAAGGATTTGTCTAAAAAAGAATATTTGTAGGCAATAATGGGTTCTAGCTCAGGTAGCGAAACTTTGTATGTATAGGTCCACGTTTTTGTATAGCCCCCATATGACAGTACCTTTCAATATTCGGTTTTTGCCAATTTTTTTTACTGATTTTCTAAAAATTTGAATTTGTGGGTCATAATGTGTTCTAGCTCGCGTGGAGGAACGAAGTATGTATAGGTTCCACATAATTTTACCTTCGGCTATTCATTATTTTGATGATTTTATCACTTTTTTCACAGATTCATCTAATAATTGGTATTTTTAGTTCATAATGGGTTCTAGCTCCGGCGGCAGAACATTGAATGCTTTCCTATAGCGCACATAAAACAATACCCACAGATATTCGGTATTTTGTAACATTTACCCACGAAATTGTTTCGAATTTGTTATTTTAGAAGATTTGGTAGATAACAATCCTTGAAATAAAAAAATTTCTACAGAGGTTACCGTTTTGGTATGGCCCCCATACAACGGCCTGACCCACTTTATGTTTTTTTTGGAAAGTCTAACAGCATTTTCCAAACGTTCTTACTGGTATTTGTGGTTGAAATTGGAACACGTTTGAATTCAGACTCTTTTATATAAAAATGTTTTCTTTACCCAGTGGTGGATGGTATTAAAATTTCGGCCTCGGTCGAATTTGATGATTTTTACTTATTTTTGTTCAGTTTTACTTTTATATGATGTAATTATAAATCACTTTAAGGATGTCTATCCCACTTGCCCGTCCGTGTGTTAAAATCTACATGGAACATTAAGGACGGGCTATATTGATATTGTAAATAGCCTTTATTGGCTCACGTTTTGGTAATACTTCCATGTAACGATGTTTTCTGATTTTCCGTAGTTTGAAGTTTTAACCCACAATTTCTAACCAAACCAGCTGAATTTTAGGGTTCTGTTCAAATTTTCCAATTTTTCGAAGTATCTATTATTTGATATTTTAGTAACGGAAAATTTTTCCAGTTCAGGTCAATATTTTAGAATATTCGAGTTCCAATTTAAACTGAAATTGCCAAGGAAATCCACTTAGAATTTTATGCTGATAAGGAATAAATATGCTTTGTATACTCGCATTCATGGATAGGACATTCTTCGCTATTTGAATTAAGAGCAGGATATTAGTTACTGATAGATGATATTCATTAAAATTGAACGTAAAAATAAATTTCTCCTCTCATTGTAGTGAAAATGTGAACAATTCCACATATTATCATTTAATATATTTATTAAATATATTTTACTGCAGTAGATTTAACTTTTTTAATAATTGTACTATTCATCGTACGTGTGTATTCGAACATAACTCCCTCATGAATATAGTAAAATACTTTTTGCGTTCCACGATCGAAAAGAGAGACGTTTTTTTTAATTGTGCATGTTTAGTTTTTTCCTCGTGAATATGTCTACGAACTTAAGCAGATGTCATCTCTATGACCTTGAAGATATATAAATGTCAGTCTTTTTTTCCTCGATCAACTTCAACAATTTTCCAAATTTGAATTGAATTTCTTAATCATATCGAGTGACAACTTGAAAATATGTGTTGCCAAATATTATCGCAACACCACGCGTCTTTATGTGGGGCTCATTCTTTTTTACTTCTTCTCTTCTTTTTTTGTTGTTTCGTATTTTATTTTGTGTCGTATTCTGATTTTTCAACATTTAGCGGAAGATAAACATACCGGTGTAGATTTTTTATTTCCGGATACTTCCGGAAAATAATATGAACAAAAAAGATGGGAAACTGAATTTTAAGCGTACAGACGAAAGTATGTGCAAACGTATGACGTATTTATGTGTGTAAGTAGATCTTAAGAAATACCAGACTGAAATTTGGTGACTGAATATTATCTCATTTGAGATAATAGTTTGGCCTCAATATGAAAAGTTAGCAACTGTTGCTGTGTGGAGTAGGGAGTTGTGAAAACTTTTAAAGTTATTGTTTTTGTCTGTCGACACTGGCAATTTTCGTTTTTCTTCTAATTTTCGGCTTTATGTTTTTTTGTTACATAACTACATTTAAAACCAGAAAAGTCAATAGTTGGGCGGGTCCGACTATATGATACCTCACACCACTATATATATTTAGTAGAGCTCCCGTAAAAAAGGTTATCGTGGGAATTCATGTTAAGTTGATCATACCAACTATGAACCTTATTAAAATGCGTATCAGTTTCATAGGGAACTAATATGCGGGAGGTATATCCAATTCTGAATTAGTCTTCACCAAATTTGACGGAGACACTCATACCTCTCATACAAGATAACATTGCTATAGAGTGCATGATATCACTTTCAGAAGGATTATATTAGAAACATATATTTAAGCTGAGTTCCGCCAAGTGGAAAAATTCGGTTGAATGTGAAAAAAGCATTCCAATTTGGGCTGATATTACATATTTAGGGCACAATAATCGTCATGGAAGCTATATCCAAAGGTATTTCTGAAGCTATATCCAAAGGTATTTCTGAGCTGTATCCGATATCTGATATTGTTGTGAAGTGTTTATTACGAATGTAAGGGACTTAAACACCAAATCGGATGAAACATATATATAAGAGCTATAACTAATTTTTAACCGATTTTTACCAACTTTGAAATATTTGCATTTAGGCTAAATTCTGTCGTATGTGCCAAGATTCTTTTGATTTGGACTGATATTAACCATCTGGTGCACAATAAACGTAAAATTGGGAGCTATATCCAAATCTGAACCCATTATGGTAAAATTTGGCTGAGGTATTTCTGGGCTGTATCAGATATCTGGTACCAAATATCATTCTTGTGGAGTGCTTATTACAAATTTCGCCATGTTACAAACAAATGCACAAAGACATTCTTGATCCAAGGTGTCAGATAAGGCTTGTTTTGTGGAAATTCGTACCAGAAGAGTACGAAAAGTATTAAATGGCAAACGTTAAAAAAACGGCTAGAAGTCTTACATTTTGAATGAGGGTCACTGGTGGAGTGTATGATGGAGTTTTCGCATTATAAGTATACGAAAAGTACAACATTGTGCCACATTTGGTATTATATGAGCGGATAGAGCTAAAAACTTGAAATGTAATGGTTCTGGAAATGCGTGCCAAGTGTTCAAACTGTACTAAATGGTACTAAATTTGGAACACTTTGAAATTTTGAAATGTTGTATTGGGGACCCTGTTGGTTGTTGGTTTGTGATACAGAGGTAGTTTTAAAAATGTGTGCTACAAAGGCACGAAAAGTACTAAATAGTACTATATTTGGAACAATTTCGTATTCGGTAAACAAATAATGCCTGTAATCTAAAATTTGATATTAGGGACGCTATTTATGTATAGCCTGGACATATTAAGGTGGTTTCGGAAATATGTACTAGTTTTGTTCGAAAAGTACTAAATGTTACTAAATTTGATATTGGGTGATGGGTATAAATTGAATCCTTAAATTTGATACTACGGTCTCTGTCGGTATTTGGAATTTAGATAAGGATATGGTTTTGGAAATGTGTACAATAACTGTGCAAAAATAACTAAATAGTACTGAAATCCTGAAAGTTGATATAAATGTCATTGTTAACCACAGACACGTTAAGATATGGAGGTGGCCTTGGAAATATGTACTATAATTGTTTGAAAAGAACCATGAAGTATTAAATTTCGTATTGAGTGAAGGGATAGAGGTGGAATTCCGAAATTTGATATTGAGGTCTATGTTGGTATTTGGAATTGATATAAGGAGGTGTTTTTGGAAAATGATTACTATAATTGTAATTAAATTAACGAAAAGTACAAATTGCTACTAAATTGAGTGTTGGGAAAGGGCTGGAATAGCGAAATTTGATATAAATGACACTGTTGGCGTCTGTGGTTAAGATGTGGAGGTGGTTTTGTAAGTATGTACCATTATACTTCGAAAAGTACTAAGTGGTACTAAATTTAAATTAGGTATTTGGTAAAGGAATTGGAATTCCGAAATTTGGTACTGAGATCTCTGTTGGTTTCTGGGATTGAGATTGTTGGCGTCGTTCTTGGAACGGAGTACTATAATTGTACGAAAAGTACTAAATAGTTTTAAATTTGATATTGGATAAATGGATAGGGCTCTCTGTTAGTATCTGGAGTTGAGTTAGGAGTTAGTTATGTGCTATAATTGTAGGAAATGTTTTGTTTTGCAAATGAGTAATAAAATTATTCGAAAAGTACTAAATGTTAATAAATTTGGTATTAGAGCTGGAATCCCGAAATTTTATGTTGAGGCATTGGGGGAAGAGATAGAGCTGGAATCCTAAAATTTGATATAGATGTCACTGTTGGTGTCTCTGATTAAGATGTGGAGATTGTTTTGAAAATTCTTACGACATTTGTTTGAAAAGTACTAAATGGTACTAAATTGGAAATTGGATGAAGGGATAAAACATAATATGAATGTGACTGTTGGTTTCTAGGGTTTGGGACGTTGAAATAGTTTTAGAGAGTAAAATTGGATGTGTGTCCATTGTGCAATGGTTTTACCAATATCCTCCTCGGTGAATTTCAAAAAAAATATTTTGAAGATTTTTTGTGTAAAACGTAAACAATTTCCTAAAATTTCCAAAAATGTTGTCAAACTAAACAAACTGTACAATTTGAGTTCAAACAAGTAAAAAAGCACCTTTTGGAACGAATTAGGACGTTTTCAAAAAAAAAAAAAAAAAAAATATTAATAATAATAAAATAAAATAAAATCTATTTAAAAATTCTGTTAAAATCTTCAAAATACCTAATATCGGAATGTGCCTATATATGGGGGATATACGATATTGTTGACCTATATAGACAAATCTACGTCTAGGGGTAAAGTACTCACAAAGAAGTCCTTGTGTAGAATTTCAGAGAATTCCGTTTAAGAATGTTAGTCACATTCTGTTAGTCAAATCATCAAAATAACGAATATGGGGGGGGGGGGGGGGGGGGGGGTGACACTTATATGGGGGATATACGATATCGTGGACCTATATAGAGAATTCTCTATCAGGGGGTGAAGTGTTCACAAAGAACCCCTTGTGTAGAATTTCAGACAATTCCGTTGAAAAATGTGGCTAAAATCATCAAAATACCGGATATCGAGGGTACCGTTATATGGGGACTATACGAAATCGTGGACCGATATAGCCCATCTTCGATCTTGACCTGCCTACAGACAAAAGAGAGATCTGTGCAAAATTTTATTTTTCTATCTTAATTCGTTTTGACTGTAACGTGATTACAACAGACGGAAAGACGGACGGACAGGGTCAAATCGTCTTAGACTTTTACGCTGATCAAGAATATATATACTTTGTTGGGTCTAAAATGATTATTTCGATGAGTTACAAACGGAATGCCGAACTTAATATACCCTCCATACTATGTATGGTTGTGATACACAAATGTTGGAACGAATCTAAAATCTTATGGTGGTCTTTTCGCTGACGAAATAGCGGGAGTTTGCTAGTATACCTAGATGCATGTTTCCAATAAAAACAATGTTGCTTATGTATATAAAATTCTATTTTCATATATATTTTTTGTTTATATTTATTTCGGAAATTGTTAGTGTGTCCATTGTTAAACTTAAACTTATGTTTCTAAATTATTTAATTAATAAACTGATTTTAATTATTACAATTTGCTCTTGTGTATTGCAGCTTCTATTTGGTATGTATTGTTTATTTTCGATTATTAGTTTTATATATAGAAAATACGTTATTTTTTGGTCTTTCTATGCTTTTTTGTGATTTTAATTACAAAAAATTATTTTGCATTTTTTTTTGGTGTTTATAATCACAGATTTAAACTGTATGAGCTTTTATTTTTTTTTAATTTCTGCTTACCAAATAATATTGCTAAAGGAATGAACACGAAATGCATAAAGAAATTAGTTATATAAAATTTGCAAATTAAAGGCAGTTACAAAAAAATAAATTCTATTGAGTTTGAGACATTTTATTATTATTATCATTATTATTTTGTTGAATTATTTATGTATAATATTTTCATTATTATCATTATTTTGGTTTGGGTTCATCATATTAAAAAAAAGAGTAAAAAATTAAAAAAGTCCATGGGTTTTCGAAGAAATGCACAAATCGGAGAATTACATTTAAGCTTGATGATGTTGTTCGGTGTGATTGTTGTCGCCTCCTTCGCCACCGTCCACATTGAGACTGCGCAGGGATCTGATATTAAAAATTAAATATAAATAAGATTATTAATAATGTTGTTTAAAATTAAAAAAAAATATGTATTACTGGAAGTGCATTTTATGGTTATTTCTTTCGCAAAGATTTTAATAGTTACAGAACTCATAGGAAATCTAGGTAAACTTTTCGTATATACAATTTGTTAATATTATTAGATTATTATTTTGATATTAATAGTTTGAAGAAGATTGTTATAATCATGGCTCAAAAAGAAAGGTTGCTCAACTTAGAAGAAACATAGAAAATGCAACTCTGTACCGAAGTCTCATAGTGTCAAATATACTTTTAAACATTCAACAATTGCTTTTGTTTATTTTACTTTTTTTCACAAAATTACTATATTGGGGAAACCCCACAAAAAGCGGAAAATATGCATTTTTGTTGCATCTAAATTTGGAAAAAAATCAAATTCATATAATGTCGCTAATATCATAAAAATACAGAACAAAGGGAGAGCCCGTTATAAAAGGGCTACACGAAGACCTGAACCAGCATAGACAATTTTCTGTCACAGACTGTAGTACCCATTTTCAACATTCATTACGAAATTTGAAACAATTCCGGTGAATAATGTCGCTAAAATCATCAAAATACTGAACATAGGGAGGTACTGTTATATGGGGCTGTACCTAAACTTTGACCTATGGATCCCTTTTTTCAATACCAAAAGTCCGGCAGACCAAAACACGTATTTGAGTAAAATTTTATCAACCTACTTCCATTCGTTCGAAAGCTAGAGTTATTTCCACAGACGGACACACAGACAGACAGACGGACGGATGTCGCAAAATCGATATAGAATTTTATCCTGATCAAGAATATATATAGGTTGTGGGGTCTAAAATGCATATTTCGTGATGGTACACGGAACGGAATGACAAACTTAATATATCCTCCATATTATGATGGGGGGTATAAACATTAGGGAATGTTTTCGGGTTTTTTTTGGGAACATGGATCCAAATATTGGAATATTGGACTAACTTGAAAAGGTGAAAAGTATTTTGGTATTTTACGCCATCCCTCTAAAATTATTATTTGTTGGAGATTTTTGGTTAAACTCACAAAAAGTACGATTTTTCCTGTCGTTTATGTACAATTTAGACTCTTGAAGTCTTCTTCATTGCTACGATCCCGTTGAAAGGAAATTTTTGACCAAAATATTCCCTTTAGTGGTATTATATCTTTGAGAAGGAAAGATCTTCATAGAATCACTTTCAGAGTCGATTTATGCATGTCCGTCCGTCCGTCTGTCCATGTATTTTTGTAAACAAAGTACAGGTCGCATTTATTACCCGATCCAGATGAAATTTTGCACAAATCATTTGTTTGGCCCAAGGACGAACCCTATTGAAATTGGAGATAATCGGTCAAAATTTAGATATAGCTCCCATATATATCTTCGTCCGATTTGCCTTTTATTGTGCACCAAACGTGTAATATCAGCCCGTATTGTATGGAATTTTGCATATGCACCCAAAGGCCTGAAAATATGTATGCCAAATTTGATCGAAATCGGTTCAGATATAGCTATAGCTCCCATATATATTGTTCATCCGATTTGTTATTTTTGTCCACCGCCGTCGTAATATGCACTATGCAACAACAAATATTTGGGGAAATATATCAAATACAGTTCAGAAATACATTTGCTAAATTTTATCGAGATCGGTTCAGATTTGGATATAGCTCCCATATATAACTTCGTCCGATTTACCTTTGATTGTGCACCAAACATCTAATATTTGCCCAAATGGGATGAAATTTAGCACTTACGACCGAATTGAGTCTAGAAGTTAGTATGTCAAATTCGGTTCGAATATAGCTATAGCTCCCATATATACTGTTCATCCGATTTGTTATATTTGTTACCCACAGCAGTAATATGCACTCCGTAACAACGATATTCAGGGAAATATATCAAACACAGCTCAGAAATATCTTTGCCAAATTTTGTCGAGATCGGTTCAGATTTGGATATAGCTCCCATATAAATCTTTATCCGATTTCAAATTAATTGTGCACCAAATGGGCAATACAATTCCGAATTTAAAAGATACAAATGCTTTGGCATATTTAGTTCTTTGAACTTTAAATTATAATTATAATCATAGCGTGTATGATTGAATTCTCCCATACAAACTTTTAATTGTTATGTGGAGCTCTACTTAATTAGCAAAGTGGTGTAGGGTATCATAAAGTCGGCCCCGCCCGACTTTAAGACTTTCTTTACTTTCTTTACTTTTCTTAAATGTGTACAACTATCTCATATAAAGGGGAGGAAGTAGTCGATGTAAAAAATAGGTTTTACAAACATTTAGATTTTAACTAATATCGATTGCCTGATAACAATTACAATTTACTTTGTACCTTTAGAACTGAACAAGTTTTTATATTTAAGAAGACTTGAAGAAGTTTCTATTAATATAATGTCTGTGGGGAAGCCATCTTGAGGGCTCTCATTGAAGACCTGCAAAATGTCTTTCATTCGCAGAAGACTCGTAAAGAGTATTTTAGTGTGTCAAAGGTATTTAATCCATATTAGACAAGTTTAAGATAGTATATCCACAGGAGACCTGTAAAATCCATATGGGATCTGCTGAGGGTGTTTTATCGATAGGATACCTATTGAGTTTCATCTATGCCAAAGAGACCTGTTAAAGGTCTTCTATCCATTGGAGCCTTGTTAAGAGATCCTTAGGAGGCTGTTTATAAATTAATTGTTAAGAATTGTTCATCTATGTTAGACCTATAAGATGTCCTCTATAAATAGATTGTCACTTGAAGGCCTTATATTAATAGATCTGTTAAATGTCTTATATCGATATTAAATGTCTTCTACCATTAGGAGACCTCTTGGAGATTTTCTATCCGTGGGAGACATATTAAAAATCTTTAATCCATAGAACAACTATTGAATGTTTTATAGCCCTAAGACATGTCATACATAGGAATTTAAGTATTACATTATCTTTTCATATGTGACTCTCTTCAATTTCGGTATTTTTTTAATTATAAATTTTCATCGAAAACACATATATATATTTATATGTTCACACTTTCAGCTTTCTTTCTAATTTGATAAGAATGCAGTCACTGTTTTTTTTTTTTGGGATTCTTCAAATCGTAATATGAGAAGTTCATTAAAAAGTAAAACTCGTCTCATCACTCTCTCTTGGTTAACACAATTTTGAGTCATGAATGCGGAAATTTATTTCACCGAGCTTCAATGCAGATTTGCAACAACAATAATATCAGGTGCTTAAAATTGTGCTGAGCTTCTTTTCTGATACCAGTGGCTGGTAAACGCTCGGCAGATTGACTTCGTAGAAAAACAAATGAAGATGAGCGGGAACTCTTCTCTTTTTTGTTTGCAAATATCATAATTTATAATGTATAGTTACAGCTTCTGAATGAGTTTATCAATGCTGTTCTCTGTTTTTTCGTTTGGAGATTTTTATTCTTCTATAATTTTTTTGCAATTCATAATGTATTTCAAATGAATTACATTCATTAGACAACTATTTTTGGAAATATTAGAAACATCTTATCACGATTTGGGTCACGTCTGCCAGCAACTTGACGAAATGCTGTTAATCAATTTTCTTGTAAATTTTTTTTAAATAATGTCTTCATATACAAAATTAATTTTTATCTTAGTTTGAGTCTAGTTTTGGGAATTATGATTTTTTGTTGCCAATTTCAGCAAAAAAACAACATCACGAATTATTTCATATCAATTGATAGCTGAGTAAGGTATTAACGAGCTATGGGGTTTCCCATGTTTTTTGTGACGTATTTTGTTTAATAAAAAAAAGTGTTCACAAAGAGCAGTGGCATATCAGATTTCAATTTTTTGTGATTTGTGATATTTGCCACCGGAGCATTGTAACCATACTCCACATAACAACGAACTACTATAGAGAGTCACCAATTTATTTCTTGTGTAAAGAAGAGATATAGATTATAGTTGATCAAAATTTTTTAAATCAAATATCTATATCCAGTATAATAAGGTCTGATTGATAACGCTGTGCAGAAAAAAATATTACAGGGAAATCTAGAAGATTATGAAAGTAGTGGAAGACATTTGTATCGGCGTTTTGAAAGTTTACATCGCAAAGTAACCTAAATACAGGAAGCCAGTCTCCCCTTTTCCAATTTTTTTTTTAAAAATTTCGCATTGAGATTACTTAGAATCCGTTGATTTTATGCATATAGTGCCTTCGGCAATATTGCAGAACACGAGGATTATTTTGGTAGACATTTTTAACCCTCAAGAAAAAATATGGTTAAAAACTCCCTTTAAGCGGAATTTTAGCAAATCAAAATATTTATAAAATAAATTTGGAAAAATTTCGACATCTTACATAAACACCAGAAATTCACATATATTTACAAGTAAATAAAAGTCGGGCGGGGCCGAAAATATCATACCCTACACCACTATGCATATTTAGTAGAGCTCCCGTAACAAGAAAAGTTTATATTGGGAATTTATGTGAAGTAGATCATACCAACTATGAAACATATTTATGGCATTAGAGTACTAAATACAGGGTGAGATGAAAAAACTGCAACCAACTTCAGACTGCTTTCATTTCAAAGCCACTCGTCCGACAGCTATTAAAATTATTCCAGTGAAAGCTCATTATATTGTTTACAAGCGTACAAAAGCACTTTGGTGAGAATTTTCCAGAAAAAACTTATTCGTGATGGAATTCATGCGTGATTTCTTTATATTTGACTGGAGAACCACAAGTGGCTATCGTTAGAGCCCTCTAGCATAGCTCGACGTCAAGGAAGTAGACGGAAGAAAACAGCAACATCAGCAGAAATGGTTCGCAAAGTAAAGAAGCGACTTGATCGAAACCCGCGCCGCAGTGGCCGAAAAATGGCTCGTGAGCTGAACATATCGCAATATTCCATTCGGCAAATATTGAAAAATGACAGTGCAAGAACTAACACCGCATCAG